TTTACTTCCATATGAATTATAGACCAATACTTATTTTTACTACAGTTAATTGTATATAAAAATTAAAGAGAATTCAAAATAATTTGTTCCCACAAAATGTTAATCACAAATAAAAAATTTCAGCAAGAATTGAAATCTAGTATCTTAAATATTAATTTAAAAAAAACAAAACTGATAACTATTCTTTTTTATTTGAAAGTATATAAACAATAACATAATAACCAACTCTAATATTAAATTTACTTTACAGAATTTGATGTTTTTGAAAGCATTTAAATGTAACATATATTACAAACTTTAAAAGAAGTGCAATCTTTAGTAGACCTCAGTATGAAATTTCCTTTCTGTCAAATAAGAAAATATATTTTGATTTATAGGCACATTTTTTATTCTGTTAAAGCAAAATATTCACTAACTTGCCTTTATTTGTTCAACAGTACGATTTAGGGCTCTGGCTGTTTTTCCTGACCTTAACCTGTATGCAGGAAAATTCAATATTCACATTCTGGTAAATTTGGTCTATATTCATAATTAATCAGCCAAGTATTTAACAGCATTAACTTAAGCCACATTAATTAAGTCCATTAATTTGGTCAATAAAGTTTATGCAATTTTTTAACCCCTCCCTCCTTTTTGACAACTATCAAACTTTTATGTACCTCCTAATTAATTATGTAAAAAATTGAATACCCCTTACAAGAAAAGAAACAATTGCAAATAAATATAGATATTTTTGAATGGATGTGATATAGCATTCTGGGAAGAACAACAAACTTATTAAACATTTTTGTAACTTCTTAAATAAATTTTAATTTGTAACATTTAGAATCTATGATTAAAGTCCATTTTATATTTCAAATTTATTAAATAATAAATAAGGTCCAAATATGCTTGTTAGTAAATTTATTATTTATTTTCCTGCTCTCATTAATCAACCAAATGTTTCTCTTTTGCAAAGGTGCAAATCTTCTGATGAATTTATAATTTCCATAACAATATTATTATGAAACCAGCTGATATCTTTTTGACTAGTCTAACCTTTTAAATGCTTCAAATAGCAGCATTTTCTCTGTGTGCGGTAATTTACATCCTCTCTGCCTGTCTTTTGGCATCCACTCAAATTGGCAGCATCTTTTAGAAACATTTTTTATGGTGAAGAAGGTGGTAATATTTTAGGCACAATATTGGTGCTGGTCTGACCATGTGAAATTTGAAGATTTTTATAAAAACTAAAATCAATAATATTTTGCAACAATATTTTACTATCTATGCAATGATTTATTTTTTTTAATATATCAAAGGAAATAATAATATTTATGTCAATTTATTTACCCCCCTTCCCCCTGTCAATAATTGTTAAGCTTTTTCCAACCCCACTCCCCTATTTTGTTGACATAATTAATGGATGGCTATTTAAATCTCTGTTACATTCTGCTCATTTACAATCAAATAATAATTAATTATGCCATGAAAGTATAAAAAAATTATTTTTAGGACCCAAATGGCAACAAAATTAAGATCTTCAAAAGTTTGCAAGGGTCATCAGGTGTTGTTGAAGGAAGCATTGTACTGAGTGACCAACCCCAATTCGGTACATGGAGAATTAGTGCATCTCTTGAGGTATTTGTCACCATAGAATTTACAAAAAATGCTTTTATCAATTATTTATATCTGACAATTTCATATGGTTGTGAAAATTTACCAAAGGAAATAAATGCAATCAAAGATTACTTCACAAAGAAATTATGGGAAGAGTATTGTATTTAATAGTTTATTGAGAAATAGAGTGGATAAAGAGAAGAATATATAACTACATTTTTTTATATACCTCTAGGATTAAATCAGTGTTTGGGTTGTGTTTTTTAAATTTTAAAATGTATGTTTATATTTTTTCTCTTAAGGACTACACCGACATTGTATTCCAGTCCTTTGAAGTAGCTGAGTATGGTAGGTGAAAAGTTTGAATACTGATGTTTATGCTACATTTTATTCTGCATGGTTTTTATTAAAAAAACTGCTCTGCCACATGTCAACATAAGTTACTGCTTTACCAAACATTTTTTTTTGTTTCAAACTCAAGCCTTTCTTACATTGTTCAAACAGAATTGCCAAGATTTGAAGTGATTGTTGAATTACCTCCCTATGGTCTGGTTGAAGACTCTGTACTGACAGGAAAAGTGAAAGCTAAGTAGGTGGCTTTTTTTTTTAAGGATGCTTGCACTTGAAAAATAAAATATGATTTTGTATTAGATGTGGCCACTTCATTTTCTCTAATTCTCTGAGTCTGAGTGTGAAAACAAATTTAAATAACTGAGTTAATTTTTGGGGCAGGGAAATGAACTTAAACTTATTATTATATGCTAATTACCCAAACAAAATATTATAATATAAAGTACTGAAATACTTTGCGATCAACATAATTTTTGCATAATGTAGACATAGTTCTGAAGAAATATAATTCTATTTTTTTAAAACATTTATCAAAATATTTTTTCAAAATATAATATTTAATAAAAAAAAATGTTTATTTATTTTTCATCGTTGTAATAGTTTGCTTAGTCATGTATGTGGAATGTTGAAGTACAAGCCCAAAAAGTAGAAAACACTGCTAAAGCATTTTAGAGTTTTGGGTTGGTATAAAGCTTTCAATTAGAGAGACAAACAATTTGTATTTATGCAGGTTAAGCGTTACTAATCCCTTCATCAGTACAGATGAAAAAAAATGATTGAAGTATAAATGTGTATCTTAAGTAAAAATTAGTTAATAAAAACATATAATTAGTAAAACATATATTTGTTTACTTTTAAAAAAATGGATTTAGTAAAACATATATTTGTTTACTTTTTAAAAAATGGATTTAGTAAAACATATATTTGTTTACTTTTTAAAAAATGGATGCATTTTTCTGCTTGATAGCCACTTAAATAATAAGTTGTACTGCCTATTAAGAATTGTAAAGAAAATATACCATTATTGTATCGGTGTAAACTGTAAACTAATCTTTAGGAATTGTAGTGTAACATAAAATAAGTACTTGGAAAATTAGGCATAATGTTTGAAAAACTTCCTTTGAAAACAGAAAGTACAAATACTCACTGAAGAACTTGCATAGCAGATGACAATTTTTAGACATCTTTTCTTTTTTGTTGTCATAAAGTTAAAAATAATGTAAATAAAATTGGCTATAATAAACTATATAAGTTAATTTCCCTCATTTGAAGAACTAATGATGTCATACCATCTTACTACTTCCTGGTATCTCCATTTTTCAGGTATACGTTCGGTCAACCATTAGCAGGTATGGTGGAGCTTCATGTTCGCCAAAATGTTCAACTACATCCAAATGAATGTGGAAAAAGTCAGGTCCAAACAACACAGATTGCATTTGAGGTGATCATTAATTTTAATTAATAAAGAAGAAAGGTCGTATAATCATGAAATAGATGAAAAATAAAAAATAGATACAGATTATTTAACATTTATAAAAAATATATTTAGTACTCTGTTTTTTCTATACAAACTTAGTTAATCAAGACTTAGTATAAACAGAACTATTTTATGTCTTATATTTTGATTAATGTCAAAATAGGGTATAATCACATTTGTTAGAGCAGATTTTACAATGTTTCTTCTTTTGAAAAAAAATCATGGTTGCAGATCACTTTTCTTTTGATAAAATGAGGTTGTGTGTCACTTCTTTAATAAGGACTCACAATTAAAACATAATTAAAAAAAAAAACAACATTATTTATAAAAGCTAGAAACCAAAAGTCTTTAGCTTTACCCAAAAGGGAAGGAGTTTCTAGTAAAAATGATGAATATGATATATAAGCTTGATGTCTAATGTAAATTATGAATGGCTAAACATTTTTTTTAAAATATTTGATTTTCAGATAAATGGAGAAAGCTCATTTACAATCCCTAAAGAAGACATCCAAAGGGTAGTTGGTATTTATGATCACTCTGAGGCAAGGATAACAGCCTTTGTCACAGAGGCATCAACAGGTGAATTTTCTTAATTAATATTAGTTCCTACAAGCCAAAAAGTTGAATTTGTGATAATGCATCTTGTTTCTTTTGCCTAAATAAGTACACACTACAAGATTATTTTAGTTTCAAACTCTTTGTCTTTTGCAATTAATTATTTATAATACCTTTCTAATTAATTTTCTTTTGTCCGTAAATGGTTTCATTTTATGCTTTTAAATAAATTTTATAACTGGCTGAAGATAATTTAAAATTTAAAAGGTAAAACCAAATGTGGATATACATGAGAAAGAAAAGAGGAGTAGGTGCTAGTTATTATCTCCTTTTAAGTTTTAAAAATACAATTTTAACTAAACTATTATATAATATACATTGTATAAAAATTCATGTCACTAGATAAGCATAATGTCATCCTAATTTATATTTTTTCATTAAGATTCAAATTCTACATGAGTATGTTTTACAAGTTTAATTTTTTGTGTATAGGTGTCAAGTTGAATGGCAGCAGTGTAATTAAATTTTACCAGAACAAGTTCAGTGTCAAATTTTTGGATTCAACCCCAAATGTTTTCAAACCTGGACTACAGTACACTGCATTTGTAAAAAAAAAATATCTCTTCTTTTATTTATAATTTCTCTTAATTCACTAAATTGTACACTTTTTAAAATAATTTCTTTAAGATGTATGCATTATATATCAAAATACAATTTTTTGTGACAATCTTAAATAAAAAAAAAATTTATAGATTAGTCATGCCTAAATTGAGGAAATTTATTGTTTAGATACTAATAAATAGAAAAATAACACAATGATTTAAAAAGTTAATAAAAAATCTTAAATATGCAAAATGATGGGTAAAAGAAAACCTTTAGAACAACTTAATACATTTGAATTAAATAACCACAAAATATTTTGGTTTAAAAAATTAGTTAATCTAAAATGCAATGCTGCTACAAGTACTTTTATGGTTATGATAATTTTGTCTTTATTTTATCATAGGTCCAGGTGTCAAGTCCTGACAACATGCCCCCCACAGAAGGCAACAATGTCATTTCTGCCTACACCTTAGTCAATTACCAGCAAACGCTCCCAGATCAAAGTTTGTATGGAACAGATTTCTTCACAGGATCATATCCGCTTTTAAGACAAAACTTGACACTCCCAGCAAATGGAGTATTACCAATAGATGTTGATATACCAAAAAATGCAACATCAATTACAATTAAGGTAAACTGTTTTTATAGAAATCAAACAGAGAAAGAAGAAAAAAAAATTACTAAAACAAAAGTTAGTTGTTATAAGCTGCCCTTTAGCAAACATTTTTTAAAGGAGGAATTTGAAACATGTCTGTTAAAATTTAATTAAATGGACTATAATAGACTAATATACTATATCAATTATATCTTATTAGAGAAAACTGTTTTTTTCTTTCATTTAAATTCTTAAATCAGACGTACCATATAAGTTTTTTGTATTTTTATGTTGGATTTAATTTTCCAAAAGCACTACACTCACAAGTTATTTATTAATAAATTACATTTAATCTGCTTACACCATTCTTGGTTTTCTGTTTGAGTGATCCCTATTTAATCTAACTTAATTAAAGCTCTACATAAAATTTTTTCTCGATTTCATTTATTACATTTGTTTAATTATCTCTGATCAGGTAACTTATGGCTCCATTTCTGACACTAGAACAGTGGAGAAAACATACTCAAAAAGTGAAAACTACATCCAGACTTCACTATTAGACAAAAATATCAAGGTAGACATATAACATATTTCACTCTTGTTAAAATAAGAAACAATTATTGATAAAGCAAAATGTTTACTTTTATAATTAAATTTAAAATAATTGTTTATTAGTAACATTTTATTACATGGTGACTAAAGATTTAGAAGGAAAAGCATCTAATCATTAAAAACATTATTTTTATTCTAATAGTTCTAACTTTATAGTTGTCCTCAACTGTCAGTTGATCTCAACTTTTAGCATCATATAATTTAGTGGCAAAATGCTACCATATGTAACATAATGTTTTAAAGAAAAATTGATATAGCTTAAAGTTTAGTTTAGCTGTACTTAATAATGGTTTGCTTGTTTTGAAAATGTCTTTATAATAGACTAACAATTATTGTTATAAAGAATAAAATTGAAACAATTTAAAATCTACAATAAATATTCAGTTTATTAATTTCAATTTGTAGCCTACTATTCATGAAAAAATAATTTTAAAAGAGAAAAGACAAGAGATGACAAATATCTAAAAGTAACATGTAAACTTTTTTCCTTAACTAACAGTCAGGTAATGATGTGACAGTTCGAGTTGTTGGCACTGAGCCTTTAAATAAATTGACTTACCAGGTAACTTTCATTTTGCCAGGACTTATTAAATAAAATTATAATTTACTTAATGATTCTAAAACGAACCATATATTACATTGTATTGACTCATGTGGAATTAATTTTTTATTTAGGTTCTGTCTCGAGGTTCAGTTGTGGCTACAGCAATGTTAGATGCGAAAGGGAAAAGAGACTTCACATTCAAACTAATAGTTACCCCTTCAATGGCTCCAACAGCCCGTCTTGTGATTTACTATGATAGGAGTGAGGATGAAATTGTGGTTGACAGTCTAGTATTTAATGTCGCTGGTCTCTTTGAAAATAAGGTTTGTTTTAAACAAATATTACAATAAAGTAAATGATCTATGTAAATATAAACAAAGTCAAATGATTATTTTGGATCATATTAACATTCTTATCTATATCTATCCATTTAATATAATGTTTTGTTCTTAATCTTGAAAACTTTAGTTTTACTCATAATGAACTGATATTTTTACATTACTTTAGATTTTGATAGACTTAGAGGACAATTTACATTAAAAAATTAAGATATTAAATTATGTATTTAATAACATCTCTGTAACACACACACTAATACCAGTTGATATAATTGCTATTAAAAATGCCTATTTTAATTTGAGAATATAGGCCTATTAGAGTTCTATTGTTTTCACCTCTGGGGTGTGACCTCATTTAAACCAAGGCTATTTTTTTAATACTAATTTATGAGTTGGCTGGTCCCCAGGTGTCAATCAATTTTAATATCAACGAGACCAGGCCAGGTGAAAGTGTAGATGTGATTTTGACTGCTGACCCTGAATCTCAAGTCCACATCCTGGCTGTTGATCAGAGTGTATTGCTGCTCAAGTCAGGAAATGATATCACACCAGACAAGGTGAATGTTGTTTTTAACATTTGATCATAAGAGCCTTAACAATAACTTTTGGCTTGCAAGATGAAATTATATCTCAACAAAATAGAATTTTCATTTGTAAACCTAACAAAAAAAGTAAAATTCATTAGCAATGCTCAACTAATCATAACTCTCTTCACTCTTTGAATCTATGCATTTTACGTTCACTTCACTCTACTTTAATAATCACATGACATTAAATTTACAAACATTTAAGCAGCCTTTTCTATTAACGCATGGTTGCAGTGACAGATTATGGAAAAAATGTCTTGACCACATACATTAATAGAAACATATTATATTTTTAAATTATATTTTAGGTCAATGATGCCATGTCAGATTTTGATTCCGGCTCAAAACCCAAAAACTCGGAGTATGCCCTTTCTTCTAGTGAAAAGTCTGCACATGATGTGTTTTATGTAAGTAACTTCTAAAACAGGTTTCAAATTTTTTTTTTAAATTGTCAAGATTTTTTATTTTCAGTTAAAAAAATTATGACCTATTTTTTAATATACTTTCACAAATAATAAAATTGGGTTCTCAGTTCCAAAAATAATATATTGCTTTATCCGTTTGATCAGCCCAATAAAAATAAAACACTTTCATTTCTTGATAAATCAATTAAAGTTGTTCATTTTTTTTTTCTTAAAATGCTTATGTTTAATTATAGTAGAAGACTGAAAGAAATTGACTGAGACCCATGAGAGAGAAAAATAATTTTATAAGGTTGGATGAGATGAGTAATGAATTCTTTTTTAATTGTAATTAATCAATTAATCAAATACATTAACTTAATATGAAATATTTTTTTTAAACTTTAGAACATAGGCCTCAACACACTTACAGATGTGACACTGACCGCTCCCCAAACATACCCAAGTTATCAGTTAGGTAAAAAATAAAAAAATATTAAACCCATCAGCCTATCATTATTTTATATATTTTTCATCAAATGTAAACATTGATACCAAAATATTTTATATATTTAAATACACCCAACCTAAAATAGTATTGTCTAAGTAAAATTTATTGTTATCAATCATCATTTAGAAGCACAAATGACTTGAAAAAACATAACAAGTCAACATCCTGAGAAAAAATCTATACCTTTTTAAGCAGTACAATCTCATCACAAAAGAAAGCAAAGCCATGAGACACGCTATTATTATCTATAATTATTATTAAATAAAAACATACATAATAGGAGCAAATGGGTGGAGCATTTCATTGTATACAAGTGAAGTAGTTTTGTCTTAAATGACACATTTATTATAGCCAGCAATTCTGGCTTATTTCCGGGGTTATAATAATAGGAAGTCCATTGCACATGTGAGAGGAGAACCAGCATCGATTTATGGGGACTCTCAGATGTGTGGCAAGGGCTGGCTTGTAGGCTTTAGAACATAGTGTTGACCACCTTGTTTATTGCAGTGTCATTTATTAGCAATCTTCCTTGCAAATTGCTTACATTCTATTTAGGGAATGTGGTAAAAATTTAAAACAGCTCTGACTTAAGTAATATTTTGTTGAAAATGAAAAAATACAAAATATTAGTTACACATTATTTCACAAAGCACATTGTTTTGTAGTTAGTGACTTCACAACATGGATCAGCTACAAAGCATAAAAGTGTAACGACACTACTCAATAAAACAATGTGGCGTGTGAAACAAGGCATAATTAACATTTTTTACTTTGTTATTTTCATCATATTTGCCTTCATGTTGAAGTTAAATCTTTTAACAGTCCCAAAATTGAAATATTTCAGAGTTGCTTCCTAATCTCATCCCGGTTTTTAAAGAAATTAAAAATGCCAGTTCATAATTCTATTAGATTTTTTGTGGAGAAAAGTTTTTGTAATAAGACAATATTAATATATTTAAACAATCTACAAATTTAATTGAAAATTTAACAAACCTAACTATTCAGGACTAAGGGGCAAGATGGCTCATGAAAACTTTTGGGTTGGACAGAGATCAGGCATGTGACAAACTGCAATTGCCTTTGATCATGTGCATCCAATGCCTTTTTCTGATGAGTATTGTTTGGACATGTCTGAACAGCTTCAAGATGTTGAAAGTTTCAGCAATGTCTCCCCAGAAGCTTGGCTTTGGAAGAGAACTGAGATTGGTTATGCTGAAAGCATTGATACAAAGTTTTACCAGGAAACAAGCAGTGATTTTTGTCTTTAGCACAAACCCAGAAAGAATTTCTTCTTTTTTTACAAATTTTGTGCAAAGAAAAGTGCATGCAACAGTTTCATCATCTGCAATCTGCGAATGGTTCTAAAATATTTTATCTCAGAAAATCTTTAAGGTATTTGCAATTGAATAATTTATTGATGAAATCCCAAATGCAGGAAATTCATTAAACATTATGAGTGGCATAATTTAGAAACTTTGACAAACAAAATAGGAAAGAGAATGCATCTTTTTTAAAAAAAATATTTCCTATGGAGAAAGAGTTTCAACAAATTAAGCTCAAATTCATATAAATATACAATATGAATGTAAAAATAACACTTTCAGCTGTTAATGACAAACCATAATACTTTCATTATTGATTGTTTCAAGTACATTTGCTTTAACTATACTTTTGTGCGTGTATTTTCAAGGTATCCTATTTAAGCAATTAAATAAATCAATGACATGTTTCTATTTCTAATATATCTTTCTCACTTTAAATATTTATTGATTTTTTTGTTGTTATGTAAATTGCCAAATATTTTATTATAGACGGATTAAAATATAATTATCTATAGCAACATTTTGGATATCTCTTATGCTACCTCCACATATAGTCTTTTTAAAACTAGCTTCTGACTATAATAATGTAGGGTAGTGCAATTTATATGTGCTTCAACCTGCACTATAATGAAAATTAGAAGAAGAAAAAATTCAATTATTACAGATAAAAGGTGTTAAAAATTGTTTATGCAATACAGCATATATTTTTTTTTTTTTGCTTGCCCAGAATGTTTGCAAAGCCATGCATGTAAATGCAAATTTTTCAAATTAGTGAAATGTGCTACGCAACATGTAAAGCATTTTTCAATTAATATCAGACTTAAAATTACCAACCCTAAATACATTTTTCCATCTACAATATCAAAGAATCTATTGGGAAAATTCCTCTGATGGCAATCTAGTTTATTCTCATACTTACTAATAACTAAATTACTAATTAGAGTTAATTTTTTTTCTCCATTAGATCTAAGTGCTAATTCATATCATTCACTTGCTTTATTGGGAACTCAAATTTCAGCACCCCTTGCTTTATTGGGAGGAATGTCACCACCCATGGAAATGGGCTTTGAAGCTAAATCTATAATTATCAGCCATTCTGAATTAGATAGTCAATCAGCACCCTTGATGGAAGTCAGCCAAGTGAGGAAATTCTTTCCAGAGGCATGGTTGTGGGTGACTGCTTCCTTGGGGTAAAGTATTTTTAGGTCCATTATCTTAGTATTACAGGCATTCTTGTATATGCATTGGTTGATATATTTTATACATTGAAAATTGGAGGGAGACAATTAAACAATCTAAAATGTGTATTTTAACTTTTAACATAAATTTTAAGAAATGATGGTGGTTAATTTTTTTATTATTTTTTGAGTGGGGTGGATGGCTGAAGGGAGGACTGATAAAAGTTGTTAAATATCAAATTAATTTTGAAATTGAATGCCATTGTTAAATATAGAATTATAAATATTCCTGTGTTTCAATTTAGAAATAATATTTAGGGGACCCACTTAGTAAAAAAATGTGTCACAAAATAATAAATTCATTCACATAGACATATCAGGATTAAGCTATTCACCCCACATTTGAATTCAATAATGCCTGATTAGGAATAGAATTATAAGACAAGTCATCCTAGTCTCAGATTGATATGAATAATTTTTCCTTAAATAAATATTTAAGAGCCTGTAGTTTACTGTATTCTTTCCATTCATCCACTAAGCTCAACATAAAAATTAAAAACCATGCTTCTAATATGCTTATAAATTTTATAAAGATAAATTATAATATTTGAAATTATTTTCTATTATTTGATTTCTTTGCTTGCTTAGCATTCATTTACCTATGTAAAAATATTGAATGTTAATTGTTCTTTGCATGATATTTACAATGCATGCCTGAATGTTTTAAATTTTATGTTTAAATAATTGCAATGGACTGTGTTTAGATTAATTTAATTAAAGAAAGCTATTTCATTCATTTTAGAAAAACATCTTGGAACTTAGAAAAATGTACTTTTACAGTCAATCTCCTTAATTAGTAATATGTGACTTATTTTAAAAATATATTATTGGTTAATTATCTTTAAAAAATTTAGGCGTCACCCATGTTGAGAATGAACAGTGAAAGTTTACTCATTTGAATATGAAATGCCCTATTAAAAGCAAAATTGTAACTTAATTAAACATACCAAATTGATGCTTTAAGAAGTAACATTATAATGCTTTTGAAAGGTTAAATTAATTTAAAATGATCTCCAACAATTTTAAATAAATATGTTTATTTTGTAATTTGAATCATCTTCACCACAGCCCTGATGGCAAGGCTATTCTCAAGACAACTGCTCCAGACACTATTACGTCCTGGGTGGCCAGTGCTTTTTCTACCAGTCTGACATCAGGCCTTGGTGTTGCCCCTTCTACATCAGTGGTAAAAAAAGGAACAAACCTTTGAGACATTAAAATTTCCAAACATTCATTTATAGTGAATTACACAATTACATTTCCTTGTTACTACTATCTATTTTTCAAAACATAATTGTAATTAGAATTTAAAATAAAAATTTTATCTACAGTGAAGCTACATTAACTCTAGTTCATTTTTTTCTATGAATACAGTTATAAATCTTTATATCAGTGAAAAGAATATTATTAATTTGAAATTGACAGTTAATCATGCCCATCAGGCTCTGTCGCAGAGAAAACCAGAAACACATGTTGTAACTGTAAGACATCAAACCAGTGCTAAAAAATATATTTATTTGGCATCTTAAAGGAGAAGAATTGACTTGTTTATAAAAATGTTTGTCATTGCCTATAACTCATAGGAACTTTCTAGGCTGTGGAGTTCTTACTTGTATAATATAAATTTCCATGCTACTTTCTGACAATTTTTGTCTCTACTGTAATTTGTAGATTAAAATAATGTTACAAATTCTTCAAATAAATTGTACAATGGTAGAAATATTTTGATTTCTTTTTTCAAAAGAATTTTTAGATAAGGCAATATATTTCTACAGTAAATATTTCAAAATAATTATATTTTTTAAATTGATACTAGTTATGTCCTTTTTTTCCTAATTTCTAATTTTCAGTGGTTATTTTGTATGCTACTGTTAAGTTATCTTCATAGTCACATAATAAGTTATTCTCTAATTCTCAGCTCAAGGTTTTTAGGCCTTTCTTTGTAAGCTTGACTTATCCCCGTTCTGTTACTCGTCAAGAGCAATTTGTTGTTCATGCCACAGTTTTTAATTACCTACCATCAGATCTTGAGGTAAGAATTCTGATTTGAAAATGTGTGTTTATTAGACTTTTTTAACTCATCTGCACTTGACATTAACATAAAATTTGAACTAATAACACAGTAACACCCATATCATTAATATTTAGTTCTTTAATTCCTTTCAATATTTGTTACAAAATTACTAAAAACCCAAAATTGAAGTTTTCTTTCACTTAGCCATTGCAACAAGTATTGTTTACTTTTGCTTCAAAGTTTAAAGACCCAGAGTGAAACATTTTTTTACTAAACGGCACACTGTGTCACACTATTTTACCTGATCTCCCCAATTAAATCATTACAGTTAGTAATACAATTAGAAAATTTTATCACACATTTTTGACACCCCAAACCCTTAGACACATGATGGAGTATATAATGCCCCCAGATAAGATTAATACATTTTTTTTTGTTCTGTTCATGTGACAATGGATATTATTTAAATGTATGCATATAAATACATCAATAATATTTAAATTACTTTTAAACTTTATTTATGAAAAGAACCAATTCAAGAAGTTATTAAAGTAATCATGTAAATTAGTATAATTGTAACACTGTTGCAAATGTAATGTGCCCCTATTACATAAAAAAATGTTGAAAACTTTCCAGGTGAAGGTCACGTTGAAAGGTCAAATAGAGTTCAAGAGCATCATCATTTATGAAAATGGTACAGAAATTTTAGTCACTGGAAACCAAGAAACTGCTGTTACAGTAAGTTAAGTAAAAAACTGAACCTTTTGTTGTCTTCAGGTTGTGAATGTATAAAGTTTCTAAAATAAGTAAATGAATTAAGCTGTGATTCACTCTAATTTATATACTGTACACATTCATTTAAAGTAAAAATCCAGTAAGTTTACAACTTAAATAGGACAGTCAAAATCCCAAAGAACAAATAAATAATTAGGCCTACCTCCATCCCATATAACTCACCGTATGCAGCATCTTCCTGTCCCAATATTTGTATGACTTTTGAATGACAGACCAGTAGCAAAACGCAGCCCTGCACTTGTCCAGAAAGCAGCTGTCATTGAAACAATTGAAGGGTTTGCTTAAACACCAGTGAAGGTGTTTATGGATGGCTCTGCCAACCTGTCCTACACTGTATTGGAGGGACAACCAAACAAGGACATTTTATGCTTTTGAGCAGCAACTAATTTCAAAATCCAAAGCTGTGTATCATTAGCTATGAAATAGTATAACAAAGTATGTTGATGCTTGAATTAAAAGAATTGACAATAAGATATAAACGTTTCTGGCAAAAAATTGTGCTCATAATTTTTTTTTAGACCATTGACATCTGAGAATACCGAAAGACACATTAAAGCACTTTGTATAATTATAGGCCTACCTAAGGGCAATAGCACCTAGGTTTGACTACTAGATTTATATGAACCAGAAAATTGAATTAATGAACTAAAGAAAATTTCAAAGAAAAAATAAAGAGGGAATTAAAACAAATTACAATGTCTTGAAAAAGAAAAGTACAAGGTCATACTAAAAAATTGACAAGGTCTTAGAAAAGAAAATGACAGGTCATTTGATTTAGTGAATCCCAATAAAACAAAATGACAAGTCATTTGATTTAGTGAATCCCAATAAAACAAAATTGAATTCCCCACAGGTGAAATCAGGTGAGCAAAGTGTTGCCTACTTTCCAATGTTATCAACTGCATTAGGTGTTGTAGACATTGAAGTTTCTGCTCAATCCACCATTGCGGCAGATGGCGTACGCAGACAGATAATTGTCAAGGTAGGGCTCATTAGTGACATAGCTTCTTGTTTTTAGAAATTTTAATTTTTCAATGAATCACAATTGCAAACTGCAAGCGCACCTGCTCTTTATTGTATTTAATAAAGGTAAAAAATGGAGAAGATGGAAAATATGGATGCCACATAGTAGAATTACCTGATAAAGATATTGTTTACCTTGTTCTTTATTTTTTTCATTAGAAAATATATATATATATATTTTTTATTGTTGATTGCATTCAAAATTATTTATGAATGTATTAATCTACAGCCTGAAGGTGCTCCAGTCAGCTACAATTGCCCTGTGTTTGTTAACATTGACAGCAAATCTTCCCAGAAATTTGAAAAGAGTGTTACATTCACCCTTCCCCCGTCTGTTGTAGTTGGCTCAGAAAGAACCAGAGTGAAAGCTACTGGTAAATATTTAATGTATTTTATTAGGCGGTATATATATATATATATATATATATTATCAATTTTTTAAAAAGCATTTATGTTAGCATAGCAGTAAGTAGAAGTAATACATTTTATTAGAGCACACATTTCTTGAATATTTTCTCAGATTGCTTTCATTGCTGTAATTTATAGAAATAACTTAATTCTACAACTTACGTGTTAAAGGAAATAAACTAATCTGATTTACTAATGTTTAATGCTTTTAAAAAGAAAAAAAGAAAAATTCAAAATTTGAGTTTGTTTTAAACATGAATTTAATTATTCTAACATTGCATACCTTCTTATTCTTCTTCTCTATATATATATTAAGGGCCCACGATCAATGTATTGATCATTCTTGCTCCTATTTACCTATGTACAATAAGATGCTTATCACTAGTTTGGGTCCATATTTTTTAAAGTTATATAAAAATGTTAAAAAATCGTGCCAGTTTGTAATTAAAGCCATTTTAAAATTTTTATACTCATAATAAATGTTAGGCCATTGAACGTCATATGATATCCATAAAAGGTAATCTGATTGGTTCAAGTTTGAGCAGCTTGATGTCACTCATCACTCTTCCAACTGGTTGTGGTGAGCAGAGTCTTGCTAAGTTTGCCCCTGACCTTTACATTGCCCAGTACCTCAATGCCACAGGTCAACTGACAGATGCTTTGAAAAGAAACATCATTGATGTATTAGAAGCAGGTGAGATCAAATCTATTATAAATAGTGCATAAAAAGTAGAATACCAAAACAATAAAAGCTTATATCTTTAAGGTTTTCACTGTTATTCTTAAAAAGGCTGTTTGACTTAGTATAATTATGAAAGGTCTTTTTTTGAAGCTTAAATCAGAATTTAAATATTCTTATAAATTACAGTATTTAGCCAAGATGACAGAAGGTGGCTAACACTCATTCATTGTTTTAAAATAAATTACTGCTGTTCACATCATCTATGTTTAAACAAGCAAATAACATAAATTGAAAAGCTCTTTATGGCTCTTATTTATCCCATCTACATGCTGAACAGGTTATCAAAGACAACTCACTTACCGAAGATTCGATGGTGGATTCAGCCCCTTTGGCAACTATGATGAAACTGGCAGCACTTGGTAAGTGGTTTCAAATGGAATTTATACTATTTCCCAGAATATAGGATAGGACTTTATATACACAAATGAGGGCATAATGGTCATAATAGCAGTTGATCTCATGGACCCTGTTAAAAATGTTGGGTTGATATAATAGTAAATGTTTGGTCTAAATGGTTTTCAAACAATTTTAGATAACTAACTAATGACATGAGATAACTCAGTTTAAGGGATAATATGACATTTATTTTCATGTTTTATTTTGGTAATCCAGAACTTCTTTCCATGTATTTACAGTAAAGATTATGTGTAATTGACATGACCTTTGTTGTTAACCTCTTGCAATTCAATTCCTTATAAATATAGTAAATAAAACATGGCCTCCATCATTAATTTATGTATATTTTTTCCCTTTTATTTATTGTTTTAAAAAAAATGTTATCCTAAAAATTGTATTATATCAATTGAATAATTTCAGGCTGACAGCTTTGACATTCAGAATACTCTCTGAAGCCAGTGAATTCATCTATGTTGATCCCCTAATACTTTCTAATTCTGTTATGTGGATCATTGATAGACAAAATTTGGAGGGTTCTTTCAATGAATATGGCAAAGTCTTGGACAAAAATACCCAGGTAGCCTATAGATCAACCTTGTAAATTTTGCTAGATGTAACATGCAATTATTTATTGAATATCAGCCATACCAAATGCTTTCCAGTTTATAATTTAAAAGATGTTTCTTAGTTTCATTAGCCTCTAAATAATACATTATTTTTTTAAGGAAGGGTACAAAACATTCTTTTTAGACATGATCATCATCTTCATGTCTCTTCTTCTCCCTCCTCTTGTGGTGCCCTGCAATATTTCTTTGGCAAGCCCTTGTTTCCTTGTTACGTGGCCGTACCATTGTAGTTTGCATTTTTTCACAGTCGCCAGTAGGTCATCGTGCTCCCCAATTGCCTGGCGAACCCTTTCTTTCACTTTATCATTGGACATATGGTCCCTGTAGCAGATGCTAAGAGTGCTTCTGAAGCATCTCATCTCCATCGACTTTATTTTCCTTTCAAGATCTCCTGATATTATCCAGGATTCGCAGGCATACAGGGAATTGGAGAGGACTAATGTTTGCATCAGCCTGATTTTGGTGCTTGGGGGTATATTTTTGTCATTCCATATTTTCTTGAGCCTCTTTAGTGCTGTTGTAGTCTGCGCAATCCTGGACATTAGTTCGGGCTTGGAGTCTTCTTCTGAGACTATTGCTCCTAGGTATTTGAAGCTGCCTACAGTTTTTAGTCTTTCCTCCCTGACCTTAATTTCAGTGGCAATGCCTGTGGTGTTATTTTTCATTAGTTTTGACTTTTGGGCTCTGATTAGCATGCCGTAGGACAACAAGGTTTTGTCGAAATGTTTTACCAGGTTGGCTAGCTCTTCTTCGTTCCCAGCCAGTCCGTCTTTGTTGTCCGCAAAGTGTAAGTTGTTGATTGTTCTGCCACCAATGTTGACTGTCCCTTCATGTGCTTCTGGACAAGTAGTCTTCAAAATAAATAACTATTAGTTCTACTCAGCATACATATTTTATCCTGCAGGGAACAGGCACAGGACCTGCCTTGACGGCCTTTGCTTTGTTGAGTCTGTTGGATGCTGAGAACTATGTGGAGAAGGAGGTGATTATCTTATTTGTGTCCTAATTCAAGTTTTTAACATTTCTTGATCATTCAAAACATATAAAGATATTTTCCTACCATTTTTTATTATGCAGTGCTTTAGCAAAGTTTACAAAAATTTATCAAAGGGCTGACATAAAAAAAAAAATTAATACCACGTATAACATAATATTACAATGTCTCTAACATTTAAAAGTACCATAATTTATTGTAATTCTCTTGTTATTGAAAACATATTTCATTGCAATGCAAGGCATGTCTGAAGGAGGGAGGTTCCAGATGTAACTACTATGAACGTTGGGGAAATGCCACTGAAAAAGCAAGGACTAATCTGGAAAATTTGGTGGCCAGTAATGCTGTTGGGGATCAGTTTCCTCTGGCCTTAGTCAGCTATGCACTAAGCAAGGCAAAAAGTCCTGCATCCAACACGGCTTTAGAGAAACTTCTTACATTTTCCCAAAGTGGAGGTAGGAAGAATATTGTTGAAGGTTTAAGCCTACTCCGCAAAATTAAAACTAAGATTTCTTTCAATGATAAGTTTATATCAAAGAATGTGTAATGAACTATAAAAAAAAAAGTAAATCTCTTTTAGGTAAATAAAATTAAATGCACTTACATTTCTATAAATGCAGTGTTTAATGACAAGATCACATAAGTATTTAAGTACAAAAAATTAATATCTTTCAAGAAATATAATAGACATATGCAACAATTTAAGAATGAGTAAGACATGAAAAGAAATTAGGCAGAAAATGGCCAATGAAAGGAAAAATATTTTTAAAAAAAATATGTAAGGCTAGATTAATTATACTTTGTATGCCTTTATCTTTATTAAACTGAACAGCAGTTTTAATGCTATTTACTATCCAAAAGAAACATTAATATCAATGCATGTTTAATGATTAATTTGCCCTTTTATCCATAGGTGGTCTTTTACACTGGGAGGCAAATGACACAACTGTTGAACCTATGCAATCCCACTACTTCAAATGGCGTCCACCCCGAATCCAGGCTAGACCCATTGACATTTTGATTACATCATATGCTATTTTAACATATACTCAATTGGGTCGCATTGACGAGGCCCTTCCAGCTGTCAGGTGGCTGACAACACAAAGAAATGCTCAAGGTGGTTTCTCATCTTCTCAGGTGAGCCTTATAAAACTTAATGAAGGAATTTTTATATCCCTAAGACAGTGCATTATGAAATTATTAAAAAAAAAACAACACATAAAAGCAATCAATATTTTTATTTATCGAAAAATGTCAGGTTGATATTATTGTCACGGGTATTTTGTATTTTCCCATAAATAGGACACAGTAGTGGGACTTCAAGCCCTCTCAGCCTTTGCTGCTAAGTCGTTACAACCTGGAACTGATCTTAACATTGTTGTAGCAACTCCCACCCCCTTGGCTACCTTTTCTGTAACAAGAGAAAATGCTTTATCTTTGCAAATAAAAGAGGTATTTATTGATAATAATAAGCATGTTACCCCTCTAACAAAGGATGTGTATTAAAAACTATTAAAATTTAATTTGAAAAAAATCAATGATGTACTGTATGGCAACAAGGTTTTACCCTGGATTGTCATAAATTACGTATTAAAATATAATTTAAAAATGCAGATGAAACTGGTAAACTTGTTTACCAAGAAAGAAAGAATTTTAGAGTAATAAAGTTGACAACTTTACAAGTATGAAAGATTGTTTTGGGAAAACTAACATTTTTTAGTTATCTGCATATGAAATTAACAGTTGCATTCTACACTAATAACTGTAAAATAATGTTATGCGAATTTTTTGAAAGATATAAAATTCTTAAATTATTGTTGAAATATTAAATAGGATAACTTATATTATTTGCATAGTTTCAGTCTCTTATTTCTGTGACAAACTAATTAGCCATAATTAGTCTTATTTGCAGGGGTTTTGTTTGATGAATTTATGTCTTAGAAACAACTATAAAAGCAGTCAATGTTTTTCATTAAGCTGTTTAACTTATGCATCTACCAATGCAATATCAGCTTCTACATTTATGTATTAAAATTTTAAAAAAGGCCTAATTTTTTTTCCCTCAGTTATTATCATTTATGTTTTTCTCACTTATTACAGCTCTCTGAAGCCCCACAGGAGTTATCAATCAGTGCGTCAGGAACTGGATTTGCTCTTGTTGATGTAAGAATCAATGTTCAATAAACTTAGATTGTACAGTAAATTACCCGGTATAACATTCATCTTATTAAACTTTATAACATGAATAGCACAGTGGATCTCAACCTATGGGTCGCAAAACGCTCAGGAGTTGCCTGCTAATATGACAGGAGTCAAATGAAAACCTCAGTGATGTTTTATTTAATGATGTGCATTTTTGGTCTCAATTTTAACACCATCATTATTTTTAATATACATTAATTATTAATTATTATTAATTATTAAATAATTTTAATTTAAATATTACTTTTGTTGCAGTGATCAGGCTAAGTATGTAGTGTCACCAGACCATGACAAAAACAAAGTTAATAAAAACGTTTATAAATACTGTAGATATAAGCAGCTAAATTAATTAAAAATTTAGAATATTCCTGTTCGTTTTTATCAATTACATTTTAAATAATTCTGATGTTTTTTTGTTTTGATTTTACTTTCCTTTTTACTGTTTCTGCCTAAACTTATAGTTGGTAGTTAACATTTTGTCATTTTTTTATTGTTCCTTTCAGGCTGCAATAAACATTTTAAAGTGAAACTTTCATTCGTTTGAAAATTATACTTGAATAATGAAAAAAAAATAATTCCAGTGAAGTATAAAACTATAAATGAAAAATTATTGATGCTTAAATAACTGTCATTTCACCCCCACCCCCTTTTTTCCGTTTGCTTCCCAACACATATTCCTCAATGTCTAAGAATTATCCTGGTTTTTGGTTGCACAATTTGGAAAATGTTACCAAGGGATAGCATCACTAGAAATTTGAGAACCACTTATGTGGCATTTGAACATAGTGTGTACCTAATCTCTGTCTTAAAATCATAAATTGAGATGATAATGATACAAATTATTTATATTAAGCTGTGGCTCTTCACTAAAAAAACAGTGATTTTCATACCTTAAATGGTAAATATTACCAAACCCTTTACTAATCTCTTACTGACAAAGTGATGCGAACAAAAAAATGGTAGTTAAAACAATTAGATGTTTTTTAAAATAATATGAACCGACGTCATAAGGAGAGACAATTATTTTTGAAAAAACAAAATTTTTTTGTATGTATATGTTTGTGGCCTCACTATATGATGTTGATATGATATTATATGTATAGACCTTCAACATCAAAACTTTCATCTTTGAGTTATTGAAAAGTTGTTTACTCTTTAAGGTTATTGTTGCAGGTTGATTACAGTTTCAATGTAGCATCTGAAGTTACCACACCTTCCTTCGATGTCAGCACAGTTCTCTTGGATGATGGGATTAACTCTTTCAATTTGATGATTTGTACAAAGTAAGTGAACAAAAAAAAGGTCGTCCCCCCCCCCTTGCATCACCTCAGAAATGTTAGCTACCATACAGTCTCTCATATAGAGCATACCAGTGGAAAAGTCACAGCCTCAGTTTCAGGTTTCTGAAGTGGGAAAGTGACTCACAGATATGTAGCACCCTTCATTTTGGTAGTCACAAGGAGCTTTTTTAACGTAAATATAAAAAATACTTAATTTGTTAAACAGGCATCACAAAAATGTTTCCATTATGAACTTGAAAACTGAAGAGTAATTGTAATAAACTACATGATCTTTAACAAAAACCCCACAAAGAACATATTGCCCTCTGCTCTTGTGTAGTGTAAGCAAGAGAGGAAACAATTATCAAACTTTTTATATAAATAACTACAAACTTAACAATAACTGTATGCAAAATCAAAGTCGATTGAATATGCTGCACCCCTAATTTTTATGAAATTTGTTAAATTAAAAAGTGTGACCTATACTCATATAGACAGTATCAACTTTTTCCATTTCAATGTTTTGAGAATTGCCCGTATTTTTTTGTCGTGTATCATACCATGCTGGATCTTCTAATTTTATCAATGACATTGTTTCCTACTATTAAGAAACCAGTTAGTTACTGTTGTCACAAAGAAATTCTTAAACAATTCTTTACTATTTCATTACTGCACATGAATGTTTCACAATAAGTATAACTTAAACCGTAGGACCTTTATTTATTATAAAAATACCCACTTTAGGTTAATATCTTTTAGAGCTCATCTTTACTTTGAGGTTAAATACAATTATTTGTCACTCTCAGATGGTTGTTGAAAAAAGAAACAGGTATGGTTGTACAGGAGATCAGCATTCCCTCTGGATTCCAACCAGATCTCTCTACACTTGGTAATGTGGCTGGTGTGAGGAGGTCTGAGAGGAAGGGAGGAGTTGTAGCCATCTATTTTGATAAGGTTTGTTTTTATAATATATGTTTTGTTTCCATATAATTTTTCTTTTTAACATTAATGCTTTTTTTGTTTTGTGAAGATGGTATCAGGCATCATATATTTCCTGTTTGTTAGCCAAAAAAAAAAAATTAGCACAACTTTACATAATTTAAAATAACATATAGGGCCTAGAATCCCCATTTTTTGAAGAATAGTAAAAAAAATATTTTCTCGAATTTAAAAATAAAGAGAGTAAATTTACATTATAAATTTAAAATTAAGGTCAACATTTATTTTTCAACTTGATTTCTCTAGAAATTGGTCAAGTTAAAAAAAGTGTCTCTTGTTTTTTAATAAAAAAAATAGATTGGCGGGTCATCATTATGCTACAGTTTGAGAATGGTTCGTGAATCCAAAGTGGCCAAGTCACAAAGCTCTTATGTCAAAACATTTTCATACTATTCTCCAGGTAAATTTTTAAATTATTAATTATAGCCTACTTTCAATGATTTTATCAAATATGCTAACTTTTAGTAGATTACAATACAAAACTTTGCTAGTCTGTATCACAGTTGTACAGTGTTATTTCAATCAGTAAATAACAGCCTATTAATCCCAAATAGACATTTTGATGTTATATTTACAAACTACTTTATTAAGTGGAAAAATATGTGCTTAGGCCTGAAAAAAAAGACAGGACAATAAAATAGAATGTTTTTGGCTAGATGCCTTCTTCAACAGACAATACAAAACAAGAAGCAACATATACTTCAAGTCAAAGATGGAAATAAAAACTTTTGAAAATCTGAATAATGTCAATGTAGCTCAGTGTTCAGATGAGGAAGTCAAACTTCGAGCTATAAAACATCACTGAGATCATTTATTAAGTCACTTCTGCTCAAATCACAATGTAGCATGGAAATAGTTATGTTAATATTTAAAGCATTTCCTTTGATTGCTCAAATTTTCTTCTAGATAAATTATTGATTCAAAATATTCCTCTAGGAGACTCCTAAAGGAATTGCAGTTAATCCAAAAGCTTATATTTAGTGATGGAATGATTTAAACTATTTTCTCCAGCATAATTATATGTCTACTATTCTTTTAAAATAGATGACCAGAGCACTGTCTTCTACCTACCAAAAGCACTCCGGGATTCAAACATCTGTGATGTATGCGTTGGGTGTTGCCCATGGCTTCTGCAATGATATATTTATTGCTCCAAGAATCAAACAGTACCAATGAAACAATGTCATTCTATTTTGAGACTTTGAAAAAATATAATTCTTTAGTTAAACAAACTGACCCATTGATTATTTATTTTGATTTGTTTTATTTTTTTTTGTAATGAAGAGGTATTATTGTTTACCTTTATCTAATGTTAATCCAATGTTTAGCATACTAAAAAAAAAGGAAACAAATTCTGAATAGCCACCAGCTCTAATATTGTAACACTAAACAACATTTCATTCTATAAATAAAATAGTTATCAATCTGAAGCAAATAGTCAATTTTTAAAATCAAATTTTCTTTAAAGAACAGATATATCTTAGAGACAAACTAAAGCAACCATTGCAAATTGTAGCAGATCCATAACTCTCTAGATCTTTATTCTATTTAAATAGTATAATTATACACTATTGTTGGAGTAAGAGTAGAGGAACATTATTTCTATCTTGTGTTCATGCTTATATTAGTAATATGCAACCTTTCATATAGATATGACTTTCATTATTAGGGTAACCATAATTACAGTTACAGTACACAACTAATAATAATAAAGACTCAATTTTCACATCAGATTTAGATAGGTTCTCAAAATGACATGAAAAGTTGTGACTACTCAAATATAAAAATAAAATGACTTAAAGCCTAATTTTTTAAATTTTTTTTATGGCATCCTTCCGTCTACGTGAGACGAAGGAGTAGCTCTATATTTCTACACTTTGACGAGTGGCTCACTAGGCCAATCCTTGAATGGCAATCACGGGCGCATCTCTCGCAGGAGAATTTTGAAACCCGGACAATTCTTGATTTTCGAATTGTTCTTTTTGATTCGAGGGCCTCTTTTCGAGTAACTTCTGCCTTTTTCACTCCTCCAAACACTGCTGTACGCCAGTTGGAGCGAAGTTCGGCAATGAACTCCCATTCGTTTGTTTCAATATTGGCTTCCCTCATGCTTCGTTTGCAAACGTCAATAAATCTCAGGCGCGGTCGTCCAATACGTCTTGTCCCCTCTGCCAATTCTCCATACAGCAGTATCTTTGGGATACGTCCTTCCTCCATTCTCCGTACATGACCTAACCAGCGAAGGCGTCTCTTGATAAGAAAGGAGAATATGCTAAACATATGTGCACGTTCCAAGACCTCCACGTTAGGCACCCTGTCCTGCCAACGAATGCGCAAAATGCGACGCAGACATCTTTGATGGAAGCTGTTGAGTTTCCGCTCCTGACTGGTATATGTGGTCCCCACTTCGCTACCATATAGGAGCGTGCTAAGCACGTATGCCTGATACACACTTATTTTTTGTTTTATCAGTTAGATTGGGATTATTCCACACCCGCTTATTCAGTTTAGCCATAGTTGCTGCTGCTTTTGCAATCCTGATATTGAGCTCTTCATCAACGGAGAGAGAACTAGATTATGACCCTCAATAGATATGATTGGAGGGGACGGTGCTTCTTGCATCATTACATGAGTTTTCTGTAGACTAATCGAAAGACCAAACTCTTTACAAGCATGTCATAGGTGATTAACCAGCCCCTGCAGACCTTCTTCTGTGTGAGATGTTAAGGCGGCATCGTCAGCGAACAGCAGTTCACGAATCAGCCCCTTTTTTACTTTGGTCTTTGCACGAAGGCGGGCGATATTGAACAGTCTTAAAGCCTAAACAGCATTAATAAAATAATTACATCAAAGAGTGGTTCTTAAAGTCAGATATGATGGGTGGGGGCATTAAAAGTCCAGCAGGTTTTCATTGGAGTTGTGATTACCCCAGGGGCTGCAGGTGAATAAATATAGGCCTAAGGAGAACTTTTTAAATTCATAAATGTTTATAATAGAATTAGAATAGGGTTCCTAATTATGACATTGTTTGAGATCCAAGGACTATTAGAAATTGGGTTCCTAATTATGAGATTGTTTGAGAACCACGGACCCAAAGGTTTATTATATTTAAAAAATCGATATCAGCACACTTGGGGGGAAAAGAAAGAACAATTTAGGAGCTATGGAGCTAAAATGGCAGCTTAAATAGGGCCATTACTGTAACATAGATATATTAAGCTAACGCATTACCCTAAAGTAACAAATGTGGTGCCCCTTGCAATGCCCCCCCCCAACCTCCAACTTAAAAACTTTTGCACTTACATTACACAATTTTAATATACGTTTACATTTTTTTTATTAATACCTGGTATATAATATAAATGATTCTAAAAATAATCTTTTTATAACCTGGAATGTGTTCTTAGGATGGTAATGGGCGTACCTACCTTTAAAAATGCTTCGCTAAATAAATTCTCATAAAACAGTCCGTTTCATAATAATATTTTAATAAATAAACGAAAATTATGAAAATTTAAGAAAAATATTTCCTAGCTCATAGCTTAATAGTCTAAAAGTTATTAACTTTTTTCCCCTTTTTTTTATCACTTCAGTGCCAAGGATGCTGAGTGCAAATAACCCTCCTTCAGATTTTCGGCCCTTGATTTATTTTTTAATGCTTTTTAGTTATGAAAAAGGAACTCTTTGCTGCGCAGCTAACTGCCCTGAGAAAAGTTCCAAGATTGCTTCCACAGGGAAGGGATTCTGAATTTCCCCACCTACATTTATACTTTGATAAAAGTCTACATCAGACAGAATGAGCTCTTCTGTGGGCCCGTGGTTTTTTTTATTTAACATTTAAATGGAAAGTGTAAAATTTCATCTTTAAGTTTAAGATCTATAAATTCGGGATATGTTTCAGTTCAAAAGTTTAACACCCTCGTAAATTCATTGCCTATAGGCTGTCGGATTAGCAAGAAACGAAAAAGGGTTTGCAATGTCACTGTACAAGAAGCTCTTCTTAAAATTAGTTTCTGATATATGAACATGATTAGATAAGATTCTTTTATTGATGAAAATAAATGGACATTTTTTTTTTATTACGTTGTACATATTCATTTTCAGCAGATAGATAAACATTCTTAGATAGACAAACTATATTTTAAACTATAACAATTTAAACACAAGACATTCGAAGTATTTCTCAAGCACATTCATTAGCCGTCATTTGTCATAGAACTTCGCTCCCTTGACAACAATATTAACTTTTAAGAGTTATTATTTAAATGTTCAACAGCATGTGGCGCATGCTAGTAAATTCGAAAAGACTGGAGAACACATGCATTTAATATCTTTCTGTCCTAAGTTTGAGGAAAAAGAATTTGCACTGATCATGTTAATCTTAGGCATCTGTGATAAAGAGGTTGGGATGTATCTCCCAAAATAAAAGATTTGATCCTGAATTTATCTTTTGGGGATGGCTTATCTAATGTGTCCTTTTCTAACCTTTTCCTTATTTATTTTTCTCATTTTCAATGTCATCAAGACAGTTTTGTAGTCAGCATTTGGCCATGGGGATTTGGCTTTTGTTTGAGCTCATTGCAGTTTTCTCTAATTGTGGTAACAATAATCTCGCAGCGAAAAGTAAAAGTGGTACAAATCATGCTCAATAATAGGGTTATCTTAAACACAACAGGTTTAGCTAACTTTATGAAAATAACGAAACATTTGGACCCATAAAAACAAAGTCACATTCTTCTATATCTTGCAAAAAGATAATAATTGAATTGAAGCCTCATACCTACTTTCCCATTAATCAGACTTGGGGCATCAGTGATAATTATGTAGTACTTCCAAAAAAGGCTTATGGACCAGTTTATGGCTGCGATGTATTTGGGCGATTCATATGAGGCTAAAAAAAATAATTCGAAACTTTGCATCTCTTAGGTTGCAATAAAGAAACAATGTTATTCAATCGATACTGTCAGACATATCATTAAATCGATACCAATCGAGAATTCATTTATTCGATACAGCCAGACAATTCATTGTGTCGATACTGCCAGAAGCGAATTTTTTTTCGTGTTAAACGATTTTTGTTTCGTGTTAAAAGAAAACAAAATGTATGAAAATACCGAGTATTTTGTCGAGAACGCGTTATTATTTCCTATTTTTTATGTTGAGCGTTTTCGCGTTAAACGTAATTCATTGTATACCTAAGACGCCATGAAATTATGTACACAAATTATGATGTGCTGATCCATTTAATCCCTTTTACAGACAGCTCCAGCTGGTTTGAAATCAATGAAACTTTCACACTGGTCAATATCACGACGACATTATATATGGAAGCTCAGCGATCCACGTCAGCGATACTTTGTAAAAAAAACAAAACAAAAAAACAACTTTTTATAAGGTAAATTTAGGTAAATAAAATTACTTCATAACTACATTTTTAGTATTAGCTCTGGATAAGTCTCACTTTTATCTAGCTGTCCCGCGATAAGACTAAACTTTATCCCGTTTTCCCGAGATAATCATCATTTTTAAACCGTTTTCCCGGGATAAGCGTCACTTTGATCCCGTTTTCCCGGGATAAGCCTTAATTTTTTCCCGTTTTCCCGTGATACAACTCACTTTTATATAATCTAGCTGTCCCGGCATTAAGACTCAGTTTTATCCCTTTTTCTCGGGATAAGTGAAACCCCGGGAAATGAGGAACCCTGTCCATGGGCAACAGTTTAGGAACACTGTCCATGGGCAACAGTTTAGGAACCCTGTCCACGGGCAACAGTTTAGGAGCAGCTGTGCACAAGGTTCTTGTCAAACCGTTTAATTGGTGTTGCTCACCACGCAAGTCGATGACATGTTCTGCTAACAAATGGGTCAAAGTCGTGTTTAAATAAAGTAGCCAATTAAGACCTGGACACTTGTTCAATGCGTCATGTCCTTTCAATGAATCTCACAAAGAAGTGATTCAAGAGCACTGTACAAAAATATAGTTTGTAATACATATTTCTAATTTGAGCTAATTTAAAAGAAGAAAAAGAAGAGCTCCGTTCGTATTGTATGAGTCTCTCACACAGACACACACACAAGCGAATCAGCAACCATCGTATGAAGCTCAGCTGATGATACACACACACACAAGCGAACCAGCAACCATCGTATGAAGCTCAGCTGATGATACACACACACACAAGCCAACCAGCAACCATCGTATGAAGCTCCGCTGAAAACAAAACCAAATACAAAAGAAAAACAAACAATCGACACAAGATGTAACTTGAAACACAGGACAAACCAGTAACATGGACGTGTACGCTGAATGACTTCTTTCTCAAGAAGACCAAGCACGAACATATGAAAAGATGATGAAGAAATGACAGAAAGTTAAGTAGGTCTCAAAATGGAACGCAAAGAGGAATTAAACACAATAAAAGTATAATCGGGTAAAGATAAGCTCCAATGAGGTGTCAAGTGTCAAGTACTTCTCTCTCCTTTCAGATAACTCTCAGATGACGTGTACTTTCCATGTTTACGTCATCCAATTTGAGGACCACTTCTGTGTTAAGTGTTGACGTTTTATCCCGTTAGTTTTAGGTGCGGTGTGGGGGGGAGGGGGGAGGAGGAGGAGGTCTCTTCGCGGAAGAAAGAACACGGCTGAAATCCACATTTTAATATTCTGTTCTATTTCTATATATATTGGAATGTCGATATCTTGTTCTTACTATCCCCATCACACAGCCTGACAGTGTAAACATCTTTTAGAGTCGGCGCATTTGGATGTGACTATGTGGCTATACTAGAATGTATTATGTGTTTGTCTGTTGGTTTGTTTGCGTGACTTGTGAGTTTAAGACACAGCCAAATTAAAACTTCCAGCTGTATTTCTTTGAGCATTAGTGGGTTGACAGTGAGTAAATCGTCTTAGTTGTATGTCTTTGAGCATTAGTGGGTTGACAATGAGTAAATCGTCTTAGTTGTATTTCTTTGTGCATTAGTGTGTTGACAATGAGTAAATCGTCTTAGTTGTATTTCTTTGTGCATTAGTGTGTTGACAGTGGGTACATCGTCTTAGTTGTATTTCTTTGAGCATTAGTGTGTTGACAATGAGTAAATCGTCTTAGTTGTATTTCTTTGTGCATTAGTGTGTTGACAGTGGGTACATCGTCTTAGTTGTATTTCTTTGTGCATTAGTGGGTTGACAGTGGGTACATCGTCTTAGTTGTATTTCTTTGTGCATTAGTGGGTTGACAGTGGGTACATCGTCTTAGTTGTATTTCTTTGTGCATTAGTGGGTTGACAGTGGGTACATCGTCTTAGTTGTATTTCTTTGTGCATTAGTGGGTTGACAGTGGGTACATCGTCTTAGTTGTATTTCTTTGTGCATTAGTGGGTTGACAGTGGGTACATCGTCTTAGTTGTATTTCTTTGTGCATTAGTGGGTTGACAGTGGGTACATCGTCTTAGTTGTATTTCTTTGTGCATTAGTGGGTTGACAGTGGGTACATCGTCTTAGTTGTATTTCTTTGTGCATTAGTGGGTTGACAGTGGGTACATCGTCTTAGTTGTATTTCTTTGTGCATTAGTGGGTTGACAGTGGGTACATCGTCTTAGTTGTATTTCTTTGTGCATTAGTGGGTTGACAGTGGGTACATCGTCTTAGTTGTATTTCTTTGTGCATTAGTGGGTTGACAGTGGGTACATCGTCTTAGTTGTATTTCTTTGTGCATTAGTGGGTTGACAGTGGGTACATCGTCTTAGTTGTATTTCTTTGTGCATTAGTGGGTTGACAGTGGGTACATNGGGGGGGGGGGGGGGTGACGCTCCGCCCACGTGCTATCATGGTTAATTTTTTATTATTTTTTAAATTTTTTCTTCCTTTTTTTTTTTTTGTTGTTGTTGTGGCTCGGGCCTTATAAAACCTGACATGCCCCGGAGATCCAATCCTTAAGACGATATTACTGTTTGGGGCTTGTGCCAGGCGTGTCATACTCTTCATTGCAACGAGCTCATTAACGTAAGAAATTTTGTGTTCTGCACGTTGAAGTCGTTTATTGATAAAACTTTCTTATTCATTATTTCTCAAATAATGTAACTATATATATATTTTTTTTAAAGAGACTATTATTGTTGAAATTATTTCGATCTCGAAAGGTCAAAGTTTAACTACTCTTGTTGGCCATTTGTGATTTTAGGCCTTCAATACGTCGAAGGTTTTTTGTTTTTTGTTTTGATTTCGGAGTTTTTTGCTCACGGCTGTCATGAAACGGTGTGGGGTGGGGGTGGGGTGGGGGTGTTCTTGCCAGAGGTTTGGTGGGAAATAATAAACTTTTACTATTTGGAATCGAATAATATCAACAATAACAGTCTCTTTTTTTTTAAATAGAGTAACATAGAAAATTCCACACAGACATAACTATGCATATGAAAACAGCGCACACAGACTATTGTGAATATTCGAAATTGAACCAAATTAACAATAAAATTAAAGGTTTCAGTTGGGTTGGTTTACAGCTTTTAAAAAGAAATTGTGGCAAGTATTAAAGAATATAAAAATTGTATTTAATGTTGCATTATTCTTTTTTCTACAAAATGAAACGGCATCAAATTTTGCATACCTGCCGAAATATAGTTTTGCAAGTTAAGCAATAATTTATTTAGTGTTAATTGGAGAAACAAAAATGTATAGAATATGAAGTTTTGATAAAAACATTTTAAAAACAGGAGATTTAAAATGGATTATATCTAAACATTTTTTTTTTAACTCTAAGGTATATAATATTATTAGTGAAATGTGAAATACTAATGTGAATATTTTATATCTATTTGGCAATACACAAACACAAATATTTTTAATTATATAATTATTTTAAAAAAAAACAAGTCTGGTATAAAATTTATCTAAGCTCAATTATTGACACCTACAAGACCAGGTAAATGAAGTAACTTGGCTTTCGGAGGGAGTGGGATACACTTTATTAAAAAAAAAATTATTTCCCAATTTCCCTTAGAAAAATTAAAACAAATTTCCTTTGAAAAAAAATTTCAATTTCGAGCAAAATTCCATTCCCAACAACATATTCCCACACGAGCGAAAGTCCATTCTAATAGACACACGCCGAGAAAAAATTCCTTTGAACAAATCTCTTTGGTATTTACATCAGGATACGAGAACAGATCGTGATTCAGAGAACACCATGACGTTTGGGGACTAACTTGTACGCGTCATCACCGCGGCGTGCCTGCAGCAATGACATGTGATTGGCTTGTGTAGATCTTTCACTAAGATTCGCGCTCTTAGCTTTTTCAGAATGCCCCGGGTTGGAATCCGGTGCCAGGCCAAAAAAAAAACAACAAAAAAACAAGTCGAAATAACCGGATCGTACAAAGTGTCGGAAAATCTTGCTGCGTATTAGTTTAGTTGTTTTTTTACCTTAAAAAGAACCCCCCTTAAAGTATTAGTAACGTTCAAAGGGAAATAGCGAGGTACATTTTTGTTCCTTCTTCTTTACAGCACAAGAGACCAAACAATATCACGTCTTCTTAACAAGCATATTTTTTTTTTCATCACACTTCCCTCTCACAGTAAATGTTGTTACCATATATTAGAGACCGACCGAAAGTAATTTTATGATTTCGGGCGAAGTTAAAAAAATGACTTTCGGCCGAAACCAAAGCCGAAACCGAAAATGAAATGTTTAGATATTTTGAAATTCGTTCCCACATACATTCTGCATACATCGAAAATGATGGGGGAAAGTATAAATATTTACATTCTTTTTTTTATAAAAAAATGAGATAATCGTGAATATTAATAAATAAACATCTAATATAACCTCTTGTTCTTAAAGATCGTTTAGTTTGTTCTTAAAGATCGCTTAGTTTTTTCTTAAAGATCGCTTAGTTTGTGTTATTAAAAGATCGTTTAGTTTGTTCATAACGATCGCTTAGTTTGTTCTTAAAGATCATTGATTTTGTTCTTAAATATCTCTTAGTTGTTCTTAAAGACCATTCAGCTTGATCTTAAAGATCAAATAGTTTGTTTTTATAGATCTTTTAGTTTTTTTTATAAAAATAGTTTAGTTTGTTCTTAAATATCGCTTATTTTTTTGTTGAAGATCGCTTAGTTTGTTCTCAAAGATCGCTTAGTTTGTTCTCAAAGATCGCTTAGTTTGTTCTTATAGATAATTGATTTTGTTCCTTAAGATCGATTAGTTTGTTCTTAAAGATCTTTCAGTTTGTTCCTAAATAACATTTAGTTTTCTGTTAAAGATGGCTTAGTTTATTCTTATAAATCATTTAGTTTACTATCAAGATCATTTTTTTTTGTTCTTAAAGATCATTTAGTTCATTCTTAAATATCGTTTAGTTTGTTCTTAAATGTCGCTTAGTTTGTTATTAAATATCGTTTAGTTTGTTCTCAAAGATCGCTTAATTTTTCTTAAAGATCGCTTTATTTGTTTTTAAAGATCACTTTATTTGTTTTTAAAGATCGTTTAGTTTGTTCTTAAAGATCGCTTAATTTGTTCTTAAAGATCGTTACTTTGTTCTTAAATGTCGCATATGTTTTTGTAAAATATCGCTTTCGCTGAGTATTAGATGACCGAAAACCTCAGCCACTTTCGGCCATCTAAGTCAATTTCGGCCGAAACCGAAGAAAAACCGAAAGTTAATTTTTCTTTTTCGGCCGAATCCGAAGGTAAGCCGAAAGTTAACTTTCAGTTTCGGCCGAAACCGAAACTTGGCAGAAAGTGATAAAATGGCCACTTTCGGCTCCGAAACCGAAGCCGAAATTCGGTCGGTCTCTACCGCATATTTTCCACACGTCCATGTGCCTGCGACAACCTGTGCTACAAGATAGATTTAAAACTGTTTTCGCTATTAAAAAGAGAAGCACTTTGCCATGTCACCTATAATGTTATGCATTCTAACTAACCCGGGACTTTAATTGATTTGTGAACGTGTTGCTGTCGGGCGTTTAATTAGTTTTAACAATTTATACCTCATGGGTTCTGAGAGTTTCAAACTGCAGCTTGTATTTAGAAAGATGTCGACCAAAAAATGATACGTATTAAATCCACCAATAACTCGACAACGTATGGAATGACTAAGAGGACAAGGATACTTAGTTGATATTTTTGCTTTATATCCTAAAATGGGTACGTGTTTAAACACATCCATACATAAATCGATTAATGCAAATTACAGTTTGACTTGAGTCCTTCCACGGCTGGTTTTGAAACACCATAATAAAAACGCTTGCAAAAAGCCTGTTCAACCTACTTTGGAAGAAATGGAAAAAAAAAAAAAGAAAAATAAGTATCAATTTTGACACGAAATAAGCCAAAACAAAATAATAATGATAATAATAGCAACTTTGACTATATCAAGAAATCAGATGAAAAGAAAAAGTTTACAGTATCCTCAGTCTGGACAGGATGTGGCTCATTTGTTGGGGGGGAGGGGGGTTTCTGCCCCCCCCCCTATTTATTGGTGATGAAATATGAAGTGGGTAGTGTAACGAGTTTGCAAATAACACCCAGATGAAGTATTAAACAATTCAGGGGTCGATCAAAGAACAAAGACCAAAGCGAATGAGACATATTTTACTGCTTGCGGAGCTCTGCCTTATTCAAACTTAGTTACTCTTAGTTACTCTGGTATAACCAAATAGTACATTGTTACGAATCGGTCATTACCAGGGCTCGATGGCTACGTTTTTCTAAGGGCTATTATATTAATTACACAAACCAATGCTTCATAGAATAAAGTATATTTATTAACACAACTAAACTACATCTTTAACTTCCATTACTCCATCACACAAAATACTACACAATAACAATGCGTAATTTCATCTCCCACAAAATACATAACAAAATACTAAGTATAATAGATAAAGCAACACACGTACTCTACTAAACAACACGCAATCACGAAATACATTGAAGTCGTTAACATACATATCATCTCAGATTATTACTAATGTCACCTGAGAATAGTACTAATACCATCTCAGAATAGTTAACTCAGTATTCAAACAGACCGATGCTTTAACATTTTTTATGATCCATATTTTTTTGTAAATATGCTATACACACTAGAGACCGACCGAATTTCGGCTTCGGCTTCGGTTTCGGCGCCGAAAGTGGCCATTTTATCACTTTCGGCCAAGTTTCAGTTTCGGCCGAAACTGAAAAGTTAACTTTCGGCTTAATTTCGGTTTCGGCCGAAAAAGAAAAGTTAACTTTCGGTTTTTCTTCGGTTTCGGCCGAAATTGACTTAGACTTTCGGCCATCCGGCTGAAAGTGACTCAGGTTTTCGGTCATCTAATACTCAGCGAAAACGATATTTTACAACAAACTAAGTGACATTTAAGAACAAATTAAGCGATCTTTGAGAATAAACTAAACGATCTTTAATAACAAACTAAGCTATCTTTAACAACAAACTAAGTGAACAAACTAAACGATCTTAAAGAACAAACTAAACGATTTTTAAGACCGAACTAAATGATCTTTAAGAACAAAACAAATGATCTTTAATAGTAAACTAAATAATTTATAACAATAAACTAAGCTATCTTTAACAGAAAACTAAATGCTCTTTAGGAACAAACTAAAAGATCTTTAAGAACAAACTAATCGATCTTAAGGAAAAAAATCAATTATCTTTAAAAACAAACTAAGGGATCTTTATGAAAAAACTAAGCGATCTTTAATAACAAACTAAGCTATCTTTAACAACAAACTAAGTGAACAAACTAAACGATCTTTAAGAAAAAAATAAAGCGATCTCTGAGAACAAAATAAACGGTCTTTAACAACAACTAAGCGATATTTTTGAACAAACTAAGCGATCAATAACAAGCAACTAACGATCTTTAACAACAAACTAAACCATCATTAAAAACAATTAAAGCGACCTTTCAGAACAAATTAAGCGATCGTTTAGAACCATATCAGAACAACAATTTTTAGAGACCCGATTTAAAAAAATATTTTGCATTAATTTTGCCCCCCCCCACCCCATTTTTGCCAAATTTTCTCCTACCATACTAATTAAAAAAAATTGTAAAGCAATTTAAATTAATTTTATATTAAAATGGTAAAATCCAAAGTATTCATTAGATCAAGGGTCCCAAACTCAAATCATCAGGGGGCCGCAGGAGTTAGTGTCTGAATGAGAGCAGGCCGCATCAAGTAATCCACAAAAAAGCGATTACACCTGTTACAATCTGCTCAACCTTTATAAATAACAATAAAATCTTTAAGGGTTCTCAAGAAATAGGATTCACTTTCATCCACCTACTCACTGTTGCATACAAAAATATATAGAAACATTTTTTTTTAAATTTAGAATTAGACTAGTCGGTAAGATTAGTCTGAAACCGTCGCGGAGCGTCACGTTATAGATATGAGAATGGGGGAAACGGGATGGCGCATTTACACTAAACTTTTCTGTCAAGTAGCGGGCCGCAAAATATCGTCTTGCGGGTCACAAATGGCTCGTGGGCCGCGAGTTTGAGACCCCTATATTAGATGTTTATTTATTAATATTCACGATTATGCCATTTTTTATAAAAAGAATGTAAATATTTATACTTTCCCACATCATTTTCGATGTATGCAGAATGTATGCGGGAATGAATTTCAAAATATCTTAATATTTTATTTTTGGTTTCGGCTTCGGTTTCGGCTTCGGTTTCGGCCGAAATTCATTTTTAACTTTCGACCTTTTTTCGGTTTCGGCCGAAAGTCATTTTTAAACTTTCGGTATTTTTTCGGTTTCGGCCGAAAGTCATTTTAAACTGTCGGCTTATTTTCGGCTTCGGCCGAAATCAGAAAATCACTTTCGGTCGGCCTCTAATACACACCTGTGTTCTATTGCTACTTACATACAACCCCGTGCTATTATCAATATAATCCAAAGTTTAAAAAAAAAATTAAAAATATAAAATTTCTTTCTTTATTCCTAGCTGAAAAAAAAAATATTCAAAAAGTTATAACCACTAAAGCGCAACAGTATTTTAAATAAAATGAAAACGCCACATGTATGAAATGGTAAATTTATCCACAAAAAATGCACCTAGAAATACAAAATAATAAAGGTGTATACATAATTATTAATATTTATTTAGGGTTTCTTTGTCACTGAAATTTCAATCAATTCGTTTTATCTTAAGATATAAAAGTTTAAATGATTTTTTCGTTCACCTTGACGTCAGAAGAATTAATAAGGGATTTTAAAAGAAATATATTGCACTCTGGATGGTGCCACTTAACACCTTCAGTTTAGGTAACTCTTCTAGCAACAAAAAGGACAGGAATTTTGAGAAACCTCAGTAAAACAAATGTTTAAATTTGATGTGGTAAAATTCACATTAGCGAAAAAGATTTTACTTTTTTAAAATCCTTTTAGTTTAACTCCAAGTTAACTCTTATCATTTTGTATGAATTCTATCATCGATACAGGCCCCTTAATCTCTTTTGCTTCATTTTTGTTGCAGGCTCGTAAATGGCCAAGGGCGAATTAGTCCTGTTTCTGCTTTTGTTAGCCGTGGGAGCTAATAAGGCGTGAGTAACTGTAGTTAATACTTTTTGTTGTTGCTTATTGCGTCAAATAGCAAACTTGTAAGTTCCACCAATAAGAACATCCTAGACAGCCATCTTGACTAACTGCACCATATCCTAGAAAGTTTTGAGTCCCGTAGAATTACCATCTCTCAAAGTTTGGGGATCCTTGATTTACCGATTTAAAAAAAAAAATATGTGTATTTAATTTATAAGCATTCTCCGATTACAAAAAAAAAAAAAAAAAAAAAAAAAAAAAACAAAAAAAAAAATATGTATTTTTAATTTAAAAACATTCTCCAATTAAAAAAAAAAAAAAAAAAAAAAAAAAAAAAAAAACTGTTCTAGGAAGTAAATTTATTGACACCCAACTTCCATATATTATTCCAGTTACTTCATCTAACATTAGATCTAACATTTGATGTGACCTAAATAAAACATTATTGACGCGGGCGTTTCGATAATTACATTATTCTTGTCACCCTATCCTTATTATTGCTCTTCCCTGGCAATAACAATAAATAAAAATGTTAAGAACAGCATAAGATAAGGATTTTGAATGAGCAAAAAAAAAAGTATTTTCTCCACATTTAACCTTGGTTGAGCGATGTTATAAAGTCAACGATGATTATGTTGAGAATCGCGATTGTTCTACATTCTGAAAGCTGGCCATAATTTGAATGATATTCTTTGTTAAACAAGAATACGCATTGAATATCCGAAATCAGAGGCGCGATACTTGACACGGTGTTGCTTTAAAAGTTGAAACTTGATTCTGGGTTTTGTTCGAATACTTTGTATTCGAAAATATTGGTTCATCAATCGAATCGAGCGAGATCATTTTAATCATCCGTGTTTTGTTTTGCGGGGGCGGAATCTTTCTGTGGGTGCGCAGATGGCTGATTAGGCGTAAGGGATTGATGGGGCATCTCCAGGGGGCAGTAGATGCAAGGGATTGATGGGACAACTCCAGGTGTATTTGGTGCAAGGGATTGATGGGAAATCTTCAGGTGTATTAGGTGCAAGAGATTGATGGGACATCTTCAGGTAAAATAGGTGCAAGGGTTTTGATGGGACGTCTCCAGGTGTATTAGGTGCAAGGGATTGATGGGACATCTCCACGTGAAATAGGTGCAAGGGATTGATGGGACATCTCCAGGTGTGTTAGGTGCAAGGGATTGATGGGACATCTCCAGGTGAAGTAGGTGCAAGGGATTGATGGGACTCTCCAGGTGTATTAGGTTCAAGAGATTGATGGGACATCTCCAGGTGAAATAGGTCCAAGGGATTGATGGGATAATTCCACGTGAAGTAGTTGCAAGGGATTGATTGGACATCTCCAGGTGAAATAGGTGCAAGGGATTGATAGGACATCTTCAGGTGTAGTAGGTGCAAGGGATTGATGGGACATCTCCAGGTGAAGTAGGTGCAAGGGATTGATGGGGCATCTGCAGGTGAAGTAGGTGCTAGGGATTGATGGGACATCTCAGGTGCAAAGTTAATCCATTTTTATTTTATTTTTTTTTCGCTCTACTGCAGACGGTCTCCTGGCTTTTTATTGCATGGCGCTATAAAATGTATAACCAACTTATTTGAGAAGCTGACCATCTGTGTGACTTATGCCAGCTTCAAAACTATAGTGGCACAATAATTTGTAAGGGATCAAAGGGAAAATATTTAAAAAAAAAAAAAGCAATCGAGTTTTTTTCCCATTTTTCTTGGGAAAAATCAACTGGAAATTATTTTTTCAACCAAAAAACATATACGTCATTCCCCCCCCCCTTTTTTTTTTTTTTTTTTTTTTGTTTTTTAAAAAAAAAAAAAAGCAATCGAGTTTTTTTCCCATTTTTCTTGGGAAAAATCAACTGGAAATTATTTTTTCAACCAAAAAACATATACGTCATTCCCCCCCCCCTTTTTTTTTTGTTTTGTTTTGGGTTTATAAGTCTCGAATCAGTTAAAACAAATACGACTTATTTTGACCAGACCACAAAATAGTTGATATATGTAGAATTTTAAATTCTTTTGTGATATCTTTATTTTATTTTTAATTTTGTCATTTTGACATACATATAATAGGCTCCCTTAAAATATCTATTGGTCGGGACTCCTTTTTGTTACAATTCAACGTTTTGCGAGAGGAAAGGCGTGGAAAGGAGTGCTTAAAATAACCTACATGTACGTGAATGTCCAGTATGATGTTTGAAATGGTAAACAAAAATCCTGTGCCGCTGCTTGATTCATTCACAGACAAAACAGTTATTTCATAACTTTCCCGAAAACGTTGATCCCTGGGTCAAACCTTGACATCAGCATTGACATCCTGAAGGACAACATCACCGTGCCGGTGGAGGCCACGATTGAGCGTAGCTTTTATAACCTCAGCACCTATGAGTATGACATAATCCCTTTACAGACAGTCTCTGGAAATTTCTACAAAGGTAACCGCCCATTACAGAACGGCCTGCTTACAATCATTTTATGAATGTCCCTTGGTCATAGGCAAAGTGTGCGCTTGGTTGGTTTCCTAGAAAGAGTTCAAACGAATCCATCTGTCCCTATGGCGCCCCGGCCCATGTTGGTCTTTTGCCTGCCTCCCCACATCCTTCCACTCAGACATAACTGGTGATTTTATTTTCCATTCTTGGGTTTCCAGCGGCTGTAGATCCCTCTCCATACCATCCGTCAGTCTTAGCCTAGGTCTGTCTTTGAGCCGTTTTCCTCTGTTTTTTTTTCCACTCCACTCTTCCTAAGTGTCCTTTCCAGCGTAGCCTGCAATGTTTTTATTTCCATTACTAATGTGGGATCCTGATACAGAATATACAATTTCTGGTCAGTTAGTATTCTTCATCCCTATGCATCCATTGTTGGTCGGTATATTATCTTGAAAAGTTTTTTAAAAGTTCTTTTAGGGTAATACTGTTAGAACTCTTGATTAAAAATAAAATCTTGAAATTTTAGTAAATTTGAACGAATAAATGATACAATATTTTCCAAAACCACGAACAACATTGTCTTTTATTGACGTCTCTAACTTCGTTTTGTTTTAATTTTTATTCTAAAATAATTTGTAACTTTTCTCTTTGTTTACAGGGGAGACCGGAACCCTGTCACTGCCGGTAGGTGCACCTAAATATTCTTTGCCTTCATCATGTCTACTTTTCATATTGTTGTAATACGATATTGTTTTTTATAAAGGGTAAGATGTCGATAATTATGAAGGATTTGCAAAAAAAAAAAAAATGTTTCTTGTGTTCACGAGATTATTCAGGGTGGAAGAAACGCGTTTCGGGCCATAGGAAGTGCCTGGACCCGGAGATCTACTTTTACAAAATTCGTATTTTCCTATTTTGTTCTATAAAAAAAATGCTTTTTTGTTGGTCATGAAAAATACATTCATTTAAGTATCCATTAAATTTACATAATATATGTATTTTATATAATATATTTAATGTAAATTTAATTCCAAACCATGCGTATATCCTCCTTAAAATGAAATAAAAGAATAAGTATGGGCTCAAGCCCCTGACAGAAACAACGTCCCGGAGAACTGAAAGAAAGGGGGTGGACGTAAAATTAAAGGACCGATCAAGAAAAAAACATTGGAGCAATGTAAAATTGTGAATTTGGTTCATTACGAATGGAGTAACGTACCAAACCTTGATATTAATATTTTTTTCATATACGTTCTACAAGTTGTATTATTTGCATGCACTATACCAGTAACTGCAATGTCTAATATTCCATCATGGTTAGCCCTGTTGAAATGTTTGGAAACTGGACAAAGGGCCTATCCATTGATGTTACACAGGTGTTTTCTAAAACGGTCTCCAAGGCTACGACTTGTCTCTCCCACGTACGATTTTCCGCACGTTTAAAAGGATGGTGTAAATCACGCTGCGATTCGATGAAAGTAAAACCATCTTTTACTCTGAATATTTTCAGAGTGAACTTGATCTTTTCAACTTACTTTTGTTACAATGGCTACGGTTGCATCTTTTTGTGCATACAATGTGCTTTAATAGCAGTGAGGTGGCCTTTAAGAAACATGTCTTTAAGGCTCCGGAAAGCGAAATGGGAAGCTATTTCTGAAAATCTCATTGGTTATAGGGTCTGCTAAACAGAATGGACCGGTTTATGAGAAAGAGATAGCGGGCTATAAGGTTATGTGGAGGAGAAGTTAAAATTGAATTTAGACTTATCCCCAAATGTAAGAATGAGTTGCTTTAAACCAGACCTGCACAACTCAAAATATAAGGCGGGCCGTAATACTTCATGAAAAACTTGCGCGGGCCAAAATACTTTATGAAAATCTTGTGCGGGCAGAAAGAAGATAGGACAGGGGGGGGGAAGATATTAAGAAAATAATAATAATAATAATATAAACTATTTCCTTACTTTTGCGGGCCGCAAAGTGGGTGCTGGCGGGCCACAAAGTTGGTGCTGGCTGTCCGCTAAGTGGGTGCTAGTGGGCCACATGTGGCCCGCAGGCCGTATGTTGTGCAGGCCTGCTTTAAACGAATCATGTCTGGTCATACCTTTAATTCGAGTGAGCACCGCTTTTAAGCCTGATAGCATTAAAAGTTGTTCCCAAAGAGCGTGTTGAATGAGAGAAAATAGAGATATGACTTGAATGGCTACAACAAATTTAACAATGCCACCATCGATGGTTCCTTGTTGTGAACTACATTGTTGTGAATGTTTGGTAGTGGAAGTTGTTGATCGTGTGTGTTTTGTAAGTTGTTGATCATGAGGTCAGCGCGTGAAGTTGGTTCGTGGTGTTGAGCTTTAGTGTATGCTGAATTTTTTTGTTGGGATGTGAAAGGGCAGTGGGTTAGTTAGTCGTGAGATGAGCCGAGAATCTAAGAGTAAAGAGAAGCGAGATTGTCGAGAGTTGTGGGAGTCCCGAGTAGATCGTTAGAGTAGTCAAGAGGAGACAGGTAGACTCCTGTTTGGCTGCATCAACACCCACCAAAGGTATGGAGTCATTATCAGAATCGACAAACACAGTCAGCTTGTTTTTATAACTTACTATTTGTTGGACACCAGTTCTGTGTCCAGCCACCACAGCAGTGTTTTCTTAGTACCGTGCTCGACAATTTTCTAGCCCCATTTCATCTTTCTCTCGCTGGTTCAAGATGTCTACCTATGCTTCTCAGTAAATTTTAGCTACCAGTTGATCCCATCAGGAGGATGAATTCATTCAGCACACAAGCTTGATCTAGCGTGGTCCTTCAAATAAGTTAAATACTCTTTCATGAGAGTGTCAAAACTTCAAGTAGTTTTAATAAGCCAAGATATTGGAGCCATGATCCCCTTGCTCAAGTGGTTCTATATCCACGCAAAGCTATTTTCGAGCTGCAAGAAACTTCATGCAGTGGAGGATTATTGTTAAGCTTTTCGTTTTCAATCTGTAATTAAAAGTTCCATATCAAAAACTCTATTTCCCACTTGATTTCTCTCCATTTTTGTAGGGTGGCACCCCATAACCACTTCAACGAAATGAAACTCATTGTGGTCCCTCAGATCAGACGACCTAAAATGCGGGTTTGGCGACCTTCAGGTGGCGTCCAGGGCATCTGCCCTAACTGTCATGCCCTTTGAATTCAACGTATACAGGCAAACATACCCCCGCGCTTCAGCTTTCCGATCAGTGGTGGAAAATGAAACGCCAGCATCAGAGCTTCTCATGTCGGACTTCTAGGTCCCCACTTAAACAGGCTTTACCACTAAAGGGATGCGAACTGCCGGCATTCCACACTGGTATCAGAAACGGTTGTACGCCTGTTAAATTCATTCCCCAAACTTGATCTTAATTGGAGAGGTCAGGGCGGTGTGGGAGTCCTAGTGTGTTTTCGTGAAAGCTCACCTCCACTAACCCCCCCCCCCCCTTAATAAAATAAAAAAAAATTATTGGATATGAAATCAAATACATTTTATTTTCGGTAAATTTGGAAAAAGGAAAAGGATGACGTTATCTTAAGCTATTTCAAACTTAGAATGTAAAAAAAAAAAAAAAAAAAAAGTAATAATAAGACACTTGATACCTAAAGAATAAACTCAGATTGAAGTTTTCTATATTCCCATTTTCTAAAAAGAGGTCGGCATATTGACTTTTCCGTACTTAACCCGGCCAGCTGATTTTTCGGCTTTGGTTAAAAACCATGGAACTGTGTTAACATCTGTGACTCTGGGTTTTATAACGGCACACCTTTTCTTCCCGTCAAAACAAAAGGAAGTTGAGGACGTAAGAAGATTTTCTATTCAAATTATTTTAGATTTAAAGCGAGCGAGTTTAAAAAAAAAATAGCAAAACCACAAAACTAACTTGCTCCGACGTCTATGTCAAAGCAGAGGTGTAGCTAAGGTGGGCAGGGGGCACAAATGTCCATGGGTGCCAGACTAGTTCGGGGCGCTAAAATGTGCTTTGATATTATTTTATTGATAAAAATAATGGGTTTCAGAGTTTAAAAAAGAAAGGGAGGCTCATTTAAATGAATCTTGTCCCCGGGTGCCAAACACTCTAGCTACGCCTCTGTATCAAGGGACTATCAGCCGATGGACCCCTCTCCGGCCATAACTCTGATGACTAGTGGCTTGCCGTTGTCTTTTCGTCATATATCAGATTAAGCCCGACATTGAATGCCAGTATTGCACGCTTAGAATCAGAGGGCGCGGCGCCTTGCAGTTTGAGGACAGCGCTTATGTGGACGTGAACAGCCAGACGGTGTCTGTTTTAATACAGACGGACAAGGCCATCTACAGACCATCACAGACAGGTATGAATAATCTTTACCGTATGCTGTTCATGTGTCATGGGCGATTCAAACAGGGGTGGCAGGGTGGGTGGGAACTACCTCTAATATAAGCCTATAATACAATAATTTTAGATTCAAGGATCATTGAGTTTTCTTTACAAACTTATTCATGCAGTGCATAAAAATAAATTGTATAATTCCTTTGGTTTCTGTTAAAGAAATTAATTTTCACAAAATAGTCACAGACTTCCTTTTTTATAGTATACAATCGCGTATGTGTCGTGCGTTTTGAAACAAAGAAATTCGATAACAATTAGTTGTATGACTCACTCATTCAACATCAATTTTGATTAATGATATTCCGTGTGGAGTGGTCATTTATACGAACAGTCGGAGAATCTTTTTTTGATCACTTTCTCGCATTTAAATTTTAGCAGAGGGCAATACGTTTTTAAATTTTTTTTTATTAAAGATCAAGTACTTTCTTACGACTGCTTTTAAGTTTCTAAGTTGCGCCCTATTTGCGTGGAAACCGCAAAAAAAAATACTCTGACAACCCGAAACTAAAGGTGTGACCCCGTCCCTGGTGTTCGACCTATGCGTGAATATATTCGGTACATACCAATGTAAAATTAAATGAAATATGTATATATATATATATATATATANTATATATATATATATATATATATATAAATTTTGCAAGTAATATTATACGTAAACCAATGAACGTTAAATCACGTGACATATATTATGTTTTCTATTTGTCAGTACTATACAGGGCGCTGGCCGTTTACACAGATCTCACGTTGTACAAGGGACAATTTAACATAGAAATCAGAGTGAGTCTCAATGTTAAAATATTTGGCTAGTTTATTTCGATTAAAGACATTCTGAGCAAATTATCTCTTTTTAAAAAAAAACTTATTTTGCAAAAGGAATTTAAAGGAGTTTTACGGATTCTCTAGTTAAATATCTGCATTATATTTATTTCAGAAGGATTCAAGTATTAACATTTTTTATATATCATATTACAAAGAAGAGATTCAAATGATTCTGGACCAATTTACATTAAATTAAAACAAAAAACGAGATTTAAGCGAGAGCTATGAAAGAATAAATATTAATTTCCTTACCCAAGTAAACAAAATAGTAGTACAAGGTATGATGAAGCTTGAAAAAAAAAACTCCAAAAGACAGGACAATAGAAGAAGAACGTGTCGACGACGACGAGGAAAACATGAAGAAACAAGAAAGAAAAAGTAGTAAAATACTTTTTAAAAAAAATGTAACAACAAGTTTGAGACAGGTACAAGCACACAGTAGCAGTCAGGTGTGGAAGAATGAAGGATAATAAATGAAGGACTGCGCTCAGTAAAAATCTGACTTTTTCCAAAAAAATAATTCTGGATGACGGGTTAAAAAAAATAGGACCCATATGTACACATTTAGACCTATATTTTTGCCTGCATTTTAAGCTACAGAAAAACGAAGACAACGTATCCAATTATAATTTCAACGGCTTAAACGTTTTTAAGAAGCATATTTTCTGTGTGCAGTAATACGCATCGTGTATGTTATATTCGTACAGATCCTTTTTCATTTAACAGCTAGCTACACAGCTTTAACATGAATTTTTTTCACTTTTTTTTTACAATGTTTCTTCTCTAAATTAAGGGGAAAGATTCAGAATTATCCAGTTTAAATTAAAGGGAGAAAAATATGAACTCGGAATAAACACACTTTTCCTCTATAGATCATGGACTTGAGCTACACAAGCAGACAGAAATTAAATTGGTTGAACAAATCTATAAAACTTATAACTGTAATGTGTATTGAAAGACAGAGACAACCTCAGATGGTTTAGATTTATCGTTAGAGTAAAACTTTTGAGTTTTATCCTCAGGACCCAAATCAAAACAAAATCAAAGTACTTCTTGGTTTGGAAGGAGCGTCGGGTGTGGTTGAAGGAAGCTTCGATCTAAGCGATCAGACTCTCCTTGGCACCTGGTCTGTAACAGTAACTCTGGAGGTAGGTCTTAAACGCATCGTTTTCATGAAACTATTTCTAAATAGTATTGGTGGTTTTCCTTAAGAATGACTTTTGACATCTAATCATTAAAAGAATACAATATCATGTTAACAAAATGCATTATTCAGACAATTCAACTCCACCAGTTTAACGTTTACAATTTAATAGTCTTCCCTTGGTGCCTGAAAAAAAAAAACTTAATTAGATTGGTGCAACGAAATAAATTATTCAGAGACGCTAGCCACAGTGTTCGTTGTAAAGCAGTCGTGATAGTATTTTAAAATTTCTAAAGAATGGCCAATACTTTGGATGCTATAGTTTGACCGTGTCGTGTCATACAGTAGTGGACCAACGCTATATTTAACATATAAAAAAATTCTAAATTAACAACTTATTATTGCTGAGGCCATTTTTATTCCTATTGCAAATGAATACCATTTAAATGATAAAAGACAGGTTTAGCCCAATTTTACTGCTTAAAAATGTTTGCGTTTATACATTGCGCCATATTCCTTATTATCTCATAGTTCATAAACATGTTTACCGCTTATTTCTTAAAAAAAAAACTTTGGCAGAGTTTTAGTGACAGCCAAACTCAAGTATTTGAAGTTGCCGATTATGGTAAGTAAGTTTTTTTTTCAGAAAATTAAAATAAAATAGTTAAATATTTTTTAAATGCTTTTAATCAATGCGTGTAAATAAGTTTTATAAAAAAAAGTGAAAAAAACCAACAATAAAACAAAACAAATATTAAATCTTTTACCGTGTTTTAGGATGAAAATTTTAGGAATTCCATTTTGGGGTCTGTTTTAGAAAAAAAAGAAAGATTTTTAGGATTCATGAAACTTATAATCCAGATATCCGGATTTAGTCCAAGTCTACGAAGATTATTTCATCTTGTGGTATATAACCAATAAACAATGTCAGCATGGTATAATTTGCATACAGATTCAATTTCTTTGTTAGAAATACTGTTAGAAAATTGTAATGAAAATACGATGGTTTTTAAAGTTTAAAGTAAACACACAACTTAATATGTATATAACGAGTTACAACTTAACCATGTTATGAAACATAACTTTTAACTAACTGTTACTAGGTACCTAAAAAAAAAACAACTATTGATTTAAAAACAATATATATTAATCTTTATATAAAAAATAAACTCCTTTTTTAAAAATATTAATTATAATCATCACACCCCTTAAAATCAGTAGAAGAAATATGAATCAAAATCTGTGTTTTAGAAATGTTTTAGCTTAGTCGCTCATCTTTGGCCGTCGGGCAGCATCCCAGTGGCTGAAATTAGGCTGAAATAAGTTTGTTAGTCCGTTGTAAGAGTTCTTTTCATAGAAGATTCAAATAGTTTTTTTTTTTAAACTTGATTTCTTAATGAAAATACCAAATACCGATTCCACAGTAAACATAACGAAAATTCGGATTTTTTCTAACACCTGTTCGGCCTGTATATCCGGTCTGCATATTCGGCCTGTATATCCGGCCTCCATATTCGGCCTGCATATCCGGCCTGCATATTCGGCCTGCATATTCGGCCTGCATATTCGGCCTGCATATTCGGCCTGCATATTCGGCCAGCATATTCGGCCTGTATATCTAGTCTGCATATTCGGCCTGTATATTCGGCCTGTATATCCGGCCTGTATATCCTGTCTGTATATACGGTTTGTATATGGGGTTTGTATATTTGACCTGTATATCCGATCTGTATATTCGGCCTGTATATCCGATTTGTATATTCGGCCTGTATATCCAATCTGTATATTCGGCTTGTATATCGGCATAATCCCTAAATCATGTCGTCAATAAAGATACCGAACTAGTTTCTGTGAATAACTTTAAGATTTGGTATTGTTCGTATTCAGATTTACCCATGTTTGAGGTGACAGTTGAGTTGCCTCCCTACGGCCTCGTGGATGACACTGTTCTAACTGGGAAAGTAAAGGCAAAGTAAGTGAGGCAGTTCTTCAATTGTGTGGTTTTGCATCAAACATGTGCTAAAAACAAAATCGTATTTAAATTTTGATTTTTATTTTTTTAAAATTTTTTTAATTTAATGGATTTAAAAAAAAGAAAAGAAGAATTTCCTTTGACATTTCTAACATTCAGGGACTTAGATCTAACACTGGTATAAACATTAAAATAATGTCCAGTTACCTCCCTTAAATAGCGGTCCCCCGGCCCAACAAAAGGAGAAACAAATTATTTAGAGCGGGCTGAAGCCAGTTGTAAAATAACATGCCAAAAGATGAAATCACCACGTGACAGAGCCAACAAACTGAGAAAATATAATGGTTCTTTACAAACAAATCTAAATGATAATAATTTATTTTTTTGTGCCCCCCCCCCCCCCCACACCCCTAAAATAACAAGCCAAAAAATGAAATCACCCCGTGAAAAGGCCAACAAACTGAGAAAATATAATGGTTCTTTACAAACAAATCTAAATGATAATAATTTATTTTTTTGTGCCCCCCCCCCCCCACAATTCCCTGCATCCACCCCCATGAAGTAACTAGCATTTGGCCTACAATTTGGTGTTACCTCGACCTGCCTAAAACTGTATGGGATTCATAATTAGACACACACTTTTCACCGTGTAACACGATGAGCTTTGATGATCATCTCCCAGGTACACATTTGGCCAGCCCGTAATCGGGATGGTAGAGCTTCACGTCGGACAAAATGTTCTGCTGCGGCCTGATACTTGCGTGGACAGCGCGGTTAAGACAACGCAGATATCATTTGAGGTAGTAATAAATAAATATATAAAAAGACTGCAACAGCTCCAGTTTTACATATCTGGCCACTTGTTGTTTCTTTTTACTCTATCACGGCAACGGTGCTGCCCTGATCGGTCGGCAGGGAACCATTACCTCAATCCAGGAGGTTTACAATGTTCCAATTTTAACCTGGAGACTTAAAGTTTTCACATTTCAAACCAAGAAATTCTCAACGTTAAACCAGGACATTGGTAATTTTCAAATTTCAACCAGGACATTTACAATTCTCAAATTTAAACCAGGACATTTACAATTCTCAAACTTTAACCATGACATTGACATTTTTCAAATTTAAACAAAGACGTTTACCATCTTCAAATTTATATCAGGACAATGAAACTTTTCAAATTTAAATCAAGAAATTTACAAGTTTCCCGTTTCAAGCAAAATAATTACAATTTTGAAATTTAAACAGGGCATTTAGCAATTTTAAATTTAAACTAGAACATGTAGAATTTTCAAATTTGAGCATTACATTAACAGTTGTAAAGATTAAACCAGGAGATTTAGACATTTCAAATTTAACCAGGACATTTACAATGTTGAAACTGAAACCACGACAAATTTAAACCAAGACTTTTAACATTTTTAAATTTAAACCAGGACATTTACAATTCTCAAGTTTAAACCAGGACAAGTACATTGTTTTTCAAATTTAAACCAGAACATTAACAATTTAAAAAAAATTAGAATATTCACATTTAACTAGGACATTTAAACGTTTCAATTTCACCAAAAATTAGCAATTTTTAAAATTTAAGCTGGACATTTGAAATCGTGTAGACCCCATGGCTGTCCATAAATAAACTTTTTGTAGCTACACGGTAAAACACTTTAGCTTGTGAGTCATATTTATGAAAATTTATTATAGTGATGCGACTTTAGATGAATTGTATACATTTTTAGTGTTATTTATCTATGCATGGAAATAAGATATTTTTGATCTTTTGATCAATGAATACAATTTGATTTCGTAGTATTTAACAGTATTGGCTGTAGCTTAAGACAGGACCAATGGTAAAAAGAAATATTAAAAAAATAAATCATTAATCTACTGGTAAGGCATTACGAACCATCCCTTAACCCAAAAAATAGCCCCGATAATTATTTCTAATAACCTATCGAATTTATAAAAACAAAGGGAGTTTCAAAGCTAGTTATAAAACTAATCGGTGGCCAATTATCAGCACTGACCAATGGAAAGAGGACGATTAACACTGCAAATCTGTAACACTAAGACGAGGGTTTACACGTTAAATAATTAGAATGACTCCGTTGCACAAATAGTCAAAATCAAATGGTGTGTTGTATATGTTCCCCCAGGTCAATGGAGAAAGCTCATTTACGATTCCCAAAGAAGACTTACAAAGGTCTGTGAATGTCTTTGATGGATCAGATATCAGGGTAACCGCTTTTGTCACCGAGACCACTACAGGTGAATATTATTTTAAACAATTATTCTATGACTGTTCACGCCTGTAAACGGGTCAGGCTTGGGTAAAGATGTTCTTGTAGACAAAGGTTTTAGTTTAGAGATGCATGGTAAAAACGACACTGCATACACAAATTATCTTCTAATTTAAAACATTCAACGTGCCACAATTAGCGATTCAGTCTTCACGGATTGAAAGGAAATTCACATTGGGAAAACCTGGCTTCATGATCTGAACATTGAGCTACAATGAAATTGAGATGTTTTTAGAAAACATAAGTTTGTATTTCTATTTTTACCTTAAAGTTTGTTGTTTCTAGTTTTGTCTTGTCTGCTGAAGAAGACATCTAGCCGAAAAGTGCGTTTAATTGTCCTGTCATTTTTTTTCAAGCCTCAAAATATCTTGTTTCACTATCTATTTGTGAAAATTGCCAAATGTAATGTATAAATAGTTTTTAAAATCCAGATTTCCAGCTTTATTTATTAAGTTTTCTTTCACTAGAGAAAATAAAATATTGAAATATTTGGGGAGGGTTAATGCCACTTTTTTGAGAATTGCATTTGAAGACTTAGAAATCAATTACAATTTGAGTGCATAATTTCCTCATCACCACCAGTAACAGAAACATTGCAAATCCCATCTACATGCATAGGAGCCAAAATGATCAATAAATTGATCGTGGGCCCTTAAGATATAGAAGAAGAAGAAGAAGACCCTTTTTTAGACCCGTTTTAAGAGTCATTTTCAAAATATTCACATGACGAAAAATCATATTGGAAAATAAAACTGTGCATTTTTCTTATCAAACATTTTTGCGTGTTCCTCTAATTTTCTTAATTTTTTTTTTTTTTTGCATTTTATTATAAAAAAACAACATGCACCAACGTATCTCATTACTTCTTTAAAGTTAACCATATGCATTGTAAAGTGGTGGTCAGAGGTTGGAGCAGTAGTAGTATGACATGAATGACAAGCCAGACGAGCATACATATTTGTGTATAAGTTATAGCATACCACAATGGCCAGAGAAAGTTTGCGTGTTTGAGGAAAGTTAAATTTTAAGGAAAATCATAATTTGGTGGTAAGCTTTCTTAGCCATGGTATTGCAGACTTTGTCGACGTAGCTGCTAACATTAAGTTGTTTTGGAATGATTGCACATGATTGTATTGATAATTTTCATTGTGGATAATCCAGGCATCAGACTGAACGGTTCCAGCGTGGTGAAATTTTACCGAAACGAATTTCAAGTCAAGTTTTTAGATAAAACACCAAATGTTTTCAAACCCGGACTCCCGTACACCGCATTTGTAAGTAGGAAATCTGAAATTTATCAATAATTTTTATCCACCGTAGGGCTATTAATTAAATGAAATATACAATAATGGTTTCAAGGGGGTTTAACATGGTTTTCCTAATTACTTTGAGAACCAACATTCGAGACTCAGTCCAATAGTCCAATCCTTCAAAATGCAAATTAATTTTCTAAATACAATTTATAAAAAAAATAGTTTTGGCATTCGGTAAATTCATTTCATGACGCTGTCTAACTGTTATCTTTTATCTGACAAAATTAAGTGCAGAGTAAATTTTCCAGTAATTGACCAAAGGTATGTCGACACAAGATTACAAAGTCAACTCACAACTCACGATCTAAAAGTGATCACCCTAAAAACACAGCGATTCTCATACCTTGAAATTAGTCATTACTCGCCTCTTTCAAGTGTTAATGTCTGGATGACAAAGACGAATACATACACATTTTTAAAAGGACTCTCTTTTGAAGACGAGTTTAAACGGGCATGAAATTCCTTAAGAAAAAGAAAGTATGCGCAGATTTGTGTTCAGCCACTCTGTGAAGCCAAATGATTCAAATTAAATGTAGAAGAAAGTTATTTAATTTTAGTGTCGTTAATATTGAAAACTATTTTTTACAGATGGGAATGAGAGTAAAAAGAAAGTCTTGAATATTAATCTAAAAAAAAGAGATATGTGGAAACTGCAGCAGCAAAGTCATAAGGTCAAACTTAAGAACTTTTGTTTGCATTTTATGAACTAATCGATTCCAGTTCAATATCGATGTTTGTGACATGTTTTACGTTTTAGATCCAGGTGTTTAGCCCTGACCAAATGCCTCCACCTGGAAGCAACAACGTCATATCCGCCTACACTTCCGTCACATATACTGAAACAGTGCCTGACCAAGAGCTTTACGGAACACTGAAGTTCACGGGGACATACCCATTCCCAGGACAAAACTTGACATTACCTGCAAGTGGCCTGTTGCCCATAGATATTGATGTACCGAAAAATGCCACATCAATCAACATCAAGGTAGAGAACCGTCTCACACTCGACTCAACTAATTAATTTTTTTATCTGAAATTCTCAACCACCTCGCCTTCCTTATCCCATCTCAGACATTTTTTTTTTCCATTTAAGAATAAAAAACATGAATATTTTACCAAGTTTTCTTTAGCAAACAATAATGGAAGGACTTTTTTTTTGTTCATTGTTTCCGCTTCATGCTCTAGAAGAGTTAACGACTATAACAAGTCGGTCCATGCATTCATGTGGGACTGTCAACATTTTTTTTTTTTTTTTTTTTTTAGTTCAGCCCAGCGTTTTTTGTTTTGGTCACGGCTGAACAAAAAAACAGCTGCTGAAAAAAAATATTTCCTTTTCCATACATACATTTTTGTGCTATGCATTCATGTGGGACTGTCAACATTTTTTTTTTTTTTTTTTTTAGTTCAGCACAGCGTTTTTTGCTTTGGTCACGGCTGAACAGAAAAACAGCTGCTGAAAAGAAATATTTCCTTTTCCATACATACATTGTTGAGCACTCGGTACAAATTTGAACCATTTATTTCTTAGTTTTAAGGTGGCCAACATTTTAAAACTTGCGCTGTAATAGTTCATGGCGTATGTTTTTAGATGGGAAAAAAAAAGTTGAGTTTTTTTGGAGTACTACGGAGAGTGAAGGGTACACTCGTCTTTGTAGCATAACTATAATTCTTAATCAGGTAACTTTTTCCAGGTGACTTTTGGCTCCGTTTCTGTCACAAAGAATGTGTACAGGACGTACTCAAAGAGTCTCAACTACATTCAGCTGTCACTGTTGGATAAGAACGTAAAGGTATGTTATTAAGAACTGGATTTCTGAGTGTGATAGTTTGTGAACGAAATAGCTGTTGATTCGATCATGTGACCAGTTTTCTGGGGGGGGGGGTCATCTGTGAGAGGTCGGCTTTGGAATGGTTGATTAACAAATAAGTTGTTTGAATGCCGTGGGCACGACGGTCAGGCGGTTAGTATGTGGGGTTATCTGAGTCATATTTGGTATTTGAGTTGTCGTTAAAAGAGTGTTTCCGGGACAGTCGATTCCTGTTGAGGAGCTATGCTAGTTGATCCTTTGATGTTTATGGCTTATGATATCGTTTTGTGTAGTATGATATCATTTTGTGTACTATGGTATTATTTTGCGTACTTTATCATTTCCTTTATATCATTTTGTGTACTGTGTGAATAAAGAAGAATAAAATCGTACAGTTCGTCAGTTTTCGTAATCATTTAGAAACCGTATGTGGCAGAAAACCCCCAAGATTTAATTGGTCCAAAGAACTGCTGAGAACTGCTGTTATAGGGGGAGCTCATGGCATTTGCTATTTACATAATGGATTGGATGGAAAGAAAATGTTAATACCTAATTACATTTGCGGATAAAATAAAAAAAAGTCCTTAAATTTATGAACTTAATTTTGTTTTCTGGATTCATTTTATATCATCACAATGAAACATGTTTGAGAATGAAATGACTTTGGGGACATGTGACTTGGTGCCATTTTTTTTAATGCATTTCATTTGAAGACGATTTCAATTTATATGTTTAAATATCTTTTATTAGGATATTTTTAAAATAAAAAAAAGTGTTTAAATTTAAAAAAATAAATATTTGTTTCTTTTACAAATGAGGGCTGACGAGTAAATCAAGGTTCATCTTTGAAAGAATGCGATTCAAATTTGCATAAATTGAAATATATTCAACCAGGGACTCAGAAAATTTAGCACAGGCTGTGTTTAGATTTTGGTCTAACTCAATGTCAATTGACATGGCGGTATCATATATTTGTAATCACTGTTACTTTTCACATTACATTTAATTTCTACAGTCAGGCGATGACGTAAGAGTGAATGTTGTTGGTACTGAACCTCTACGTAAATTGACTTATGAGGTGAGACTCATGTAACTGATAGCTTTTTAAATTAAAATTTTTAGCACGTTGTAATATATCTTTTGAAAAAAAAAATGAAAATGTGCTTAACTGCTTGAGCGAATCATTGAAATCAAATCTTACTGAGAACAACAATTTGCGTCTCTTTTCTCTGTCATTAAAAAAATCAATCCGATATTGTTTAGATCAGGCCTGCACAACTCAAAATGTAAAACTTTATATGAAAAACTTGTGCGGGCCAAAAGATAGTAGGACAGGACTTGTGCGGGCCAAAAGAAAATAGGATAGGACATGTGCGGGCCAAAAGAAAATAGGACAGGGGTAAAGCTATCAAGGAAGTATTAAAGAATAAAGATTATTTTGTTACTTCGTAGGCCACAAAGTGGGTGCTGGCGGGCCGTATGTTGTGCAGGCCTAGTTTAGTTGAATCGAAAGATAAAAAGAGGTGATGAAACATACGTCGCGTGATAACGCCACCGTCTGACGAAAGTTACATGTATATCGTATGGAGTCTCAATAGTGGTTACAATAACTTTGTATAGCGTAACCTACACAACAAAAAATCGTACCCGAACAAGGAAATATTTGAATAAATGAAGATCGATATTTTAAATCGGTATCAAAATGTGTGGCATTGTGGCAATTAGTAGATAAATATCGTATTAAGAATCTTTAACAAGTTTGACCCACGGGAACAGATTATTGTACTATTGTACCAATGTACAAATAAAGATAACACTTGTTCACATTTTGATTTCCTAATGCGAGTAATTTTTTCCACTTTTTACATGTTAAATAAAAATATGTAAATCGTCAATACAAATTATGGATCTTCAAACATATTTAGGTCCTATCCAGAGGTTCCATCTTAAACACTGGACGACTAGATGGGAAGGGTGACAAAGAATTTACTTTCACACTGAATGTGACTTCCTCAATGGCGCCAACCGCCCATCTTGTTGTCTACTACGACAGGAACAATGATGAAATAGTGGCAGACAGTCTGGCGTTTAATGTGGATGGACTTTTTGATAATAAGGTATTACCTTTACATGAGGTAAAATAATATTTTTCAAGTACGTCTGGAACCATGATTAGGAGATGAAAAGTTTGAAACCGTGTTGGATTTTCAGAATATGTAGCTATTTCCAATATGAAAGTGTTCCTCAAAACGTACTATTATGGCTTAGCAAGAGAGGTAACTTTTGGAAAATAGTTCATTTTATATAAAAAAAAAATCAATTACAACTTTTTTAAAAGCATTAAAAGAATCAGTTTACTTTTCTAAAAGTTTTTATTTTTGTTTTGGGTAATATATCTCATATTTACCTATGCCTGTATGTTATAAATATTCATAAGGTATAAGGTAATTATTTCAAGAAAAACGATTAATTTTTGTTTTGTTAAAATGCCCCCCCCCCAACCCAATTTTTGACATAATTTAAATATTTTCGGCTGGTGTTGGCTCGGAAATTTGAAATTCCGTTCTATTTTCTATTTCAAATTTCGATGTTATTTCTCGAATACCAACTTTTGCTACCTCTGATTGTCATCCAGGTTTCCATAGCGTTCGGTACCAACGAGACACAGCCCGGTGATGAGGTTGATGTCGTTCTGACCGCCGACCCGAAGTCCCGAGTTCACATCCTGGCCATTGATCAGAGCGTGCTGTTGCTTAAAATCGGAAATGACATCACACCTGAAAAGGTAAATAATTTGCGCATCCCCATTTTTTTTCCTCTTTAGAAATTTCTAATAATAAGTGAAACTAAAATATAAATCTGGCTGTCCAATGAGTAGCGAACATTGCAAATAAATTATGAGCCATGAGAAAATAATAATGCAGTTTGACCGTTAGGCCGGCCATGAAAGCTTAAGGATATTTTCAAGTGAAGACCAACCATTATGTGGTGTCCTGAACAAAATCAACTCAATGTCCTAATGTAGCTAGAACTTTTCGTGTATTATCACACGGATACACGTTCAAAACTGTGATCCATAACAATTTCTTCTGCTTAATGTTCTTCAATATTAACTTGCAAACTTTGTATAAACAACATTATTGTTATCGCGCGAAAAGTTGGGACAGCTTACAAGTAATTCGGGTTACAACATTTAAACTTTTTTTTTTACGCATCCGCATTAAAGATAATTTCATTTGCATAAATCGAACAGACATCAAAAGTACTTTAACACCATGCATTTTTTATGCTAGACATTTGAATTGTAAAAAAATGTTTTTATCGTGTTCTTTCAAGTATTAGATGAACACCTTGATAACAATTGGAATAATTCTTTATGCTTACAGGCCGATCTCAAAACAACATAATAATTTAAGAGTGTATGTTTATGATAATTTAATATTGTTTAGTGTGATTAAACACACCATAATCCTATGAAGCTGGTGATGTCTTCCAGGTGAAAAATGCCCTATCGGCCTACGACAAAGGGAAAGCGCCAACAGACTCAGAGTCAGCCTTGTCTTATAGTGCGAAGACTTCGTCAGAACTATTTGATGTAAGTCTATGACGCATTCTTTAAAAATAGCATTTCTCCTAATTTTGTTTCAGTTCTGCTATTTTTTACTTTTAATGGGATCGTATAATAAGCGGGTTTAGTTTTATTACTTGCATTACATATTAAATTTGGATTTAAATGTCAATACGCAATAGTTTCGGTATTTCGGCTTTTTCAACGACAAAAATCCATGTTAATTTTTTATAAAAATTAAAGGTTTCAATTTTCTCACAAATTTTTTCAAACATGCACGACATTACATTAATTTTGAAAGGTTATTACTAATTACTAGTATATATAGATAAATAAATAAGTATATATATATATATATATATATATATATTAATATATATAGTTCGTCAGAGGGTAACATTTGGGGTTAAACCCATGAATGAAAGTGATTTCCATATATTTAAATTTCAAGTAATCTTAATTTTCAATTGAAAAAGAATTTTTTTTTAACGATTGACTTACGTTGAGCCGTCCAGCTCACTTCCAAACGTTTATTTTGTTAATCAATAACATATTTTTTTACTTTGTTATCATGAACGCTCTTTCCAGGAACATTCTTATGTCATTGATTCTACCTAATTCGTTTCTAGAACATGGATCTTGGCATCATTACAGATCTAACACTCATCAACCCAGAGCGAGGTAATTCATTTTATAGGTATTTCTAAAAATTGGAATCAATCAAGTTTTTTTTATTGAAGTCGTCTCGTGTTTTCAGTTTAATTAACAGCGATTGGTGTAAAGTAGAAAACCACTCCATTCTTCGCTTGCATGAAGTATAGTCTACGGATTTGTATGGGCGCTTAAGGAAGGGCATCAAAATGAAATTAATAACTTGAAGTAACAATGAATATAACAAGCTTTGCTAAATCAAAAAAAAAAAAAAAAAATGGATTTCGTAATGGTTAACATGAAAAATGGTATCTTACCGTTATCATCATACACAGCTACTTAGACAAGGTTGAGGTTGACAATGATCATAAACCACTCCATTCTTCGCTTGCATGAAGTATAGTCTACGGATTTGTATGGGCGCTTAAGGAAGGGGATCAAAATGAAATTAATAACTTGAAGTAACAATGAATATAACAAGCTTTGCTAAATCAAAAAAAAAAAAAAAAATGGATTTCGTAATGGTTAACATGAAAAATGGTATCTTACCGTTATCATCATACACAGCTACTTAGACAAGGTTGAGGTTGACAATGATCAAATTGATGCCACTGCTGCTTAGAAATGTACAGGGAAAAAAAGTAAAATTTTTATCCATTTTATGTCACAATTCTCAGATTATCAATACTAAGACATTTGAATATATTTCACCTCTTTTTCTCTGCATTGCGATTTTTACATTCTCTACATTCTCTACTAAGACATTTGAATATATTTCACCTCTTTCTCTCTGCATTGCGATTTTTACATTATCTACTAAGAAATTTGAATATATTTCATTTCTTTCTCTCTGCATTGCGATTCTCAGATTCTCAGATTATCCATTAAGAAATCTGAATATATTTCACCCCTTTCTCTATGTATTGTGATTCTCAGATTATCCATTAAGAAATTTGAATATATTTCACCTCTTTCTCTCTGCATGTGCGCACTTGTTAAAAGATGATACTGATAGAAATTACGGTAAGTTAAATTTCAATTTACTTTGTACTTTTTCTGTCTACCAAACCCACGAATTTTATAATGTAATAATTACACCCATCCCTTAGAACAGCGATTCTCAACCTGTCAGTCGCAACCCTCATGGGGGGTCGAACGACCCTTTCACATGGATCGCCTAGCCCATCGGAAAACGCATATTTATTAAGTAGCAACGGAAATAATTTTATGGTCTGGGATCCCCACAACAAGGGGAAATGTGTTGAAGGGTCGTTGCCTAAAGAAGCTTGAGAACCGCTGCCTTAGAATAATCAAATTAGGCAGCGTCCTCTTTGTAACAACCTGGGCTTAAAAACACGGCTTACATTTAAATGAAATTAACAAGTAGGTCTACTTGTAAAGTGATTGTTGAATGTATGGTATTATCGTTTTGTTTGTACTGTGAATGGGAAAAATATTTGCATACGATTCCCAGTTTTCATTCACAACCCTCAACACATGATTCTCACGGTCCAATGACAACACTCATCACACGATTCTCACAGTTCATTCACAACTCTCAACACAAGATTCTCAAGGTCAAATCACAACTCTCATCGCACGATTCTCACGGGCCAGTGACAACCCTCATCACACGATTCTCACGAATCATTCACAACTCTCATCAGACGATACGCACAGTTCATTCACAACTCTCATCATACAATTCTCACGGTCCATTCAAAACTCTCATCACACGATTCTCACGGTCCATTCAAAATACCCTCATTTTCGTAGAAAATATTCTGCCAACATGCTTTTTACAAACACACATCTTATCAGCAGACTGATGGCTGAAGCAAAAGATCAACGTCCAACTCAGTGCATGACGCATGACGCCGGGCCAGCTTGGCGTATTGCACATTTGAAACAATATTTCGCATGTCTGATCCTGCGTAATCCATTAAAGCACACACACATTTAATAAACACGCTACAATTGAAATAATCTTTTCATGGTTCAGAGAAGTGTCGGCACTTTCTATTTTAATAAAATGAATCCTACTTCCGGCAAAATAAAAAGGAAATCTCTAAATTTTGTTGCTGCACTCTGTTACTTGTCTTACTTCTTTTGGTCTTGTTTGCTGAAGAATGCTCTAGGCTGGAACGTCTTAATCTTATTGTTCAGTCTATCAATTTATGCTTAACAAATTAAATACCTTGTTCTCATACTTTATACTCAATGACACCATATTTAAGCACATCTTCCAGCATCTGGTTTTATACACAACTGGAATTATTTTTTTGAGAGGCTTTACAACTGTATTTTGTAATAAATACAATTGGGATAAGTAGGCATAACTTATTTTTTTTAAACCGATCCCAGGGAGAGTGAAATGGTAGAATGTCGCTTTGAATAAAGGTGGTGTGGACATCAACAGTAATTAATTTAAGCATGTTCAAAAGTAGATTTCTGCAATGAAGTTTTAAGTAACAATAATAGAATTCCTTGATTATTGTAGGTAAATTTTTGGGAAGAAGTTTAATGCAAGATTCTTATGGGGCCCTCTCGAGCGATGATTCTATTTTGGAAGATTATGTTGAAGACTCACAAGGTGCAAGCTCGAATCTTCAGGTTGTTGAAAAAGTTCGTCAATTTTTTCCTGAAACTTGGATATGGAATAGCTCTGAAATCGGGTAAGTAGATCATTGTACAGGTGATAGGTTAGTTGATCATTGTTTTGGTGATGTGTACGTTGATCATTGTATTGGTTGTCAAATATTTCTTTGTCTAAATGTCCTATGATGCTGGCAAGTTTTTAGATGGCAAACGTTAGATGTCTAATATTCCGATGGCGTGTAATCTATGGTTACAACTTGGACCAGTTCGGTTCAAACAACACTGAAGGTTCTTGGCACATACGGCGCTTTATTTTGGACAGAACTAAAACATCATCTTGGTTCACATTGAAAAAAATTGAGACATGAATCCATATGCAGAGCAATGTTCTGGTCAGGCAAAAAACTCCCACAGCCAATCTATCTAAAAATATTAAAAAATACTAATCCTCTCTGTCGCTCGATCTATCTCACACGGACTCTCTAGCTCCCTAGTTCACTCTCACGCTCGTCATCGTTGTCTCCCCTTTTATCACCCAACTCGTTCACATCACCCAATTGTCACAACATCACAACTAACACGTTACATCGGATTTCATGAATTCGACACTGGTGATCGATACGTGGATCATTGGATGGTGATGGATACCTTGATCATTGGATTGGTGATGGATACGTTGATCATTGGATTGGTGATGGATACGTTGATCATTGGATTGGTGATGGATACGTTGATCATTGGATTGGTGATGGATACGTTGATCATTGGATTGGTGATGGATACGTTGACCATTGGATTGGTGATGGATACGTTGATCATTGGATTGGTGATGGATACGTTGTTCTTTGTAATGGTGATGGAAGAGGGAATATGATAGCATGGGAAACAAGATCTGCTTTATTCTGTTGAGTTTGCTTTTCATATTTCTTGTTTCTCACCCTTCGTGTAGGGAACCCCGTTCTTCAATAATTTTAGTTTATTTTAAATGAAATAGTGAACAAATACTTCAAACGTTTTCTACAAAGTTATTTAATTTAAAAAGAATTATAATAATTATGACCCTTTGAAGACTGGGTCCTATTGGTATATAATTATTTTCATTGAATGAGCAGATAGCTGCTTCCTATTGAATAATAGTTACCTTTTGAGATATATTTAGCAATGTGAAAATGTGTAATGTAATTATTATTTGCACGTATAGTTTTCAGTGTTACCTTTTATGCCTGAATAGCTTTTAAATCTAACTTCAGTAATATTCATGATGGTGTAACTTATTTCTACCTCCGCTAAACAGCATGAACAAATCGCGTGTGTACATATTTCTTTAATTTAAGCTTCTGATCTTCATTGCCGTAAGCCGAGTGAGAGTGATTGGTTGGTGGCTTACAGTTGTTAGAATGCAGAAGCGAGGTCTCGAGAACTATAGCTTTTCAGCTTTTTCATTTGTCCCGAGTGTATGGTAGACAGAATTAAAAGAAAGAAAAGGTTAAGAAAGGAAAAGAGAGGACAATTTAAAGTGCCCAGAAAGACTGCGAAATGACTTAGAACTGATGTCGCCTACAGTAAGCCATCTATTAATTCAGTATTAGCAGGTCGCAACGAACCCGTCTGATATAGGACATAGGCCACACAAGGAAACAATACAGTCAACGTCACACGTAGTTATGGTATGGCCACTCGGCATTCACGCATGGCCGAGCAAGAGATTAGGGCCAAGCACACAGCGTCAAGCTACAAAAGATTATATGCTGTTAATTTTCATTCCTAAAATTTTAATCATTTTTTTTTAAAAATCTAAGTTCTTTTATTGATCCATCCAGTTTTTACTATTTTTTTTAAAGACTAAAACTATCATAAATATAACGTGTACCATATTTACTTGCTTTAAAACATTAAAAAAAAATCATTTTCCGTGTTTGTTTTTATAGTAAAACAGCCCCCCCCCCCTCACACACACGCACATCCTTTTTTTTAAAGTTTAAACTTCTGTATACAAGTGGTCTATTATATTTAATGTACGCACCATTTTGTTTGCTTTGAAGCGCACACCTTACCATTGTTGCATGATATGTTTATTAACTAAATTAGAACACGAAAATGTGTGATTTAAAACTCTCCATAAAATTCTTTTGTTACAAGTGGTACTTGTGGATGTATTTTTCCCGAGATATCATTTGATTAATAATGTGTAATATCACGTTACAGGGAACCTTTTTTTATGGGGAGGGGGGGAATTGAGAAAAAAAAGGTGGGGGGGGGGGTTAAACAGTTATTAAAGGCTATACCACAGGCGTGAACGTAAATCTTCTATTGTGAATGAAATCGATCTTTTGTTTTCTTCATTTTAACAGCTTCGAGATATCATTTGATTAATAATGTGTAATATCACGTTACAGGGAACCTTTTTTTATGGGGAGGGGGGGAATTGAGAAAAAAAAGGTGGGGGGGGGGTTAAACAGTTATTAAAGGCTATACCACAGGCGTGAACGTAAATCTTCTATTGTGAATGAAATCGATCTTTTGTTTTCTTCATTTTAACAGCTCCGATGGAAAGGCCATTCTAAAAACTACAGTACCGGACACCATCACATCATGGGTAGCAAGCGCTTTCGCTACCAACATGCTGACAGGTCTTGGCGTTGCACCAACTACATCAATGGTGAGGAAGTCTCACCTTTTTATTCTAAGTCGCTAGTTTCATTTCATTTTTATTGATTTCAAGCAACCAGGAGGTTGTTAAATTAGGTTATTTCAGTCAACATGCTCATGATGGTCACACGCAAACACTGAAAAGCAAATCGATTTTATTAGTATCTAGAGATTCGCTGGAGCATAGAGCACCCACAGTAAATATTTGCTTTTATATTTAAGATTTGGAAAAATATTTAAAGCAATTTAATTTATTGCTAGAAGAATGCAACCAGAATATCATACGATGCTAATAGATTGATATACCAAACATGTGCGTACAATTTTAATATGTGCGTACACTCTAAATAGGTGAGTACAACTTATATATGAGTTTTTGTAGAGCAGTTGAAATTAAAGTATGGAGTAAACTAAATTTCTCCTTATTTTCTCCGACAGCTCCGGGTCTTCAAGTCTTTCTTTGTGAGCCTAAACTACCCCCGGTCTGTTGTGCGCAATGAACAGTTTGTGGTGCAGGCGACAGTCTTCAATTACCTGAGGGAAGATCTCACGGTAAGGAGCAAACACGTTTATTCAAAAGTCGAAGGACAAAAACCCAGCAAACTGAACTCATGCATTGTGTTTTCAATACCGATTAAAATGGCTGGGCATTATGTTATGGTGTTTGTATTTTTGTGTTAATCTAATGAACAAACTTTGTGGATGATATTGGTGTAGTCATGTTTCTCCAGGTGAATGTATTTTTGTACGTATGATTCTAAGAAGACAGAGATACAGGGCGCTCTAAAGCGCAATAATAATGTTTGTTTGTTTGTTTGTTAGTGAACTTAAGTTTTTGAAAATCATGCAGCATATCTCAGCGATTCGCCTGGCTTGATCAAATGAAGTTGTCATTATTATAATTATTTAAATACGTGTTGTCTACTTAAGAGGGTGTCAGTCTGAAACGTTGATTTTAATATGTTGTCAAGATTTACTTTTATCTTTTCGTTGACAAAGCGGAAAATTTATACTACCACAGGAGTTGTCTAAACAATTTAGAAGTTTTTATGTTTTTTTTTCAAAATCCTACTTTAAAAAATCTACAATATCTTTCAGGTCAAAGTGACATTAAAAAATCAGGAAAAGTTCAAGAGTGTAAAGATCTCTAAGGATGGAACTGAGAGTTTAGTGACTGGAAACCAAGAAATTTTTGTCACGGTAAGGTCTTCTTCTTTTAATGCCTCCTTCGTTAATCTAATGTACTTGACATTGCATTGCTCTTTAAAATCATTTTTACAATGTTGCTTGGTGGGGAAGATGATTTTTCTGATTACGTCTAAACCAGTTTAACGTAAAAAAAAAGCGTGTCAGTTTGATTGTTTGCCCAGCGAAGCAGAAAGACGTGCACTTTGGTATTCTTCTTCCGTGAAAATATACGATTAAAAGGTGTAGAAAATGGAACACGTGTCAGAAAATTTATTTTATTTTTAAATCTATTTACACATGAATTTTTAAAAAATAAGTTGCTACAGATGGTTGGCTGAATAACTATATGCAGCTTCCTGTGAACTGTTACGAATCCAATTTTTTTTTTTACGACTATTTGAAAGAGAAACATTTACTTAACAAAAAAAAATATATATATTTTTTTGTGCAGGTCAAAACCGATAAACAAGCTGTGGCTTACTTCCCCATCTTGGCCACAACACTGGGTCTAGTGGACATTGAAGTAACGGCACAGACAACGATAGCAGCGGACGGTGTGAGCAGACAGATTGTGGTCAAGGTAATTAATTGGTGTCACTTAATGTGGCATAAACTCCGTGACAGCCGATCCCAAGCCAGAGTAGAAACGGAGGCATGTTAAAGTGAGGGTAGAGGCAGGTTAACGTGACGGTAGACGCAGGTTAACGTGAGGGTAGAGGCGGGTTAACGTGAGGCCGGAGGAGGGTTAACTTGAGGCTGGAGGTGGGTTAACGTTAAGCCCGGAGGCAGGTTTACGTGAGGACGGCTACCTCACAGGGTAAAAATGGAGGCAGGTTAACATGTGGCCGGAGGCAGGTTAACATGTGGCCGGAGGCAGGTTAACATGTGGCCGGAGGCAGGTTAGCGGTTTGGACGGCTACCTCATTGGGTAGAAAAGGAGGCGGGTTAACGTGAAGTTAAGTCAACTGCAGAAAAAAAGCAGCACGAAAGGGAAACATGAATGAGCTCTGTAGTATAACAAAAAGCTCTTAGTAAGATGCAAAACGATTTAGGGAACGGTTGAAGACAATGAGAGTAGATCTATGACTGAAAGAAGAACACAACAAGAAAGATTGGTAGAATAACTTGAGAAATGACCACACAGACCTTCACCCACAGACACACCAGTTTTACAACCAGCGAGTGAAGATTTACAAATGGAAGACACTTACCCTAACATGGAAGAAATAGTCCAGACCATCAAGCAGCTTAATATTTGGAAAACACCTTGACCGAATAATATTTGAAATGATATGGGAAGATTAGAATATTCCTAAAAATTTCAACGCATGAAATAACATTAAGATACCAAAGAAAGGGCATCCCAGCAATGTGCAGCACTAACGGCAAAACAATCCTACTCTATGGAGCCGAAACTTGGAAAACAACATCCAGCGTCACACAGAAAGTGTAGACCTTCGTGGTTTTTCTATCTTCCTTTGTTTGAACCATCCCTACTGATATTTATTCATTGTTTTTTTTTTCTATTTCCCCACAGCCCGAAGGCGCCCCAGTCAACTATAATGTACCCGTTTTCGTCAACCTTCAAAACACATCTTCACAACTGTTTGAAAGAAACATCTCATTCACACTCCCTGCATCTGTTGTCGACGGTTCCGAGAACTCGAGGGTAAAAGCCACAGGTAAGAAATAGACGTTTTGGATGTTTGCTGTGGAGATGACTTTTACGATTCTTGTTAAACTATACAAAACTAGTACGGCTATCTTTGTCAAATACTCCCCTGAACCTAAACGATTCTTTTGTGTTTGTCCTTATGTGGCAATACAAATGTTAACGTTTCGGCAAATGCCTTCATCAGTAAAATGAATAAATAAAATCATTTAAGTGTAAATTAAATTTACACAACATATATACATGTATCCTATCTCAATGTTAGAGAAAAGAATAAGAGTGGGTGCAGCCGTGCAAGTCCCTGAAATAAGAAACAGTCCAGAAGAACGGATAGTAAGTGGGTGGGTTAAAATTTGAAAACTTAACATTAAAAAAAAGAAATGTCAGATTTGTAAAATTGTTAATTTAGTTTATACCATGATGGATTCAACGTACCAAACCTTGTTAATTTTATTTATTTGCTATATAAATTCTATCCGGTATGTTACTTGCATACAGTACACCAGTAACTGCAGTTTCTATTATTCCATATTGGTTAACGCTGTTGACATGTTGTTGTTTTTGTACTGATGAAGGCATTTGCCCAAAACGTTTACATTTGTATTGCCACAAACAACGAATCGTTTAGGTTAAGATAAGAGCATTTGACAAAAGTTAGCTGTACCAATATTGTTTACATTTGTTCTCTGTATGATCATTATTAAAGCTGTTGTACTTACATCGTTTTATTTACACAAATTGTCTGCGTCTAATTAATATGCTTGAAAGCTTCATCGCAGTCCAACACTCTTATATGTTGTTAATTAAATGACAGCGGCTGATATTCAACTTTTCTTTTTCTCTCTTACTTTATATCGACTCATTTCAGAGGTAAAACAGAGATATTATTTTTTAAAGCTTTGAATATGATAGTCTTTTTTAGTTCCAATCAACAAGGGACATTTTTAGAAAATAATTTTTTTGTATCGATGATTTTTTTTTTTGAAAAACAATATGTTACTTCTTGACAACAGACCACCCGATACAATTGAAGGGAAACTATTATTTTTGTCGCTATCTTCAAACGTTTCAAAAACAGGAGATTTGATTGGTTCGAGTCTGAGCAGCTTGACGTCACTCATCACTCTTCCCACTGGTTGTGGCGAGCAGGTAATGGTCAAACTAGCCCCTGTCCTACACGTCTCCCAGTACCTCAACGCTTCCGGTCAGCTGACCGACGTGTTGAAAAGAGAAATACTCGAGTCTTTAGAAGAAGGTGAGATCTCGTCATAAACCAACAGCGTTTGATTATTTTGTGCATTGTTTACAACTGTTAGAATGATAACAATGACATCACCCCAGAATAGAGACCAAAATTCAAACGTGAATTATAAATCAGCCAAAAGTAATATTGCATGGCAAAAGAGCCTGTCGAACTGGCCAGCAATAAATAAATTATTTGGCTACGTGGAAAGCATAAAGAGCACAACGGTGTAAAAAGCAGCCCTGAGGGTCATCCACTGCACCCCAGCCTTTCTCCCAGTCATCTAGTCTTTCTACTGAATCAAAAATGCAAGGACGAGAGTGTGATACTGACGAATTGCTCAACTCTCCATTAGTTTAAGCATACTACAGCACAGGTCAAGGCTCAACTCCCACTGGAACCTTGGTATGCTATTTAAAAAAAAATTCGTTCTTACATGGCAATGCATTGCATCATAGGATACATATAGATGAATGTTTTAATGCAGCATTTATTTTGATTGAAACTGAATCGTTCTTATATACTCGAGTTACTTTAAAACGCTGTTAAAAATATTGACATATGGCTTGATATTTAGCAACAAAATTTGGATGTCCCGGGACTCATTTTGGTGTCCCTGAGCCAATGTCAATGTCCCTGTGCAAGTGTTGCTGTCCCTATACTCAAATTGCGATGATCTTCACTACGCTCCACCAGTTCCCTTGGTTACTATCACCATGCCAGTCCTTGCGACATCCACTAAGATTAAATTAACACTCCTCACTGATAAAAACAAATGATTTTTTTTTTAAAATGGTGAAATTAAATCTTTCATAACCATTTCCGCTGCTTTCACACTTTATAATAACAGGCTATCAACGGATACTCACTTATAAACGGTACGATAATGGATTCAGTCCCTTTGGCAACTACGATAAGAGTGGTAGCACATGGTAAGTCCTTCACGTTTCAGTGTTGATAATACTCTAGGCTTTTCTCATCCTTGAACAGATTTAGAAATGATGGACACAGTTTTGGAAGAATTCAACATTAAAAAGGACAAGAGAATCATTTTATTATTGTTTTTATATCCTTTTTAAAATGACAGATTCTGATGCTTTAGGTATTGCTGTACCCTGGTGTTCAGTGGGCGTGCAAAATAAAATCCCACGAAGTCAGCACCAATTGGGATTCTTATAAAGTTCGTTACTTTAAAATGCATGGTTTGTCAAGTAACCTTAGTAGATTGGGAAGTTAACGTCTTTTCGGTCACCGTTTACAGACGGGTTATTTCTAGTTTTAGAGAAAACGGGAAACATTGTAGGATGGCGTAGAATTTAAAAAAAAAAAAAGAATTAATTACTTTCTTTCTATGATTCGATAAAAAAGGCATTCTGCTATTACCGCTACTTATTGTCCGCTACAAATAAAAATACATTTAAATAGTTAAAATTAATGTCCACATATTTTATGTTGTTTAAAAGCCTTCATTATATGTTAGATGGTTACTAAACGTATGCTGGGTATAAACGCATGACTAAAATCAATACACCACTGTTAGCTGGAATAAGAGTGTAGAAAATTACGAGTGTTTTTTAAAAATAAAAATGTAATTGAAATACACACAAAATGAAAATAAAAACACATTACATTGCAGTATAATTATCTGCTTTGATACAATTTTTTTTCTTTGTAACAACAATATCGAAAACGATTGCAGTAATTATTTATGTTGTAATTTCTGTTTTTGAAAAGCGCTAGTAGAGGAGAGAAGATTCAAGTTAGAAGACGATACATTATTTGTTTAAAAAAAATACAGAGAAAACAAAAAAAGAAAAGAATTAATAAAGCTTTGAAACGTTTAAGAAATCATCAAATTATTATATGACAGTTTGAGAAGTTGTTAACCACATGGGTTAATTTTTTTTATCAGGCTGACGGCTTTCACGTCCAGGATTCTCTCCGAGGCTCGTGAATACATCTACGTCGACCCATTTTTGCTCATCAGATCCAACAAATGGATGATAGACAGGCAAAACTTGGACGGATCGTTCAATGAGTTCGGCAAGATCCTGGATAGAAACACTCAGGTACGTTGAATGATGCGAGTGCTCAAGTACTTACGTGTGTTCACCGTCTAGTCTCCAGTTATAACATCACGTGATTGAGTTGGGAACCTATCAGTGTTAAATCAAAATCAGACTGTGTATTGGTTACGTCAAATAACAATTACTGATTGAAGTTCTTTAAAAGGTTGTTTTGACAACCCCATCCCCCCCGGGCAACACATAATGGATACGAGCGTGGGGTCATATTCTTAATTGCGATTCTTCGTGATATGCCCATACGAAAACTCAGTTAGCGCTTCCATCAATATCCAAAGTTTAAAAAATAATTATTATCCTGATCACCGGTTATTGTTCTAAAAATACACTTGGTGTTAATCATCATCCGGGCGCTTATTTATCCAAAAGAAATTAAGAACGTCTCCTTATAGTCCTATGTGGTGAATACATTGTTCAGCCGTCAAACGAAAAAAAAAGTAATCACATTTTAATAACTTCAGTATCATTCATTTGATAAAAAAAATGCTTGTTTTAAATGCATTTTTTTTTGTACAGGGAACAGGTACTGGGCCTTCACTGACAGCGTTTGTGCTGCTTAGCTTGCTGGAAGCCAAAGATTTATTCATACAGGTGATTTAATTGAGAACAGTCTTGTATCTATTGTTGGTCCAATGCAGCATTGAATATTCACAAAGTCTGCACACGAGTTACTTTCAATATTGCATTTTTGTGATCAGGCTTTTCTATGACCAGTCACATGTTCAAAAACAACTCAATTGGACTACAGCGACTAAGATGCTTTTGAAAATTTCTATGCATATACATTTTTGAGCGTTTACAATCTTCGAAAGGATTGTAAACTTTTATAATTATTTATGAACCAATATAAATAAATAAATAAAGATATATATATATATATATATATATATATATATAACTTGCTGGCCGCGCAATATGTCTGATAAAGGAATATTGCTCATTACAGCGACTAAGATGCTTTTGAAAATTTCTATGCATATACATTTTTGAGCGTTTACAATCTTCGAAAGGATTGTAAACTTTTATAATTATTTATGAAACAATATAAATAAATAAATAAAGATATATATATATATATATATATATATATATATAACTTGCTGGCCGCGCAATATGTCTGATAAAGGAATATTGCTCAACATAATGTAGACTGAGAGTAAAATAATAATTGTGAAAGGGAAGAATCATGACTGTAAATCTGAAATTCTGGGAGTAATTTGTGAGTAGAGTAAAGACATCCTCCTTGGACCGCTATTGAAAGTACTTAATTGTATTTTTTGCAGTTTTGGGGGAAAATGAGTTTAAAGATTTTAAAAAGTATTTAAAAACATCAAATATTGTTTAAAAAAGCTACTGGAGTTAACTCTGAATGAAACACTCATGCACATTTTTCAACAATGATATTTATAAGAATGACTCAGGGGATGTAAACAAATAAACTTCCAGGTTTAACTCATTCTTGAAAAATTGTAACGGGGTACTTTTTCTACTCAGCCCTTCTAGTTTTTGCGATTAATTCATAACTCCAAAAGAAGAAGAAAAAAAAAACAACAACAATGATATCTATATAAGTTGAAATATAATATATTAAGTGAACCAGTCGCTTCACTTTCTACAACATAATGCTACTCGTATTTTTGCTCAATATTTGTAATCTTAAACAGCGTTTATGATTTGGTCATGCATACGTGAGTTTACTTGAGATTAAAAAAATAGATTGTGCAATTGGATTTCATGTACTCATGGTAATATAAAATAATTATGATTACATTAAGAGACAAACCAGGAATAGCTGTACTTCTTTATAAGCCTTTAAAATCCTAGCATTCATTCTTGGATACAACATAAAACTCAACATCCCATGAGATCTGAAATCCTTTACTTAGAAATGTTTAATCAGGGCATGATAATAGTTTGCAAACAGATGTGTTCAACATGTGAACTGCTAATAATCGTCTTTAATCTTATGTGATCCTAGCCTTCCTGTCCGACAGTCTACGTCTGTAGAGATTTCTATCTCTGGGGAAATGCCACCATGAAAGCTCAGTCAAACTTAGAAAATTTAGTAGCCAGCAATGCTATCGAGGAGAAGTTCTCTCTCGCCGTGGTCAGCTACGCGCTCAGTAAGGCGAAGAGCCCTGCAGCCAAGAGAGTTTTTGACAAGCTTCTGGCGTTTTCCAAGAATGAAGGTAATCAAAGAATAAACGAACGCACAATGATTTCAAGTCACTGTCATGAGTAATCACCGTGTTCAATAAACGCTTGCTTAGGGAACTGACTTACTCTAAACTAAAATGAGTGAAGTCCACTCAAAAGTCTGAAACTGGATCATCACACGCCACAGGTCTTTTCAATACAAAAAAAAATAAATGATAATAATAATACTTAAACAGTTGTAATTCGTTCAACAAAAAATGTTTAAAAAAAAGACTCATGTTTTTTTTGGACCTATTTTTTTATGAAACAATCTTTATTTTTTAAAAATTTGAATACGAAACAAAACTCAACCATTCAAATGGACTAAGTTGTATCTTTTATCACATACTGTCGTAGGCTATATACGATTTGGAACTTATGAAGTGTTATATTGGGGGGGGGGGGGGGGGGATTTTCTTGAAAAAATTTCCTGTAAAAAATATTACTGCTGTTCCATCTACTTAACTAATGAGCAATTTTTAAAAAAAAGACTCTTAAAAATACGACAGGGAACATTTTGTACTGGCAAGCCAACAGCACTGTTACCGACGCCGTACAAGCGAGGTATGGACAGTGGCGCCCTCCTAGAATTCAGGCCCGGCCCATCGATATTTTGATAACGTCCTACGCCATCTTGACCTTCACGGAACTAGGTCGCCTTGACGAGGCCCTGCCCGCCGTCCGATGGTTGACCGCACAACGTAATGCCCAGGGCGGGTTCTCCTCCACTCAGGTATGTTTGCCGCAAGCGACATAATTTTCTCTGCGGGTAGAAACTGATTCTAAATAAAATGATAATATATATATATATAAAAAAACAAAAAAAACCAAGGGTTCACTTTTGATTGCAAATAGCACCGAGGGCTCTGGTCAGCATGTCTATTATGGCATGCTCACTAAAGAGGCTCTGCCGCCGACCCCCTTAGCGTTACCCGGGGAACATAACCACCATTGCATGTTCCTGCGTTGGCAGACAAATGGCATGCATGGTATCTGCCGAAATTATAGCAAGTATAGTGTTAACTTTAGCCTCTGCAGCTGAATTGACGGGTAGAAACAGGGAAGGGATCATGATTACTATGTTTCCGTTGACGGATATGAGGCGTGAGGCGTGTAGTGGCAGCCTCATGTTAAAATCCCATAAACACAGCCTGTGAAGAGGCTGTTGTTAGGCAGACGGTTTCGTCCCAGTCACTCGGTGAACTACACATGAGGTAGAAATGTGCTGGAGAAAACCCTTTCTCCTTGATGGGCAGAGGAGATAATGGTATTTAAAATATACCACACCGACCCCTGGGTATGTCGGTTCGTGGTGTTGTGAGAGCCACACTATTGATTGACCGGATGTGCTTAGGCTGACAGATGGCCCCTGTAAAGCAAGTCAGTCGAGTGAAGTTAAGGGCGGGGCGCTTCCTCAGCAGGAGGAGATCTACAACGTGCCGTTCCTCTGGCCGATAGCTAAGAGACTTTTCGGGGCCGAGGGGATGCTTTGGGGATGGCAGTAAGAGCATTGTCTCGACGGCTCGCTGACGCCATTTCTCAATGTACATATTTAAAAGATAATTTTTTCAAAAAAGTAAATTTGCTTTAAACGCAATTTTAAACATTATATATAACCTATAGAAATTAAAATTGAACGTATAAAATTTAAAAGCAACAATACACTTCATCTAAATATCTCCATTGTGTACAATGTGAAGAAAACAGTTCATTATACTGTAAGGCAGCGGTTATCTCCCTGTGGGTCGCGACCCCATTGGGGGTCGAACGACCTTGTCACAGGGGTCACCTAAGACCATCGGAAAACACATATACTCTACAGCTATGCAGTAGCAACGAAAATAATTTTTTTTGTATGGGTCACCACAACATGAGGAACTGTATTAAAGGGTCGTGGCATAAGGAATGCTGAGAACCACTGCTGTAAGGCATACAGCTGTCCCCATTTCTTAAGGTTAACATTCATAAAGATGTTGGCAGACAACGATTTCCATGTCAGTGAATAAATATCCTAAATGTTATCACACATTTCTAAGACTGATTTCCCTGACGCTTGCATACACGTGTGTTGGTAATTAAGTTTTTGTTCATGTGTATACTTTTATTATTATTTTTATTCATGGTCAAACAAGGACACGGTAGTTGGACTCCAGGCTCTCTCATCGTACGCCTCCAAGTCCCTGAGGCCCGACACACAACTCAACATCCAAGTGACTGGGCCCTCCGTATTGGCCGCATTCAATGTGACCAGAGACAATGCCTTGTCCCTCCAGATAAAACAGGTACGCACTTTAGAGAATAACATGATTTTCATCTTTTAAATTTAAAAATAACATATCTTTATACCTATTTCATATGTTAGATTTTTAGTTTGAAATATTTGGTAAAGAAGTATGCAGGAGGGAAAAATTGGTTACTGGTATAAGTTGGAAAAAAAAATCTTACAGCTCAGAAGCTTCTCTTGAATTCTCAATGAATAAAACAAAAGACACGTTTAATTAAAACAGTATTGATAGTCTTAATTTAAAAGACCAAATAAACGTTTCAGAATGTTTCGCTAATGCTTTCAACAGAACAACAAAAGCATATACAAGTGCATGCCTTTAAATGTTACATAATACACATATAATTATATTTAACTTTTAAGTAAGTGAAAGGGAAAAAAAAAAGAAAAGTGTGGGACAAGTCCCTCCCATAGGTAAACATCGAAAGGAGAGAAAGCATGAAGGAAATAGATCTTCTAAATTTTAATTACAGTCATGGACATGATCCAAATAAAGTATGTGATTACATTCAATATTGTGGGAGTGACCCCGCTGAACTATTCACCATGGCGCCATCTGGCAACAAGCTCCTACAGTTTGGCAGTGCTATATAAAATAAAATATCGGCATTTACATTCACTTCATTTTTTAAAAATGTATTTCTACAGCTATCTGGTGCCCCTAAAGAATTTGTGATAGGTGCCACAGGAAATGGCATTGCCCTGGTAGACGTAAGTCCACACAAAGATGTAGATAGTGCTAGCCCTAAGAATTGAGTAAAATTACACATAGTCTCAATCCAAACTCATAATCCGAGAATAAAACAAGTGATTTGTCTTCCCTTTTTTTCCTTCTTATATGCTCACATTGTTTTTAGATTGATTATCGATTCAATGTCAACGAAGAGTTAGCTACACCCTCATTTGACGTCAATACTATACTGTTGGATGATAAGCTGGACTTGTTCAATCTTATGATTTGTACTAAGTACGTGTTTTTATGATTTGTACTAAGTACTTGTTTTTAATGCTTTATTTTTTTTAAAAAATGCTTTTTATACCCTCGAAAGGTGTGCAGAAATTTTGCTCTAGATATCAGAATGTAGCTGGGCCAGGTGGTGGAAATGAGAAAAAAAATATAATGAAGCCTGCAAATTAATCTGTGAATAAAATTAGTTTGTTTTATTGCAATGACCTATATCACTGTTTTCAGATTATTATTTCTTCCCAGGGGATACATCGTCTAACATTGTCCCCATGGCTATTGAGCTCAAATAACGTTAAGTTAATGTGCAAAGTATTGAAAAAGGATAAAAACATTTTTTAGGGAGGCCTTTAAATTGTTTGAACGTAATTCTCAGATGGCTGCTGCAACGAGAAACCGGTATGGTGGTGCAGGAGATCAGCATTCCTTCCGGGTTCAAGCCAGATCTGTCTTCACTGGGCGCAGTGGCTGGTCTGAGGAGGTCCGAGAGGCAGGGAGATGTCGTGGCCATCTATTTCGATAAGGTCTGGCGTTGGCTGGTTTTATTCAACCACTTCAGGGTTGTTTTCAATCATGATTTTCGAATACATGTATTCACTGTTCAGATTGATATTAGTATTAGTCAGTCTTTTATTTTTTTTTTGGACATATACTGCGTTAATTTCTGTATTCATCCCTTTAAATTGTTCTTACTTAGTCGACCAGATCACACCATTCATTATTCCATTACTGTTTTTGTTAGAAATTATAACTATTATTTACTTCGATATATTTGTTTTATACGTGGTTAAAAATGCACTTATGCCGAAACTCAATAAATTACATCACTAATCGATAATTTGATTGATTAGGAGTAACATAAGTAGCAGTTAGTTTAAATAAATCTTTATTAGTTCCAAGACAATTAAAGAAAAAAAATTATACTATATGTATTTATATATATATATATTACATATATAATATCATTTAATTTTGTACCAGATTGGCAGTACATCACTGTGTTATAGCGTAAAAATGATTCGCGAATCCAAGGTTGCCAGATCACAACCAAGCTACGTTAGAACATTCGGTTACTATGACCCAGGTAGGTGGGCATTGTCAAAAATAATATACCACCGTATTTATTCAAGAATAAAGACACACACTAGGCGTCAGTTCACACGATCAAATGTGCTTCAAATTTCGCGTCATATTTGTGTGTGAACGCATTATTTTGTGCCTTTTTTTGTGGACAATAAATGGGAATTTTATCAAATAGTAATTTGAAAGTTGTGACAAGGCTTTATACAAAAAATTGCATCAAATGCATGATCAAAAATTTGATCGTGCGTACTGACGCTAAGATTCATTGATGACCTGAAGTTAGTACTGGTATATTATATTAAAGATGTTTAGATAGTCAGATGTTGTAATTAAATTTTTTCATTTGTTATCGCTTATTGGTCATTGTTTAGTCTTAAACCGACACTTTCTTTATAAGATGATTGATCTTTGGAAATATGAAAACAAAACTCATGTTATTGAAATTTTAAAGAAAGCCTTGTCATGCACAGCAACAACATGATTTAAACGGTTACCGGAAATTTGATCGAAAGAAATTTCGTCGACGGTAAATTGATCGACGGTAATTTGATCGACCGGAAATTTGGTCGAATCATTTTTTCAGTTCACACGTTAAGATTTTCGTCAAATTTCTTTTTGAACGCACTATACTATATAGTAAAACAAAATAATGCGTTCAAAAAGACATTTGAAGCAAAATTTAAACGTAAAAACGGAAAAAAGATTCGACCATATTTCCGTTCGATCAAATTACCGTCGATCAATTTACCGTCGACGAAATTTCTTTCAATCAAATTTCCGGATACGGATTTAAACCATACTTTAAAAAAAAAGAAGGTGTTCCTGTAGCGTGTTCCTGTAGAGTGTTCCTGTAGAGCAGCGGTTCTCAACCTGTGGGTCGCGACCCCTTTGAGGACCGAACAACCCTTTCACAGGGGTCGCATGAGACCCTCAGAAAAAAAACATATTCTCTACAGTTATGAAGAATCAACGAAAATAATTTTGTGGCTGGGGGTCGCCACAACATGAGTAACTGTATTTAAGGGGTCGCGGCGTTAGAAAAGTTGAGAACCCCTTCTGTAGAGTGTTCATGTAGCGTTTTCCTGTAGCGTGTTACGGAAGTAGTAAAAATATGTACATTAGACGATAATTATCTTAACAAAGTATTCAATCCGTTTTCTTACCCAGATGACCAGTCCACTTATTTCTACCAACCAAAGGCGATCCGTGACGCAACTATTTGTGACGTATGCGACGGCTGTTGTCCACGGCAGTGATACCCCATCTCTCCGTCTCCACACAGCTCCAAACTAAATGCACAATTTGCTGTTCATGGACTAGTCACATACTGTCTTCATAGTTCTTTGATGTTTTGAAGCTGATTCTTACTTTTTATTTTAACGTGCATATAACTGAACTAATGGATATGTGTGCGTGCAGGCCGAAATCTCCGTCTAAGGTTCCTTCTTAATTTCAATACACTTCTATAACAATAAATCATCTCTGTACTGCATACACAATAAAAACAATCCAGGTTTTTATTATTTTCAAAACATAAGACATAACCCTCCTAAGATAAACTGTTTTACTTGATACAGTCTCTTGAGATAATATATCATTGTAAATCTATGTAGTCAAGAGAACTAGTCCCAAATAAAAAGATACATATAAAATTATGTCATGTGTTTTTTGTGTTTTTTTTTTGGTTGTTTTTTTGTTTTTGGTTGTTGTAATATTTGATTGTATGTGAGTGTGCTGTAAACTTTTCATAATTACTGAGTTTGATTCAAATCAAGACGAAATGAATTTGAGGCCATGGTCCCCGGTAAAAATTGGGCTCATAGACATATCCATTATCATTGTATGTTGAAGGCAAAAAGTAATTACTAAAATTAAGCCCGTTAAGCTCGGTTCCAAGGCACAGGAATCAGAGGCCATGTGCACACTGCTAACATAGTTCCTTTAGAGAGTACAGCTATTCCGTTATGTATAAATAAAGAATAAGTTTGAAGGCCAGTAAGGGACTACCATAAAGTACTTAGGAAAAATAACGCAAATTTCGCCCCCCACCCCCCTCACCTCCCCTGCCAAAAAAAAACAATAATCAATTATAGACAACAATGAAGTCATGACAAAAATATGTTTCTCTCCACTGTCTGTTTGGCGTAGCCCTATAATTCCAAAAATATGTGCCACTAAATCCTAAATGCTCCAAAAAAATTACACGCTTAATTGTCGACCATCATTTCTCTCTGGCCACTTTTTGTTTTAAAACTTTAAGCAAAAGTGAAAGTTTTTTTGTGATTATCAAAAAATAAGACGTTAAGAAGTCAGACTTTTATTTTTTATGTCTTCAGCAATTATTGTCAGCAAACGTATTCTCAGCACGTTTTTGTTGTTGTTGTTGTTGTTGTTGTTGTTGTTGTTGTTGTTGTTGTTGTTGTTGTTGTTGTTGTTGAAGATAGCAGCAATCGGCTCTGACAGTTTATGGGAGAGCATGTGGTCAATGATGTTGCTCTTGGGCCAGTGTTGTCACTAACTGTTCGCAATTTTATGGTAGACGATGGGGTGATTGGTGCGCCTTGAGCATCACATTAGATCTGACTTTAATCTCATGTTTAAACTGTAGTAGTTCAACAATGTTGTGTCGGTAAGAATATGTATCCATGCCAGGTTATTGAATGTCTACAAATTAATTTTAAAAAAATTAAATGAAATGTTTCAATTATTAGCATCAATAAATAATGTTATCTTATATTTTCCTATAACAGGAATCAAGTTCATTATAAATTTTAAAATTATTTTCTTCTTATTTTTCTTTTTCATTGTAAGCCAGGGAAGGCTTTAAAGCGACACGTTTATTAAAAACTGTTCCCTGGGAAAACCACAAATATTTGTTGGCCTTACCTTGTATTCCAATTCCCCCCCCCCTTTTCTCTTTACAACATAGTGTCTGGGTCAACGATTACTAATTTCTCCTTTAAAACATCATTTACAGAAAAATCTACATAACCTGTATTGTCTTACCCATTACCTTGCAGCAGCGTTTAAAAAAAAATAATTTGAATAATTGTTCATCCCCTAATGCGGGTGTTGGTATAACTTTTGCTTGAAGATCAAGTAATCATAAAGATAAAGTGAAGATAAAAGGAAGATAGAGTGAAGATAAAAGGAAGATAAAGTGAAGATAAAAGGAAGATAGAGTGAAGATAAAAGGAAGATAGAGTGAAGATAAAAGGAAGATAGAGTGAAGATAAAAGGAAGATAGAGTGAAGATAAAAGGAAGATAGAGTGAAGATAAAAGGAAGATAGAGTGAAGATAAAAGGAAGATAGAGTGAAGATATAGTGAAAATAAATTAAAGCAAAAGAAAAGATAAGATGAAGTAAAGATAAGTATGAATAAAGTAAAGATAAGTATGAATAAAGTAAAGATAAGGTCAATATAAAGTCAAGATAAAGTCAAGATAAAGTCAAGATATAGATACAGTAAGGCTCCTCCTACAGTTACTTTCAAGTTCACAATCTGTCGGGATCTGCTGTTTTTAACGGGAGGTATCAAAAGACAACAAAAAAAAAATCAATCTCAAAATAGCACATCAAATAAAATCAAATATTTTGATCTGAGTTATGTTCGATTTTCAAGGGCCGCTGTAGTCTGGATGGTGGAAAGAGGGGGGGGGGGAAGAGACCTTTATGTCGGACAAAAGCAAAGGGGTTAAAACAATGTCAGGTGGACCGCAATGACCCAGGTGTTTTGTAAAACGTTCTTGAAGTCCACCTTTTGATCACGGGTCTTACGGCTCGATTGCCTGGGTAAATTGGCGTGCCTGGACTGGAGGTAATCCCATACGTTCACGTATGATACCGTTTGCAGTCAAAAATCTGATTGAGGTAGCTCACCATACAATTCAATAGTATGTTCGGCTACCGATGGTAAAAAAAAAAAAAATTAGAATTTTAAAAAATAGACTAGGTAATTCCGCCCCGAGATATTGCAATGGTCCAGTGTGTTTACTATCTTCTGTATATCTGGACAATGGTTATGTGTGGTTTTGTATACTCTCTTTTGTATATCTGGACACTGGTTATGTGTGGTTTTGTATGCTCTCTTTTGTATATCTGGACACTGGTTATGTGTGGTTTTGTATACTCTCTTTTTTGTATATCTGGACAATGGTCATGTGTGGTTTTGTATACTCTCTTTTCTGTATATCTGGACAATGGTCATGTGTGGTTTTGTATACTCTCTTTCGTATATCTGGACAATGGTTATGTGTGGTTTTGTATACTCTCTTTTGTATATCTGGACAATGGTTATGTGTGGTTTTGTATACTCTCTTTTGTATATCTGGACAATGGTTATGTGTGGTTTTGTATACTCTCTTTTGTATATCTGGACAATGGTTATGTGTGGTTTTGTATACTCTCTTTTGTATATCTGGACAATGGTTATGTGTGGTTTTGTATACTCTCTTTTGTATATCTGGACAATGGTTATGTGTGGTTTTGTATACTCTCTTTTGTATATCTGGACAATGGTTATGTGTGGTTTTGTATACTCTCTTTTGTATATCTGGACAATGGTTATGTGTGGTTTTGTATACTCTCTTTTGTATATCTGGACAATGGTTATGTGTGGTTTTGTATACTCTCTTTTGTATATCTGGACAATGGTTATGTGTGGTTTTGTATACTCTCTTTTGTATATCTGGACAATGGTTATGTGTGGTTTTGTATACTCTCTTTTGTATATCTGGACAATGGTTATGTGTGGTTTTGTATACTCTCTTTTGTATATCTGGACAATGGTTATGTGTGGTTTTGTATACTCTCTTTTGTATATCTGGACAATGGTTATGTGTGGTTTTGTATACTCTCTTTTGTATATCTGGACAATGGTTATGTGTGGTTTTGTATACTCTCTTTTGTATATCTGGACAATGGTTATGTGTTGTTTTGTATACTCTCTTTTGTATATCTGGACAATGGTTATGTGTGGTTTTGTATACTCTCTTTTGTATATCTGGACAATGGTTATGTGTGGTTTTGTATACTCTCTTTTGTATATCTGGACACTGGTCATGTGTGGTTTTGTATACTCTCTTTTGTATATCTGGACAATGGTTATGTGTGGTTTTGTATACTCTCTTTTTTGTATATCTGGACAATGGTTATGTGTGGTTTTGTATACTCTCTTTTTTGTATATCTGGACAATGGTCATGTGTGGTTTTGTATACTCTCTTTTGTATATCTGGACAATGGTCATGTGTGGTTTTGTATACTCTCTTTTGTATATCTGGACAATGGTTATGTGTGGTTTTGTATACCCTCTTTTGTATATCTGGACACAGGTTATGTGTGGTTTTGTATACTCTCTTTTTTGTATATCTGGACAATGGTCATGTGTGGTTTTGTATACTCCCTTCTGTATATCTGTACAATGGTCATGTGTGGTTTTGTATACTCCCTTCTGTATATCTGTACAATGGTCATGTGTGGTTTTGTATACTCCCTTCTGTATATCTGGACAATGGTCATGTGTGGTTTTGTATACTCCCTTCTGTATATCTGGACAATGGTCAAGTGTGGTTTTGTATACTCCCTTCTGTATATCTGGACAATGGTCATGTGTGGTTTTGTATACTCCCTTCTGTATATCTGGACAATGGTCATGTGTGAGGTTTTTTTTGCTCTCTCCTGTATATCTGGACAATGGATTGGTATTGAAATAATTTTTGTTCTTTCTTCCGAATATTTCACCCATGAGTGATAACAGCACCAGCATTTAAAAGACACGGTTAAGACCAAATATTTCTCATGTGAGAAAATGTAAAATTGGTTGATTGGTATCGTGTATGTAGATCATTTGATAATAATAAACAACAAACAACAAGCCTAGTCTCATTGTGTGTTGTGAGTGCCTTTTGCATATAACACTCATCCATTTATAACCATCCCTTTTAATTTCCGTGTGGTTCTGTGTGTGTGTGTGTGTCCTTGTATGCGTATGCTTGTGTTTGGGTGTGGGTGGACGTTTGTGTGTAGTGTATGTGTGTGTGTGTGGGTTTGCTCACATTGTAAATTTTTTTAAAAGCTTTATCTCAGTGTGTTCAGTCATGTGATTTTTCAGAATATTCGGGCATTTGAACGGATACCGATTTGGGGGGAGGGGGGGGAAGGGGGTGTGGTGTCCAAATGCTGTTTAGTCTGGTCACGTGATATCGCGTCGTGATCGTATGACGTATAAGACTGCGCGCCACCCTGCAGGTCTGTTCATCAAGACAACACCAGGGTTCGCCGCGCGTAGGCAATTTACCCAACACTCCGTTGGGGCGAGCACGTTGTTTAAGGTAAGACATTTATTTTCATTGCATATCTCTCCGCCCTTTGATCAACGTTCATTGGATACCATTTTCTGATCAAGAAATAGGCCAGGTAACTTTGACTCAATCCCGTTTTTCCGTTTCGAAAATGGGTTGACAAAAAGAAAATCCCCAAAAGTTTAGAAAGTGGTATAACAACATAGGGCAAGGATGTAAACATCATGCAATGCGAAAAGCTTTTGATCTTTTATCGCGAAAACTACATTTGATATTTAAAATCTAACAAAGTTAATAATAATAATAATAATATATATATATATATTTATATATATATATTATTATTATTAATATATATATGTTACTAGCCAATGTACTCGGCATTGTTCGGGTTCGTATTCGTAAAAATTATCATAACGGGTTATCAGCGAACACGTAGTCAAGATTGCTCCCGAAAGTAGATATCAAAATTTTAAATTTCTCACACAACAGGCCAGAATTCTTGTAAACAATGCAATTTGGTAAAATAGAAAATCTGGTAGGTGTCTTAACAAATCAAACTATTTTGTTGAGCCACATTCTGGCTGAATGTCATGGCACCAACCATATGTTTATTTCCTGGTGCTGAATGTGATCCATTCAAGTTTTGTCAACAGCTCTCATCAAAATCTCATCTTGCAGACGATTTTTTTTTTCCTCTCGAGGATTTTATTCAGAGCCCAAGTTTTGACTCTGCGTGACACATCCGTATGATTTTTCGGATGTTAGTAAAAAACAATGCTCATTAATTTATTTGTTCCGGCAGTTTAGAAGTTTATAATCAATGTGCCCCATTCCATATTTTGCCTGAATGCTCTTTGGGGCTAAATCTCAAACATGTGTTTCTCCCTTCTCCTTTCTCAACACACATATTATATAAAGGTGGCAAATAACTCTTTATACATGCAACTGAACTGTTTGATACTTCTAAGAATGTGCATCCCCATATACAACGCGAATGAACTTAAGTTTATTAAAAATAAACCGTTTATTTCCATTTATTAAAAGGATAATGTTGACGACAAAAATCAACTTCTAATTCCTACAGCGTAATAAATGACAGCGTACACGTGCATTTATGTATATGTCAAGTGTACGCGTACATTTATGGATCTGTCAAAAAACACTTTGCAAAAAAATTTAAAAATTAAAGTTCAAAGTTTACAAATACAAAAAGCAAGATTTAAACAAACTTTTGTAAACAAACTATTGTAGAGAGTTCAGCTCAGGTGTTTGGCCAATTGAGACGTGTAGCAGATAAATTAAGACGTGGAATGCAGGGGGATGTCAACGGTGCGGGGTAAACCCACAGTCAAAGACTGACCAACAAGCACGCGCATAAGATTGCAGCAGACGCTGACCGCAGAGAAATTAAAACGAGGAATGCAGCGGGCAGGGATTAGGGGGGGGGGGGCAAAACCCACGGTCGGAAACTGGCGAATCACACGCGCAGAGGATTGTAGTAGACGCCACAGACCCAGAAAGCACGCGTTTGCCGGGAAATTGGTATAGTCAAGACTTTATAGAGAAATTAAAACGAGGAATGCAGGGGGCAGGGATTAGGGGGGGGGGGGCAAAACCCACGGTCGGAAACTGGCGAATCACACGCGCAGAGGATTGTAGTAGACGCCACAGACCCAGAAAGCACGCGTTTGACGGGAAATTGGTATAGTCAAGACTTTAGAAGGCAGGGGAGGTAATCAGGCAGGTGTGAGAGAGAAAACAAACGGTACCAAGATTCGACTTTAGAATAGCACGGGGAAGTAATCTCTAGAGACACCTCGGTCGGCTCGTGGACCTATAAGAGGGTACGGTTAGATTTGAGGTAGGGAGAACCATGAGCTAAGGAGAGTAAAGCAGAGACAAGCCGAGCGAAGCGGAGTACGCCAAGTGAGCGAAGCCGGAGAGTGTTAGTTGAGCTGAGGGCGGGCCGGACAGTCTAGTGGCCAGGGTAGACATGAGGAGACACAAACCCGAGACATTCAGAGCAGAATTGCAAAGTCTTGATTGTCGATCAGAGCCAAAAAAGTGAAGTCTAACAGTCAATGTGTGTTGCAGTAAGAAAGACAGAGTGACAGAGGTTACCATCCTCAGAAAGTAGATTGAGAAACGAGTTGAGATAAGGACGATTTCCTTACAATATTATGACCATTCATTTTCAGTCTGTATTCAAGCATTAGACTTTCCTCCTACTTCGTTGAGGGAATTTTAACTATTTTTCCCCCTCTTTCCTTCTGTGTTTCAATCCAGGTCTGTTTTCTAAAACTTTATAATTCCCCCACCCCCACACACCTTTTTTTCTTTGCAGGTTTAAAAACCATGGCACTGTTCGGATTGGCGTTGTTTCTTTTGTTAGCTGCCGAGACCATCGATGCGTGAGTTCTCTGAGCTCTATGAGTCACTGCTATAATTATTCGTCATTCTTTTAAGATGATCTTTTTACGCATCGGTTATTTCATAAAGTAAATGCTTTTCAACGAGCTTCATCATTCCACAGGGAAAATAAATGATCGATTTAAGCCTTTTTTAATCTACTGAAGTATAGCGGATCCCTGAAATAGCGCTTCTGAAACGTGTATTTCAGTTGTTTAGAAAAAAACACTAATTCTTATCTAAATTGAAACAACTTTAATCCATGGTGGCCACTATGTTATATATAATTTCTAAAATGTATTTCAGTTAATTATCTAAATTGTAACAACTTTAATCGATGGTGGCCACTATGTTATATATAATATCTAAATTGTGTTTCATTTAATGATCTCGAATGAGATATACATTTTAAGCCGCTCCACGTTTGAAGAATTTGGAATGCAGGCAACTTTTGTTGTCATTGTATTCATAAAGAGTTTTCCCCCGAACCATAACGTCCCATCGAAAGGGATATCGAGGTTAATCGAAATTTCTAATCAAATTAGGGTGTGTACCATAACACAGTGATGAATTCATTATTTTTGTATTATGGCTTTGTAAAATTATTATCAATCATGACAGTTAAACAAAGAAGTTATTTCTTTCTTTTTTTTTTTTTTTTTTTTTTTTTTTTTTTTTATATATTTTTTTTTAATTTTTTTTTTTTTTTTTTTTTTTTTTTTTTTACTTTTTGAAATAATTTATTATAAATGTTTTGTGTTCAAATTGGTCTATTTATGTGCTGAAAATGCATAATACAATCATAAAATATTTCCATTTGTCTGGATCAATGAGAGAACCTAATCTTATCTTATAAAAGACCTCTTTTTTAAGATGAGCAGTTTTTAATGTTATTTAAGAATAACACACAATAAAATTAAAAATTGCCAATATTGGGAATAGTATTGTTAAATAACATAAAATTATTTGGAAATGTTATTGTTGAATAACACCTCTTTGCTAGATAAAAATAGTCTATATGTCAAGCTCCGCTAGGCTCCATGCTATTGAAACTTTATTAAAGTTGCTACTATTCTCAAATACCTTCTGCGTGCAGTTCTAGATTTAACAAACAAAAGTTACTTGCATATTTCTGCTCGCCAAGTCCTAATTATAAGTATACGATGTGATCCATTACATAAGCTGACGGTTTTAAAATATCAAATTTTCAAATTTTTAAATAACAAAACGTTGCGGAAAAAAAATCAACAAATCACACATACAGAAAAGGTGAACACACATTGTATAACAAATAGTTAATTCTAAAACAAAAATAATTGAGTTACTTTAAAAAAAAAAAAAATTGAAAAATTTCTTATGTTCGTTACAATGGATCTACGCAAAGTCCTTCCATCGAGAACATTTGGTATTCTTATGGTCCAGTATCACCAGTCTGGACAGTCAATCAATTTTGTGAAGGGGGGATGGAAACTCTGGTAGTCAATTTAAGGGCGCCCCTGTTAAGTTGTTCGGTTTTTTTTTGTTTTGAAAATACTTATACACCCCATCAACGTTTTCTTCTCATATGTCTCTAAACAGACAAGGCAGTTATTTCGTGACTTTCCCGCAGAGGCTGATCCGTGGATCGAACCTTGACGTCACCATTGACATCCTCCAGGAGGGCGTCACCGTGCCAGTCGAGGTCGCTCTGGAGACTATTATATATGATTACTACTACGACTACTACGACTACTACTACAACAACTACTATTATTATTACAACACTTTGCAAAGTATTTCTGGGAATTTCTCGAAAGGTGACGGTTCTCATTCGACGTAAAGATCTTCCTACAGGCGACTGAGCATTTCCAATTGTCTCTGTTCGTTGAAGAGAGGCTCGCTTGATTCAATTCCTTTCAAAAAAAAAAATTCCTAAAGAATTAGCCTCGTTAAACTCAAAGAGAGTGTCAGGGTGTTCTAAACAACCCTTAAAAATACGTTTACCTTACTTCATACTTCCTAGCAATGATCAGTATTTTATTTTGATATTACAATATTATAAGATGTACGGATGCTTATCAATCACATTTTCAATTCGTTTCAAAATTATGATTTGATACTTATTAACTTAATAACATGAAATAAATTATCATTAGGTTTTTTTTCTTCTTAATTTGTTATTTTTGTTGTTGTTTATAATTAGCATGTTGCTTATTTCTTTCAAGGTGTGACTGGAAAGCTCTCACTGCCAGTAAGTTTTTATCAAATAGTATTTTCTTTTGTTAAATCTAGTTTTCAGTTTTGTAATTTGTAAATGTAATAACCTATTTATTGCTGGATGCATTCAGCAATAGTTTCCAATAAAATAAAACAAATTTATCGACTGTATCAACGCGTAATAAATGTAATCACAGTTAATAAGATAAAAACGTAATAAAGTATGAAGAGAATGCAGCATGGGTAAAAGAGTAAGAGAGGGAATACACCATGGGTAAGAAGTAAGAGAGGGAATACAACAAGGGTTTAGAAGTCAGAGCGATGAAAATATTTTTAAAAAAAATGTAATCTTTTTCACTCTTGGTTGGTTCAAATACATGATTACTAAAGCCATAATCAGTAGTCTTATAATTTAATAATTATTATTATTTTGACTGTCGACTTTGGAGTTTTGTCTCACAGATTATGATTAAGAAATCCGATAATATGTGTGCGCTCTGTACTAATGCCTGACTTACGCCAAAGTGCTCTGTACTAATGACTGACTTACGCCAAAGTGCTCTGTACTAATGACTGACTTACGCCAAAGTGCTCTGTACTAATGACTGACTTACGCCAAAGTGCTCTGTACTAATGCATGACTTACGCCTAAGTGCTCTGTACTAATGACTGACTTACGCCAAAATGCTCTGTACTAATGACTGACTTACGCCTAAGTGCTCTGTACTAATGACTGACTTACGCCAAAGTGCTCTGTACTAATGCATGACTTACGCCAAAGTGCTCTGTACTAATGACTGACTTACGCCAAAGTGGTCTGTACTAATGACTGATTTACGCTTACTAATGACTGACTTACGCCAAAGTGCTCTGTACTAATGACTGACTTACGCCTACGTGCTCTGTACTAATGACTGACTTACGCCAAAGTGCTCTGTACTAATGCCTGACTTACGCCAAAGTGCTCTGTACTAATGACTGACTTACGCCAAAGTGATCTGTACTAATGACTGATTTACGCCAAAGTGACATGTAATAATGACTGACGTCAAAGTGCTCTGTACTAATGACTGACTTACGCCAAAGTGCCCTGTATTAATGACTGACGTCAAAGTGCTCTGTACTAATGACTGACTTCCGCCAAGGTGCTCTGTACTAATGACTGACTTCCGTCAAAGTGCTCTGTACTAATGACTGACTTACGCCAAAGTGCTCTGTACTAATGACTGACTTACGTCAAAGTGCCCTGTACTAATGACTGACTGACGCCAAAGTGCTCTGTACTAATGACTGACTTAAGCCAAAGTGCTCTGTACTAATGACGTATGCCAAAGTGCTCTGTACTATTGACTGACTTACGCCAAATTGCACTGTACTAATGACTGACTTACGTCAAAGTGCTCTGTACTAATAACTGATTTATGCCAAACTGCCATGCAATAATGACTGACGTCAAAGTGCTCTGTACTAATGACTGACTTACGCCAAAGTGCCCTGTATTAATGACTGACGCCAAAGTTCTCTGTACTAATGACTGACGCGAAAGTGCTCTGTACTAATGAATGACTTCCGCCAAGGTTCTCTGTACTAATGACTGATGCCAAAGTGCTCTGTACTAATGACTGACTTCCGCCAAGGTGCTCTGTACTAATAACTGACGCCAAAGCGCTTTGTACTAATGACTGATGCCAAAGTGCTCTGTACCATTGACTGACTTACGCCAAAGTGCTCTGTACTAATAACTGACGCCAAAGTGCTTTGTACTAATGACTGACGCCAAAGTGCTCTGTACTAATGACTGACCTACGCTAAAGTGCTCTGTACTAATGACTGACTTACGCCAAAGTGCTCTGTACTAATGACGGATGCCAAAGTGCTCTGTACTAATGACTGACTTACGCCAAAGTGCTCTGTACTAATGACTGACTTACGCCAAAGTGCTCTGTACTAATAACTGACGCCAAAGTGCTTTGTACTAATGACTGACTGACGCCAAAGTGCTCTGTACTAATGACTGACAAGGAAATTTTACCTTTCTCTCGTGACATGTCAAGTCTGTTGACATTTAAAGTAAGGTAACATGTCTTTTCATGGTCAAGTCATGTCTGGTGTCATTTTAACACTAATTCACGTAATAATAGGGGTGTTGAAATTTTGTTAACACTGTAAGTGAGTAGCCGTTCAGGGAGTAGCCGTTCAGGGAGTAGCCGCTCAGGGAGTAGCCGCTCAGGGAGTAGCCGCTCAGGGAGTAGCCGTTCAGTAAAACGCTGTCCTTATGACTCACACAAAAACCTTTCAATAAGTGGTGGGCCTGTTGTGAAGGTAAATCAATAAAGATCAAAGTGCAAATCGGCCTGCAGCGTACAGCATGCTTTTGTTTAATTTTCAATTACATAGCAACTCTATCAATTAAGTAGATAACTTATCAATTAAGGGGCCAACCTAGCAATTAAATACCCAAACTATCAGTTAAATTGACAAATTTTCTATTAAAAAACAAACGATCAATCTAATTTAAAGAAACTAATTAATTAAAGAAAAAATTAATATTTAAATAGCCGGCTTATAATTAAATAGCAAACTTTTAGATTAAATAGCTAACTTATCAATTAGAAAGCCAACCTATCAATTAAATAGATAAATTATCAATTACATAGCTGAATTATCAATTAAGTAGCCAACCTATCAATTCAATAGCCAACTTATCAATTAAAAAGCCAACTTATCAATTAGGGTGCCAACTTATTAATTAAATAGCTACCACACAAATAGCTAATTTATCAATTAAATAGCCACTCTTTCAATTAAATAGAAAACTTATCAAATAAATAGCTAACTTATCAATAAAATAGACCACTAATCAATTAAATAGCTAAGCAATCAATTAATTAGCTAGATTATCAATTAAATAGACAATCTATAATTTAAATAGCCAACTTATTGATTAAACATCTAACCAAGCAAGTAAATAGGAAACTTATTAATTAAATATCAATTTTAACAATTACATAGCCCATTTACAAATTGAGTGGCTAAGGTATCAATTAAATATCCAACTTATCAATTAAATAGCATCCTTATTGTTTAAATAGCAGGCGAATCAATTAAATAGTTAAATTATCAATTTAATTGCCAAATTATCAATTAAATAGCCAACTTATCAATTAAATAGCCAACTTATCAATTAAATAGACAAGTTATCAATTAAATAGACAACTTATCAATTTAATAGTCAAATTCTCAATGAAATGGCCAACTAAAGAATTAGATTGTCAATTTTCCAATTAAATAGCCTGTGACAAAGGTTACTGTTGAAACGATCAACATTTTAACTAGAAGTCATAATCACTCTCTCATTGTGCGTGCTTAAGTAGGAGATGCAAGGGATGACATAACTGACGCGTCTAGTTCATATTTTTTTTAAAAATTTTACGGAGTGTTTCATCATCTTTGATTGAAAGATAATAAATGAAGAACTGCATTCGAAAGGCGAAATTCGATTTTTTTTTAAAAAATAAGTGATGAATGAATTCAGAAATATATCCCTCGTATATTGTCGTGACTTGCTGTTCTCGTCTGAGAGCAAGAAGTAGAAACGTTCATTACAAACCTGGGCCCCAGTGAGTTCTCGTTGTAAAACACATTAGTGCATAAAATGGATTGATATTGGATAAAATGTTGCGCCAATCATTTCAGTTTCCTCGTTTAGTAATATTTTATAGACACACAGAGACGCAGTAGAGCGGCTTTGAATAAAGGGACGAAATCGATCTTGACCTCTTATTTAGCCGAGATGACGATGGTGGTTTATGACGTAGCAAAGTTAGCTTCATCAGGCCCGCACCTAAAAAGTTCTGGACCCCAGGAAGCTGACAGAGTTCGAGCCCCTTTTGCGTTGCAAATATGTGCGTACATTTTTAAAACTCGAAAAAAGGGCGGGGCCTTATCTAGCTCGGGCCCCTGACAAGTGCCATGGTTGTGTCCCCCCCCCAACCCCCAACCCCGACAACTAGGTGCGAGCCTACTTTAAGGATGTAAAGCATATCTATTGTACGTCTTTATGAATATTAAACTAATGAAAATGCAGCTAATGGGTTATGAAAATGGTTAACTGCAGGGTCAGGTCATGAGATTGTTCATTTCTTCAAATACAGATAGATCCCAACGTAGAATGTAATGAATGCAGGATAAGTGTCAGAGGACAAGGCGCTTTGCAGTTTGAGAACAGTGCTTATGTATACTTCTACTGGGAGACCGTGAACATTTTAATACAAACGGACAAGGCAATTTACAGACCATCACAGACAGGTATGGAGGAATGGGAACGAATGTGGTCGGCGGGGCCCGGGCGTTTTATGCATAATGGCCCGGGGGGGGGGAGGGGGTGGTCTAGGCGGTGGCGGGGGCAGGGCTAATTCTCGATGCATGGATCATTGAGTATTGTTTAAAATTCGTTTTCTTTGTGCGCCTATAGGATAATGTAAAACGCCTTTGCTTGGGAGACCGTAAAAATTTTAATACAAAGGGAAAAGGCAATTTACAGACCATCACGGACAGGTATGGAGGAATGGGAACGAATGGGGTCGGGGGGGCCCGGGCGTTTTATGCATAAGGGCCCGGGGGGGGGGAGGGGGTTTTCTAGGCGGTGGCGGGGGCAGGGCTAATTCTCGATGCATGGATCATTGAGTATTGTTTAAAATTCGTTTTCTTTGTGCGCCTATAGGATAATGTAAAACGCCTTTGCGTTTGCCACCAAAAGCGAGTTTTATATTTTCAACCAAAAAAAAAAAAAAAAAAAAAAAACCAAAAGAAGACAAAAAAAAAAAAAAAAAAAAAAAAAAAAAATCCAATAGAGCACATGTAAACGAATAGGAAGAGTAGTTTGATCATGAAGCAAGTTAAACATGGATCAACGTTTTTTTTTATATTCGACAGTTCAATACAGGGTATTGGCAGTTTACCCAGATCTCAAATTGTACACGGGAAAATTCAACGTTGAGATTAGAGTGAGTATTTCCTGGTAGCCATAAAACGACTTACTCCCCCCTCCCCCCCCCTATTAAGTCAACATAATAATTACGCCAAGTTCCCGTTTTCTTTTAAAATAAGGGAGATAACTATTAAGATTTTAAACTGTAATCAGTCTGGGGCGTTTAAAAATTATGTTGAATTAAAAATGTTGGTTGAAGTTGTTGTTTTTTAGGGCATTAATCAGCAACAATCAAGACAGCCAAACATAATTTCATCACTCAACACAGACATACATACTGTCATCACTCAACACAGACAATCATACCTTCATCAATCAACAATGTGAAGATAACAAACAAGAGGAGTGGTTATGTGGATGGGCTGCGGACACAACAGGAAGATGCAATTTCACACCTCAAGGACACAACCAACATAATACCACCCTTGGCCAGCATAAAACATTTATGTGCCCCCTCTCCTGACATCCAAATGAAACATTAAGACATCAAAACTTCCACTGCCCGGTACTTCAGGACTTAAGCCTAAACTAGCTACCAAAAGTACCGACAATAATATAAGCAGAGGCGACACTGAGCACGAAGCTCTTGACCAGCGCTCACGAAGAGCAGCTTCCACAGACCCAGTCCAGCGTCCCCAGACACATCCCAGCGTCCCCAGACCCAGTCCAGCGTCCCCAGAACCAGTCCAGCGTCCCCAGACCCAGTCCAGAGTCTCCAGACCCAGTCCAGCGTCCCCAGACACATCCCAGCGTCCCCAGACCCAGTCCAGCGTCCCCAGACCCAGTCCAGCGTCCCCAGACCCAGCCCAGCGTCCCCAGACCCAGTCCAGAGTCTCCAGACCCAGTCCAGCGTCCCCAGACACATCCCAGCGTCCCCAGACACATCCCAGCGTCCGCAGATCGAGTCCAGCGTCCCCGTAACCGTTTAAAGCCGGACTGAGCCCGGAGGCCTCCCCGCTGCGAAAAGTACCAAAAGTACCAAAAGTACCAAAAGTACCAAAAGTACCAAAAGTACCAAAAGTACCAAAAGTAGCAGACTGCACCAAAGCCATATGTAAAAACAAAAACAAAAAGAAAGAAACAGCTGCGAAGGGTATATAAATTCTTCACCATGTACGGCAGGCCGAAAGGCACAAGCCAAAATGACTACGGGATCTGAATGAGGAAGAAATTGTATTAGTGTAGTTTTCATTTGATTCATAATTAATACGTGCACGTCATTAAAACACAAAATTACTTAAGCTATTCATGGTAAAAAGAATAATAAAATGTAATTTTTACCCCGCTCCCCCGGAATTCGTTTCATAAGGACACCTTTATCTGACATCCTTTGAAAGGGGTTGTGGAGAATAAGAGAACTTTGAGAAAAGAGGTTTATTAGACAGGGTTAGGCATCTTGATAAATTAATAGGTTCGCAGTATATGACGCTTGATAGATTCACAGCAAAGGAAAATGACACAATACTAGGACGTGTATGCCAAAACATGGGATGGAATTTATAATCTCATGTTTAAAATTGACATTATTGGAGCAACACTAATTGACGCTTGTGACTTTAGAAGGAAATTTTTAATATTGTAGAGGCGTCGGCCTGGTTGGTGCCCGGGTGGTGCACGGGTGGTTCATTGGTGGTGGGGGGGAACCCACAGTGCGATGGCGAGAGCTGACCAGCCTGGGTGCAGTTAGCGGTCAACATGACAATAAGGAGGCAAGGGTCGACTTTGGCATTAATAGATCGATGAGGCATAGCTCGGGAACCAAGCCGACAAAGGGGTAAAACGCCAAGGGACAGAGGGTATCGCGAATAAGTTAGAGCTATGACTTTTTGTACTCTGCTGTCAATTGAGGAACGTCCATGCAGACCCCGGGTTGAGACATTGCATAGGTGTCCGGGGGTAATGGATCGGCTTTGGGAGAATGTTGCCTCTTTAACGTAGCAAGCCAATAACCGTGGGATACTATTGGTGGGTGGTTTCTCGTATGATGAAGTCTGGATATAAGCTAGAGGTTTGGGGACACTCGAGAGAAGAGCCCAGTTAAGATGTAGGCGTTGAGGAGGGCAAAGCACTGTGGGGGAACCAGAGCCCAGTTGAGATGTAGCAGTTGGGAGAGAACGGTCGAGAGCAAAGCCGGACAGAAGTGGAGATGAGGACAGACGTGAGAGGACAGTAACGAGATAGAGAGACAAACACGGCAGCAAGAGTGGAGTCAAGGTCTTGAACGTGAACAGTAGAGCAGATCATTAAAGTGAAGTCTAACCATCAACATGTTATTACCTGATTGTGCAGTACGAGAGTCAAAGACTAAACGAGGTTACCATCCACACATAGTAGATAGAGAAAACGAGAGACGGTTATCTACAATATATTTGTATGCGTGCCTCAACCACTTCACTAATTGTATAAACCAGTACTTAAGTCGCCTTATGATTTTCCTTATGATTTTCCTTATGATTTTCCTTATGATTTTCCTTATGATTTTCCTTATGATTTTCCTTATGATTTTCCTTATGATTTTCCTGATGATTTTCCTGATGATTTTCCTTATGATTTTCCTTACTTTTCTTTTTATTTTCCTTTAAAAAATACTAACTTCGATAAAATTGCGGAACGCACTGAAAACAAAGTAAAAAGCAATAAAAAATATTATAACATAAAAGATATGGTCTAAATAAATTTTTAAAATCTTGATGCGTCTTTTAACGTGTCAGAAAGGGCTTTAAAGCTGTCGATCATCAGCCTACATGGTGTAATACATTAAAAAAAAAAAAAGTACAAATCAAGAACTTTGCATCTTATTGAAATTAAATATTTCGCATAAAAATATTTTTTAAAGATGTGGTGAACATATTTTATTCTTCCACTAAGCCTTTGTCAATGTAAAAAGTATATGAGTGCAAGAAATGTGTACGTATTTATAGTCTAAAAACTGCACTGCACTAGCTGAAAATGTCTCACCTTTGTATTGTGGTCGATATCTAAATGTTAAGTTTCATTTCAAGAAATCCCTAATTTTTCCTCCATTAAAAAAAAGATCAGAATAATTTATTTTTCTAAAACAGTAAATTTAGCTCCACGTAAGAATATCGAAAGTGTAAACAAAGCTAGAATTAAACCGCGTCAAAATTGTTTCGTAAAGAAGAGTGATTTAAATTGTATTTTTTTATAAACCAGGACCCAAATAACAACAAAATCAAGGTCCTGCAAGGTCTGCAAGGGTCCTATGCTGTGGTGGAAGGAAGCCTTGATCTAAGCGACCTGCCTGCCTTTGGAACCTGGTCATTATCAGTATCTTTAGAGGTAGGTTTTATTTATGTTTATTGTAAATCATCCTGCATGAATTGTGTTGATGAGATTAACGAGATGGTATCTGATTACAAACCACCATTTAAATGACGTCATTTGCTTCCTCAAAAATTTGTTGACGTATTTAGCTTGGCACAAAGAAATGAATGTTTGAGATTCCCTCACCAAGGGTAAGTTCAATTAAAAGGTTGATTTTCAAATGAATGTTATTGAAGATCAGTTGTGGTCTTGCTGTGGTGCAGCAATCTTTAGTGGTGCAGCGCGAATGCAAATCTTGGGAAACCCACCCCATCTTGGTGCAGTTGAAATACAATTCTCTTTGGACTAATTCCGAGGAAAGAAAAAGTGGAGCACCCTATCCATGTACATTGAAATATCCAGCAATATTACCAATATCCAGCAATATTACCAATCCATTCATGTAGAGCTCAGAGCGTCAAACTTACTCAATAAAACAACACCATCCACGATAAATCCCAACTTTTAAGGCCCATGGTAATATTTTCAAACAAAATGTAATTCTCAAGGCGAACTTACGCTTATTATCATTTTGCATGATTATCATATTTTTTTAAAATCTCTGATAGACCTTAAGAGACACTGCGACCCAAGCATTTGAAGTTGCGGCTTATGGTAAGTGATTCACAAAATGCCGCACACATATGCCATAGACTCGTTTCGTGCAATATTTTGATGATTATACAGAAAGATAGACTTCAAAATATAAATTTAATCATTTTGCCACTAAGAGAAAATTCTAAACAATCGATACAGGTGGAACTTAAAATACTTTTACCCTGCATGTTGTAATCAAAGCCAGGGGGAAAAATCAACAACTGCTTACATTTTTTAAGGTAAATTATCCCGTCACAAAGAAGTCCAAAAAAAAAAATCAAAAAAATCATAAATTCATTAAATAAAATGAAAGCTTGTATATTTCAATTTAAAAAAAAAAATAAATATTTTTTTGCTTAGATTTGCCCATGTTCGAGGTGACGGTGGAGTTGCCTCCCTACGCCCTGTTATACGACTATGTGCTGACTGGCAAAGTCAAAGCAATGTAAGTTTAATAGGGCTGGACTCTTGCGAATCTTTCATAAGCCACGTGATAACCGCAGGGGGCGAGCAGCAATTTATCTAATAAATTTCAAATGTGTATGTCTAGTATACCTTTATATTATGAAAAATGTTTAGTTTCCTGTATACTTGTAAACGTCCAGCTGCTGATATATTAAGGTGAGGGAGCGTTGCTCAGTTCGTCAGCCCTCTCTCTCCCTCTCTCTCTCTGTCTCTCTCGCCCTTTCCTATTCATTCTGATGGCAAGATCAAGACTTAGACGTCTGGAAGTAGACAAGGATGCAGTAGATTACAAGCATCTTTTCTTGCGTCTCACTCAGCTCTTTATGCGTTCCACGTCGCAGGAGTTGCCGGACTCCATCTCCGACTTGGATTTCAGAGTTGCCTTCTCTTAGATTTGTTGCCATCCACGATAAGCGGGTTCCATCCACCCGGGGTGCTGGTGTTGTTTTTGGCTGTCCAGGCTTTTGCACGGGATTGTACCCCGGTCCACAAGCCTAGGATCCACTCAGTTTAGGCCGTTCAGTAGCCCAGCACTCTTTTAACAGTCTCTATCGGCGTTTACTCCTTAAATTATTCCTTAAAGTTGCAGTGCTCCAAAGGCTATTAACTTTTTATACGGTCTTTTTTTTTCTATTTTCGTGACTAATCTAAACACCAATATTTAAGTGTTTCGTGCTGGTTTCTAACGCTATTTTGCGCCCATCATACAAGTTGATATTACCTACACTTGCAGCACACACCCTCTTGTGAGTCATTTACAATGGGTCACTCCATTTAATCTGGTTATCCTCATAGGACACGCCGTGATGTTCGATGCAGTTTTTACATTTATCGCAAATAACAAATCTCTAGGTGCGTCTGCATACACGTATGTAATGCTGTGTTTAATAGGCGCGCACAATAAAATAAGTGCTCACAAATTAATTGGGATTCATATGAAATGCGTTAATTGAATGCATGTTTTGTCAAGTAACTTTAGGAGATGGGAAGTTAATGCATTACCGCCGCCATTGTTCGGCAGGTTATTTACAGTATTCAATATGTATTAGACACCTTTTCAATGCCGCCGGTCAACCTTGCTCCACGATGTGTTTGGTGTTTCATGTCTAAGGTACACATTCGGCCAACCCGTATCAGGAATTGTCGAACTTCACGCGGGATACAATGTTCCACTGCAGCCTGATGCGTGTGGCGGGTACGGGACACAGACAACGCAGATTTCATTTGAGGTAATGAAGGAGTAGTTTTTTTAACGACAATAAAGCTTCTAATTTAAGACTGATCGAGTACTCAGCTGTACTGTTACGCCGTTGATGAGATTCTTTCCTGAACGCGTAAAGCTGAGTTTGAAAGTGTGATTTATGTGTACGTTCCTCTTTGTAACTGAGCCGGTGGAAATAACGCTGTTTGAACATTGTTGAAATTGCTTTAGAAAATGTGATTTACGTTAACAAATAAGCTATGCGCATTAAACAGAGGCCTGCATTGTCCGAATGTTGTTGCCCCACAGATCAACGGAGAAAGCTCGTTTACAATCGCCAGAGAAGACTTAGAGAGGGCCGCGTACATCTATGACGGGTCGGAGGTCAGGGTGACCGCTTTTGTCACAGAGGCAACCACAGGTCAATAATCCTTTTTAATCCATTATTAAACTTTCGTTTCTTGCGTGCAAAGTTTGAAGGTTATGAAAGAAAATATGATTTGGAAAAAAAAAAAATTTCAACGGAAAGGCGGAGAAACAAGTTATTCTCCATTTAAAAGCACCTTGCAAAAACTAAGCAAATTTGCAAAAGACACTTCCACTCAATCTACAAAATCTTCTGTAGGGACGGAGGTAAGCCAAAACAATCTAAGATAATTCATTACTCTTAAAGTACAGTATATCATTCAAGGAAAATCAAAATTTTATGTATTGAAGTAAGGTAGTGTATAAGCTATTTTAAAAATCTTCTTACATTGCAAAAAAAAAAAATTAAAAAAACAACAAAAAACTCTCAGTAGTTCTTACAAGTATTCATATCAATCACAATAATTCTCTTTGAATGAAAGTATGGTGTGATGGTGAGCTCAGTACCGCGCTAAGTATAATTCCCGATAACTGCGCTAAATGATATACTTAAAACACCGTAAGTGCATTTGGTGCGAATTACTTTCTTTTGCTTTACGGAAATAGTCTAAATTTAAATATGATGTAATAAATCAGCGTTCTAAAAGGGCCGAGAAATTAAAGTATTAACATATTATAGGGGCATACATATGTTTTCGGGGGCTTACATCTGAAAAAGGGGTGGGGGAAGGGGTTGGGGGAAGGGGGTGGTGGTGTGGGGGGGGGAGCACTTATTGGGATGCTAATAAAGTGCATGGCTTGTTTGTATGTTTTGTCCGGTATTTTTAGTAGATGGGAAGTTCACGCATTGTCGCCGCCATTGTTTGGCCGGGACATCATGTGGTGTTAGAAGGAGCTAAACTAGGCTGGAGTACCGCGCTGTATAAAACCAATAATAATAGTAATAAACTATTCATGAAACGCTTTACAAAAATAAATTAAGAGTCTTTCATACAATGGTAGGGATTTTCTAAGCGAATCCATTTTAGTACGATAAAATGAATCTTCTTATTTCAAAGTATATGTTATTTTGTATATGTATCTAAAAAAAAGATACTGTCTTTAAATTTAAAAGCAAGAACCATTTCAGGGGCAGAAACAAATTTGGGTTATGATTTTCTTTAAATAGATATAAATATTGTTTTCAATTTTGCTCAAAATATCATTTAGTAGCTAGGTTACATAATTTTATGATATATCTTTAAAGAATCATGTCTTTTAGACGTGAAAATTTGATAAGAGATTTGTCTTTAAGTTTAATAATTTTGTTTCTAACAATTGTACAATATGTTTCTGCAGCGCGGCAGGATCGGTAAATGAAAATCAAAATAAAAAATGATACAGATATTTAAAATGTTTCACAAAATTTCCTTTAAATTAAAGACATACTTTTACGAGTTTTTGAAAATACATTTTCTTTTCTTTATAAGTTCACGGGCTAGAAGATTGGTTCGATTTTCCTATATTATATAGAATAAGAACATCATCAAAATTCAAATGTGTGAGTAATGCCAATATGAAGACATGGATTCATCTATAAAAATAACGAAATTCCATTTTAATATTTCCTAAATATAAAGGCCGCTATAAATGTTCAGTTTTGTTGTTGCGTTAGGTTGTTTTTTTTTGTTGTTGTTGTTGTTTTTTTTTGGGGGGGGGTTGAGGATACAATGCAGGAAAACTCAATTCATTTACATTGATAAACATTCGTGTTTAGATTTTAAAACTTGACAAGACTGTGCGGAAAGTAGCTCAGTGTCTTTTCTTTTATCACACCCGGTAACAACGGATCATATATTCTAGTATTTAACATGGAAGTTTGTGAGTTCTAACATAAAACTTTCTAGACACCAAAACATTCTTGATATGCTAGAGATTAAAATATTCAGTCACCGGGGCTTAAAATTCAAATGTTCACACACAAACACACACCACTTTTGAAAATGGGAATATATGTGCGATACCCGGGTGACGCATGTGGCATGTTCCTCTATCAACTTCAATGTTCGTAAAGCGTTTGCAGATTGGCAGTTCCATTTCAATGTAAAATACCAAGTAGTCCTGCCTCTCACGAGAGCTCGTCATTTCTTCCCTGTATTCTGTCAAATTTTAAATGATATGGAACATTTTTTTTTTGCGGCGCAATGTAATACTTTTTTTTTTAAATTTGATACTGCAGGCGTCAGACTGAATGGCACCAGTGTGATTAAATTTTACCAAAACCAATTTCAAGTCTGGTTTCTGGATACAACTCCGAACGTCTTCAAACCTGGACTACCGTACACTGCATTTGTAAGTTATCAATGCACTATATAAAGTTTTGTACGCGTTACGATTCCAGAAAGGAATAATTTACTGCAAAAAAATCAATAAGTTAATAAACATATAAGCAAAAGTAATTCTGTCTATTCACCCCTTCGAGAGCTTCGCTCCTCTGCAGACATGCGTATTCTGTCCGTTCCCAAGACACACACTAAAACATATGGTGAACGATCTTTCTTTTTCTGCGCCCCCAAACAATGGAATTCTTTGCCACTACAAATACGCAATATACCAACCACCCAGGCCTTCAAAACTGAACTCAAAACACATCTTTTTAAATTATACTACCCTGACTGATTCCCCTCCTCTGACCGATAAATGATCTTGCTGGCTGCCGTCCATGGTTTGCCTTGTAAAAGTTATGTGTTGAGGTGGGTGAATATACATTTTTGTTTGCTGTTCTTTATTTCATTAATGTACTTTATTTTAATGTCATGATTATGTCTCTTATGATAAAATTTTTATGTACAGCGCGGTGAGCCCAGCCCTAGGCTGGGGTACCGCGCCATATAAGACCCCTTATTATTATTATTATTATAATATCTAATAACCGAGTTGCCTTTAAGTTGCTTAAGTAAACAACATTCGAGCCACTTGTCAGCGCAGCAATCATCAAGAGCTCATAGTTATCGAATATTAATAGTACATATTTTTTATAAAAAGACCATTGGTACACATATTTACCTTGATTAGGGAAATTAAACACTGGGTCCATAGATAATTCTAAACTACCAAAACATCTGCAGAGTTTTAATAATAAACGTAAAAGCCCGCTTTTTCCAAGCTCCGAAATAACAGTTACTTTGAATTTCGTTTTTGTTGTTGTTTTTTTTTTGCTCTATATATTATAGTCACAAAACGTTGAAATGTGCCTCCACCGGTTTCCTTACACACGAATCGTCAACTGAATTCAGTTACATTTTCCTTACAGATAAAATTATGCATATGTAATGTCTAAAATTGTTTAATGTTCTAATGGTATTGTCATTTTCGTATGTTTGAGATGCAGTGACCAATCAAAACGTGTTAAAATTATAATATAAACATAATTTAAAGTTGTATGCACACAGAAAAAGAAATTGATCCGTTTTTTGAATAGTAATATTTGTTCTATATTAATCAATTTTTTCAAAAAGTGAAACCAATTTATTTCAGAATATTAGCCACTTTTAGAGAGAGCTCATTTGAACCAATCATATTAAAATATAAATTGAGAATAAAGGTATTCAAAACAGGTTTCTAAAGCATATTCTCCTCGGTCTCCATTTAGGTAGCTGAATCTTTTGGCAACTGTTGAAATTCTAAGTTTTGTGATCTTGAACAGCGGTCACAAAGCGCGTTGATTGGGTTGAATGGGTTCAGTGGGTGGAGTTTGATGTCAAATGTGTACTTTACCAAACGATTTATCACTGTTTGATATATATATATATATATATATATATATATATATATATTTAAATCATTGCATATAAATATATTTCACGCTATATATCTGAGTGTCCAGCCCCGACAGAATGCCTCCACCTCACAAAGCGCGTTGATTGTGTTGTGTGGGTTCAGTGTGTGGAGTTTGATGTCAAATGTGTATTTTATCAAACGATTTATCTCTGTTTTATATATATATATATATATATATATATATATATATATATATATATTTAAATCATTGCATATGAATACATTTCACGCTCTAGATCCGAGTGTCCAGCCCCGACAGAATGCCTCCACCTGGAAGTAACAACGTCATATCTGTCTACACTTACGTCGAGTATACAACGAAACTGCCCGACCAAGGGCTTTACGCCGCATATTCGTTCTCAGGGACGTACCCACTCCCGGGACAAAACCTGACATTGCCTGCCAGCGGCCTGTTGTCCGTCGATATTAACATACCCACGAATGCCACATCTATCAACATCAAGGTGGGTCATGTAATAAGCCATCGCATAGCACAATCCCATTGTCGTGTAATAATGCATGACATAGAACAATCTCATTGTCATGTAAAAATCCATCACACAGCACACTCCCACTGTCATGCAATATGCCATCACATAGCCCAATCCCATTGTCATGTAGTAATCTATGACATAGCGCAATCCCAGTGTCGTAATAATCCATGACATAGCACTATTACACTTTAATATTTTTTAAAAAAGTTTTAATATATTTTTGGAGCGACGTGTGTCCCTTTCACATGTCCCGACCCCTCCTTCATTATTTTTTACGAACGTAGACATTTTCGGTACTATGAACAAATTTCCATTCAGTGTCATCATTAACACGACTTTTTAACCCATTGTACCATTAATAATGGCATACATTTAACTAGAAGGAAATAATCGTTTCGATTTCCATATTTTGAAATGTGTTATAGTTGTCGAAAATTGTAAAAATTCAAGGGAACAATTGGTAAACCCTTGAGCTCATCCATTAGTTCAGAAATAAATAATTAAATAAGAACAGCTTTTTCAACCACGTTGGATTAGGCCTTTATTTCAATGAATGAGATCCACTGTATTATAACAGATATATTATCTTTTACGTTAACTACATTTTTAATTTTTTTTTTAAATTGAAGTTTTTAGCAGCGAGTATGAAAGTGCTTCTTACTTTAGAAAACGGATGCTAGCTCGGGTCATGGTGAAGTGCCTGTTCAAGACCAGTCACCTTAAGTCAGCAGTCCTTAACCTGTGGGTCGCGACTTCTTTTGGGGTCGAATAACCCTTACACATGGGTCGCCTAGGACTGTTAGAAAAGACATATTTAGGAAGTGGCAGCGAAAATAATTGTATGGTTGGGGGGGGGGTCACCCCAAAATGAGGAACTGTATTAAAAGGGTCGCGGCATTAGGAAGGTTGAGAACCACTGCCTTAAGTGATTAGATAGCCCAGCCCCACGTGGTCGTTCACTATTCGAACTGGCTACCTCATGATGTTCCGTCAAGGAAAGTTATCACCAAGTTCGAAATAGATTCAAGATATGCAATGAAACCTGGGAATAACGGACGGGGATTTAGCGCCGTCTCTGGCATATGGGCTAACTCACCCTGGCACTGAAGGATTTCTGAACACTGACTGAACTTGAAAATAGCACATTCCCTTTAAATAACACCACTTTTGCTTCAGTCCCAAGTTTTGGCGTTATTTCCAACTTTTATTGTCTTTTTTTTTTTTTTTTTTTTTAGAAAAAGAAAGAAGATTTCTTTGTTTTGTGCACCATAGAAAGTTATATTGGCATTACTTATGCACAGCCATCTGTGCACCAGCGATAATGTTTTCATTTTTTTTTTTTTTTTTTTTTTTTTTTTAGAAAAAGAAAGAAGATTTCTTTGTTTTGTGCACCATAGAAAGTTATATTGGCATTACTTATGCACAGCCATCTGTGCACCAGCGATAATGATTTCATGACGAGCTTTTTTTTTCAGGTGACATTTGGTTCCATTGTTATCACAAAATCTGTTTATAAGGCGTACTCGAAGAGTGCTAATTACATTCAGTTGTCGCTGTTGGACAAAAACATTAAGGTATGATATTAAGATTAACTTATTACACATTTTTTTTTAATTACAAACTGGCAAATAAATGCAAGATGCGAGTAAATGTATGCAATTCATTTTTCCACTCGTGGATAAGTAGGATTTAAAAACTAAAAACACAAAATTTTTCTAAAAAATTTAAAACTCCTAGAAAATTGCAAGAAATAACCGAAAGAATAGGAAATAAGCATTTATTAAACAAAGGTGAATGTCTAATGGTCTTTCCTAAGATAAAAGAATATGAACAGTCACAACTGATGAGTTATGAAAGCGAAAGTTTAGATGATGAATTCTTTAACAGAAACACGGCCGAAAAATAACTTAGCAGCATGGAAGAAAAAAAGTGGTCACTGCTGAAAATTATAGAATGGTTGGGTATTAAGTCAAGGGTTGGGTATTAAGTCAAAGGTTGGGTATTAAGTCAAGGGTTGGGTATTAAGTCAAAGGTTGGGTATTAAGTCAAGGGTTGGGTATTAATTCAAAGGTTGGGTATTAAGTCAAGGGTGGGGTATTAAGTCAAAGGTTGGGTATTAAGTCATGGGTGGGGTATTAAGTCAAAGGTTGGGTATTAATTCAAAGGTTGGGTATTAAGTCAAAGGTTGGGTATTAAGTCAAAGGTTTGGTATTAAGTCAAAGGTTGTGTATTAAGTCAAAGGTTTGGTACTAAGTCAAAGGTTGGGAATGAGGTCAAGGGTTTGGTATAAAGTCAAGGGCTGAAGATTTCGAGGTTTCAGCTAAGGTCAAGGGTCTGATATCAAGTCAAGGGTTTGATATGAAGTCAACGGTTTGATATGAAGTCAAAGGGTTGACATGAAGTCAAGGTTTTGTTATAAAGTAAAGGGATTGATATGAAGTCAATGGTTTGGTATGAAGTCAAGGGTTGGATATGAAGTCGAGGATTTGATATGAAGTCAAAGGTTAGATATGAAGTCAATGGTTTGGTATGAAGTCAAGTGTTTGAGATGAAGTCAAGACTTTGATATGATGTCAAGGGTTTAGTATGAAGTCAAAGGTTTGATATGAAGTCCAGTGTTTGATATGAAGTCAAGGGTTTGATATGAAGTCAAGGGTTTGATATGAATTTAATGGTTTAGTATGAAGTCAAGGGTTAGATATGAAGCCAAGTGTTTAGTATGAAATCAAGGTTTTAGTATGAAGTCAAGGTTTTCACAGAAAAGCATTAGATGGTAATCTTACACTGAAGGAGCAGGTGATTGAACAACAAGAACAACTGTGTTTTTAACAGCACTTAACCTGGGTGCATTGTTGTTTGGTATCTATGTTGAAAGACATTGCAATTATAATTATGTTTCATCATTCTTCATTTTCAAAATATTTATTCAATAGTCAGGGCAGTTCGTAAGGGTGAAAGTTGAAGGCACTGAGCCATTGCTTCAACTGACATATGAGGTAAGACTCCTGTATTTATTGCATTTATTGTTATTTCAGTTAACGTTGTTCGGGACAATATTATTTATTTTTAAAAAATAGTTTGAAATAGATGCAATACACCTCGAGGTGTCACCAACTATCACAGATATTAAGAATGTCTGAACCACTAACGGGAGACACGTAAAAGTCTTAATATGTATTGTTCATAATGCACAGAGTGTTGGGACTGGAGAGGAATTGGCCAATAAAAGTGGCACGGGCACCATTTCAAGGGGGGGGGGGAAGGGGGGCATAACCAAAATTTGATCAGCTTTTTAAGTTGTTTACTACTTGAGGCGCCACAGTACATAGCAATTTCAATAAAACTTGCAAATTAAAGGGGGAGAGGGGGAGTTGGTGGCGGGCAATTGCATTTTAGTGTTAAAAGTCTATGTAAAGGTTAAATTTTTTACTACTTTATAACTTTTCATAAATGTTTTTTTTTTTTTTCAAAAATTTAAAAAAAGAAAGCTAAAGTTTAATGTAATTTTAGAAAATTTTAGCAATTTAAAAAGTCATCTATTATATTCATCAATTTTACTTTTAGGAGGGGGAAAATACATTATCAGTTTTGTCACCCACGGTTATAAAATCAAAGAAACTTAGATCAATATTAGCAATGCACTAAAATACGTACTAAGAATAACAGATGTTTTGATTTTCCCGATACATGTGATTAAGATGCAATTCTCAGATCATACTATTTTAATTAATTTTTTTTTTCATAACATTTACATTCGGAAAATATGCTTTTAAACATTCCTTATTTGATGCATTAAATGTATTTGTAATTTATAATAATAAGACTTAAACTTTTACTAAAATAAAAGCGGATTTAAAATATTTTTTGCGCATTTAAATGTATTCCTTTTCCGTAAAATAATAGAAAATAACTATGATTGTTTATAGGAATCCGAACGTACTTAAATGGTATCGCTTCTTTTGCGCTCTGTCACTGTGGCTCATTCTTATATATATATTACATATAATAAAAAAATGTCAACAGGAAGTCTTAGTAAAAAATGTGCCAAAAATTTACTAAATAAGACAACAGAGACAGTATCAAGTTATTGTTGATAACTTTATCATGTAAGAGTGTGTAAACCCGAGGAAATTCATATTTCTGTGAAACCTATTTATCATGGTGGATGTCGATTTTAAAACGAGTCCCTTTTTTAACCCCGTGCTTTCGGGCATTCTTTATAACTATATATATAACAGTGACACCATTTAAAGGACAGATGACTGCTCCGATTGATCAGATGTCCATTGATAGCAATGATGCAACTGGAGCACACGTGGGATTTGAAGCATTGTGTATGATGTAACTGGAGCATACTCAGGATTTGAAGCATTGTGGATGATGTAACTCAAGCATACGTGGGATTTGAAGCATTGTGGATGATGTAGCTGGAGCACACGTGGGATTTGAAGCACTGTGGAAGATGTAGCTGGAGCACACGTGGGATTTGATGCATTCTGTATGATGTAACTGGACCACACGTGGGATTTGAAGCATCAGAATATTCTATACCATTAAGGCAATTAATCTCCTCGCGAAAACATAAGCAGTGCATTGAAAACACATTCGTTCGAGTTCAATTTATTTATAAAATATCTGCATTATCGTTTTACCTTGCGGTAAGAAATATATTTGTACTCTCGGACAAGGTGTTATTAACAAGTGCTTAAATGACAAGCTTGCTGGAAGAAATTGATGTGTACTCTCCGACAATGTGTTTTCATGTGTTAAATTACAAGCTTGCTGGAAAAAAAATTGATTTGTATTCTCAAACAAGGTATTTTTTACCAGTGTCAAAATTATTCTCTTGCTGGAAGATATTGATGTGTTCTCTCGAACAAAGTATTTTTTACTAGTGTCAAAAAATATAAGCTTGCTGGAAGAAATTGATGTGTTCTCTCGAAAATATGTTTACAATAGTTAAAATTACAAAACACTACAACTTATCTAGATCATCATGTACTAGCCGTTTTAATGACTTAAACATTTTTTCAAACTAAAACTTTAATTCAAGTAATTAACGACAGTGCGACTTCAATTTTACCCAGGTTGTATCCAGAAGCTCAGTTGTGAACATTGGGCGAATAGATGGGAACGGTGACAAAGAATTGACATTCACACTGAAAGTGACCCCCTCAATGGCTCCGACCGCCTATCTTGTTGTCTACTACGACAGGAACAATGATGAAATAGTGGCAGACATTCTGGCGTTTACTGTGGATGGTCTTTTTGACAATAAGGTATGGTCGTTCAATAAAGTTTTGACAAAGTAATGTGTTCTCTAACATTTAAAAAAAACAACAACAGTATTTCTCGTTCTATAAAAATTGTGCCTCTAAATTTTTGTTCAGGTATCCGTAGCTTTCAGTACCAACGAAACAAAGCCAGGTCAGAAGGTAAATGTCGTTGTCACTGCTGACGCGGAGTCACAAGTTCACATTCTGGCTATAGATCAGAGTGTGTTGTTGCTTAAAGCCGGAAATGACATCACATCTGATAAGGTAAAAAATCTCAAAATTGAGCTTGTCATCTCATTATAAGAATTTATCCACAATGACATGAAAATTGTTGCAATAGTAAAATCATTTTTTTTTCTTTTATTGACTTAAAACACTATATTTAACGATGATATAGATTTGACTAAAAAATAAACTTTCTGTTTGAGCATTGGCTCTGTTAAGTGCATACGGAATTTATCAAGCCTTTACTTGTGTACAAGGATAGCAACACTAAGTTCTTAATTACAGTTTGAAATTTTAGTGTATAATCAAGAGACCATATGTAAGCAATTAATTTCTGGACTTGCTGGCTCTACGCTGATCCAACAACGGAACCGTCTGTCACAGCAATTCATTTTGCTGGATATTCTGCAATATTGCACTGCACTCTTTTTTTAAAGGTGGCGTCCTTCTACAAAGATTTCCTTTTCTTGCAGAAATATTGAAAAGTGTTCAATGCGTATGCATTTTGGTGTTTCAGAAATGCTAAATGGCTTACTGCTATTATTTTCAAGAAACTGTGCTAAATTTTTGTTTTTGTTTTTTTTTTGTTGTTGAAGAAATCGATCAGACTTTTACTTAATGGTTTCATGTCTCAGTGTATAACAATGTCGGACTTATATTTAATGTTTTCATGTGTTAATGTATTACAATATCAGACTTGTACTTAATTGTTTCATATCTCAATTTATTACAATGTGAGGCTTGTACTTAATTGTTTCATATCTCAATTTATTACAATGTGAAGCTTGTACTTAATGGTTTCATATCTCAATTTATTACAATGTGAGGCTTGTACTTAATGGTTTCATATCTCAATTTATTACAATGTGAGGCTTGTACTTAATGGTTTCATATCTCAATTTATTACAATGTGCGGCTTGTACTTAATGGTTTCATATCTCAATTTATTACAATGTGAGGCTTGTACTTAATGGTTTCATATCTCAATTTATTACAATGTGAGGCTTGTACTTAATGGTTTCAGCACTCATTGTATAACAATATTAGACGTGTACTTAATGGTTTCATATTTCAATGTATTACAATGTCAGACGTGTACTTAAAGCTTTTATATTTCAATTTATTACATTGTCAGAGTTGTACTTTGTACTTAATGGTTTCAAGTCACAATGTATTTCAGTATGTTCGGCTATACATGTCTTTAAATATCTTCTTTGTGTATTATATCGATCAATCTTTGGAAAATCGATATGAACCTATGCCTTTATTTTGAAAAAAATAAATATGTTGATCGTTATTAAACGATGTATTTAAATATTTCAAACGCAACATACTTAAATTGCATAAACATTTAAATACATTATAATCAAACGAATTTTGTGACATGTTAGACTACTTAAAAGCAAATAAACCCTTTTGACGTGTTTCAGGTGAAAAATGTTTTATTAAATTATAATGATGTTCAAGCAAAAAGGGACTCGGATTCAGCGTGGTCGTATAGTGCAAAGACGGTGACACAGCTCTTTAATGTAAGTGAAGAATAGACAAGATAATCCTTTAAAAATATGTTATTTGTCCCCACTCCCTCATTCTCCCCTCTCCTCTTCTGCATCTCAATCTCGCGCTGCTAATGTCATGACAATGATGATAGTTGAATATTTGATACCATGAGCCGCGACACAAAGTCCTCTAATGCAATGACGAGCAAGAGACAAATTGCGCCGCGACACAAAGTCCTCTAATGCAATGACGAGCAAGAGACAAATTGCGCCGCGACACAAAGTCCTCTAATGCAATGATGAGCAAGAGACAAATTGCGCCGCGACACAAAGTCCTCTAATGCAATGACGAGCAAGAGGCACATTGAGCCGCGACACAAAGTCCTCTAATGCAATGACGAGCAAGAGACAAATTGCGCCGCGACACAAAGTCCTCTAATGCAATGATGAGCAAGAGACAAATTGCGCCGCGACACAAAGTCCTCTAATGCATTGACGAGAAAGAGGCAAATGGTGCCGCTGGCGTGTACTAAAACATAGGACCTGGTGTAATCGGGATAAAAATGGCAGGCATATGGCGCTCCTTTCAATCCAAGATACGTCCCACATCTTCTAGAGATAAGTCCCATCATCTAAAAACTTGGAATTTTCAGAATATAACCGAAACGAGCTTTTAGGTTATTTTTTTAAATCAAAATACAATTTTAACGACCTTGAAATGAATATTTACGTAACAGTTAATTTGACTTACGTTATTTTTACAGTGGAATCTATTTATAGATATTTACCTTTCTGATATCATTGGGTTTTTAGATATTTTTCTGCGAAATCTATATACCATTTTAAATACCCGTAGCACCAATGGATTTTGATAAATTAGTATCTTCATTATAAATTTACCCAATTTTTGCCTCGCTCTTGATCGATATTACTGAAAAATCTTTAAAAAACAGACTGATTAAATTAAATGACGAATCCCTTCTCATATTTCCACGTCCATAAGATGAGTGTTGTTACATCCTTTATATTGCCCTCACTTTTGTTCATGGGGTGGCTGGCTGGCAGACTCACAAAATCTTCGGAATGTTATTTGACCCACTTCCCGTGCAGCTGAAAACCTAGCATGTGGACTCGTTGCCGATGGCAACACAATAATTTTAAACCAACCCCTAACACCAATGCCCCAAAAAATCAGTTTACCGTGTTTTTCAAAGTGGAAAATAAAATGAAATTGCCCAAATATCTGCGCTAAATTTTTGTTTTTCCTTCCAAAGTTATTGGTAGAAGAAAGCTGCCGTGTTGAAGCGGTTGTGAATGAGGACCGTAATGTAGTTCCAGGGCGTGAAAAAGAAAATGAGGGTTGCGAGCCTTGGGGTCCGGTGGGGAGCAGAGGCGTAGCGAGGGTGTTTGGCGCCCGGGGACAAGATTCGCGCCCAGGGACAATATCCATTTTAAAGCGCCCCTTTTTTCTTTTTTTCAACCCTCAAACCCATTATTTTTACCAATAATATAATATCAAAGCACATTTTGGCGCCACTAACTAGCTTGCGCCCGGGGACATCTGCCCCCCCTGCCACGCCCTCGCTACGCCTCTGGGGAGGAGCACTAATTGGTATTCTTATAAAGTGCTTTACTTGAATGCATGTTTTCTCGAATCTTCAGCCCTTTCCCCACTGCACGATACTACATTTTTTGTACAGGATTTATACCAAAAAGTTCGTTTTTAGAGGATTGTCTAAATTTTTTTTCCATAGAAGCTATAATTCCCTAGTTTCGATTTAGTTTTATTTGTGGGTATGTAAAATATGTTTTACAAAATTTAGTTTATAGATTTTAATTGATTATTTTTAGGATATTGGTTTTGCCGTCCTGAGTGACCTGCCACTCTACAATCCAGAGCCTGGTAATAAATTTCATCTTTAAAACAAATAAAAAAATTAATAATATAGTTTTAGTGAGCTCTTTTGATGGAATGTTTTTCTGACCTTTGTCAAATAAAATAGTTATTATATTGGGGCCAAAAAAAGAAAAATGAAATTTTCTCTTTAATCACATGTCTGTGTTTATATAGATTTAATTTGAAAAAAACGAGAGCTTAAAAAAAAAAAAAAAAAAGAAATGTTATCTTTGTTAGCTGTTATTTTTGTCGGTATTTAAGTTTCTATCCATGATAATGTATAGTATTGACATTGAGAAAGAAGAGCTCACTCACAGAGATATAAGTTCATCCCGTCGTGATATTAAGATTGAATTAAATGAAATTTCAACAAAAAAAAAAGTGTATGAATTTTTTTTTTATATTAAATGTTGTAACCTAAAATTTGACAAAAAAGCAATATTTTTTTACGCCTAGTTAATTTTCTCAGATAATTTGTTTGAAATGTAAATACAAAAATGACTGTTCATGAGAGTTTAATTTTGTTCCTTTATTTCTTCCTAGATTACTGGGTACCAACTGGTAAGTTGGATTTTAAATGTCTTATGATAATATTAGTTGTTATATCGGCATGTTTGAGACAGATAGTTTCCTCAAATATTAAATTTTTCCTAAAATAATTATTCTCTTAAGAAGTTGTATCTTCCAGGGATGTCATTTGGGTAGGGCAGTTTGGGACATCTGTCCCCCCCCCCACCCCCATACCCTGAATTCGCAGGTTTTATTTAAATAGTTATGTACTTTGGCGCCTCCAGGAATTAACAACTTAACAAGTAATGACGTACCTGGTATCGTTTTCTTGCTCGTAGCTAAGTGATTGGCCCTGCTTGTGTTCAGACATTTACAACTTTCTGATTAAAGTCTTCCATTTCGTCATGGAAGCACTGACTGTTGCTGGAGTCTTGTAAAGTTATTCACGATTGGTGAAGGAATTTTCAAATTGTAATTTTTCTACACCAAATATTTAAATAACAACAATGAACATTACTTTCATTTTTTCCCCCCTTAGGAACATATTACCCTGTTTACTACTACTCTGAAGATGGCAGGAACACAGATGCGCTACAGTCAGTGGACAAAATTCGCGTAGACTTTCCCGAAACGTGGTTGTGGAGCAGCCGTAAGACACGGTAGGATGTTTTTTTTTTTCCATGGGTGATCACAACATCATAGGAAACCCTCCCCGCTTTATTCAGTTGTTTTTTTTTCACATCCCTTTGGAATTTTATGCCCCTAGTCTATATTATCTAAATGAGGATTTAAATGGTTTGTGAGGTGTGTTTCGTTTGCTTGTTCTTGTTTTACATTGTTACATTCAATATAATTAGGGCGAGTTTTGTATGTCCTTTATTTTGTTTGTTAGGACCAGTTTTGTATGTCCTTTATTTTGTTTGTTGGGGCAAGTTTTGTATGTCCTTTATTTTGTTTGTTGGGGCCAGGTTTGTATGTCCTTTATTTTGTTTGTTGGGGCAAGTTTTGTATGTCCTTTATTTTGTTTTTAGGGCGTGTTTTGTATGTTCTTTATTTTGTTTGTTAGGGCCAGTTTTGTATGTCCTTTATTTTGTTTGTTAGGGCCAGTTTTGTATGTCCTTTATTTTGTTTGTTGGGGCCAGGTTTGTATGTCTTATATTTTGGGGTGCTGGCTGGCCGAGTGGTCTAAACTGAAGAAAATCTGAAGAGCCCAGTCAAGCAAAAACACCACCAGCACCCGGATGGATGGGACTCGTTAACCCTGGATTGGCAACTCATCTAAGAGAAGGAAACTCTGAAATCAAAACCCGGATATGGAGTCCCTTACCTCAGTTCAGTCTCTTACCTCAGTTCAGTCTCTTACTTCAGTTCAGTCTCTTACTTCAGTTCAGTCTCTTACTTCAGTTCAGTCTGTTACTTCAGTTCAGTCTCTTACTTCAGTTCAGTCTCTTACTTCAGTTCAGTCTCTTACTTCAGTTCAGTCTCTTACTTCAGTTCAGTCTCTTACTTCAGTTCAGTCTCTTACTTCAGTTCAGTCTCTTACTTCAGTTCAGTCTCTTACTTCAGTTCAGTCTCTTACTTCAGTTCAGTCTCTTACTTCAGTTCAGTCTCTTACTTCAGTTCAGTCTCTTACTTCAGTTCAGTCTCTTACTTCAGTTCAGTCTCTTACTTCAGTTCAGTCTCTTACTTCAGTTCAGTCTCTTACTTCAGTTCAGTCTCTTACTTCAGTTCAGTCTCTTACTTCAGTTCAGTCTCTTACTTCAGTTCAGTCTCTTACTTCAGTTCAGTCTCTTACTTCAGTTCAGTCTCTTACTTCAGTTCAGTCTCTTACTTCAGTTCAGTCTCTTACTTCAGTTCAGTCTCTTACTTCAGTTCAGTCTCTTACTTCAGTTCAGTCTCTTACTTCAGTTCAGTCTCTTACTTCAGTTCAGTCTCTTACTTCAGTTCAGTCTCTTACTTCAGTTCAGTCTCTTACTTCAGTTCAGTCTCTTACTTCAGTTCAGTCTCTTACTTCAGTTCAGTCTCTTACTTCAGTTCAGTCTCTTACTTCAGTTCAGTCTCTTACTTCAGTTCAGTCTCTTACTTCAGTTCAGTCTCTTACTTCAGTTCAGTCTCTTACTTCAGTTCAGTCTCTTACTTCAGTTCAGTCTCTTACTTCAGTTCAGTCTCTTACTTCAGTTCAGTCTCTTACTTCAGTTCAGTCTCTTACTTCAGTTCAGTCTCTTACTTCAGTTCAGTCTCTTACTTCAGTTCAGTCTCTTACTTCAGTTCAGTCTCTTACTTCAGTTCAGTCTCTTACTTCAGTTCAGTCTCTTACTTCAGTTCAGTCTCTTACTTCAGTTCAGTCTCTTACTTCAGTTCAGTCTCTTACTTCAGTTCAGTCTCTTACTTCAGTTCAGTCTCTTACTTCAGTTCAGTCTCTTACTTCAGTTCAGTCTCTTACTTCAGTTCAGTCTCTTACTTCCGTTCAGTCTCTTACTTCAGTTCAGTCTCTTACTTCAGTTCAGTCTGTTAATTCAGTTCAGTCTCTTACTTCCGTTCAGTCTTTTAATTCTGTTCAGACTCTTACTTCCGTTCAGTCTGTTAATTCTGTTCAGTCTCTTACTTCAGTTCAGTCTCTTACTTCAGTTCAGTCTCTTACTTCAGTTCAGTCTCTTACTTCAGTTCAGTCTCTTACTTCAGTTCAGTCTCTTACTTCAGTTCAGTCTCTTACTTCAGTTCAGTCTCTTACTTCAGTTCAGTCTCTTACTTCAGTTCAGTCTCTTACTTCAGTTTAGTCTCTTACTTCAGTTCAGTCTCTTACTTCAGTTCAGTCTCTTACTTCAGTTCAGTCTCTTACTTCAGTTCAGTCTCTTACTTCAGTTCAGTCTCTTACTTCAGTTCAGTCTCTTACTTCAGTTCAGTCTCTTACTTCAGTTCAGTCTCTTACTTCAGTTCAGTCTGTTACTTCAGTTCAGTCTCTTACTTCAGTTCAGTCTCTTACTTCAGTTCAGTCTCTTACTTCAGTTCAGTCTCTTAATTCAGTTCAGTCTCTTACTTCAGTTCAGTCTCTTATTTCAGTTCAGTCTCTTACTTCAGTTCAGTCTGTTACTTCAGTTCAGTCTCTTACTTCAGTTCAGTCTCTTACTTCAGTTCAGTCTCTTACTTCAGTTCAGTCTCTTACTTCAGTTCAGTCTCTTACTTGAGTTCAGTCTCTTACTTCAGTTCAGTCTCTTACTTCAGTTCAGTCTGTTAATTCTGTTCAGTCTCTTACTTCAGTTCAGTCTGTTACTTCAGTTCAGTCTCTTACTTCAGTTCAGTCTGTTAATTCAGTTCAGTCTCTTACTTCAGTTCAGTCTGTTAATTCAGTTCAGTCTCTTACTTCCGTTCAGTCTGTTAATTCTGTTCAGACTCTTACTTCCGTTCAGTCTGTTAATTCTGTTCAGTCTCTTACTTCAGTTCAGTCTCTTACTTCAGTTCAGGCTCTTACTTCAGTTCAGTCTCTCACTTCAGTTCAGTCTCTTACTTCAGTTCAGTCTCTTACTTCAGTTCAGTCTCTTACTTCAGTTCAGTCTCTTACTTCAGTTCAGTCTCTTACTTCAGTTCAGTCTCTTACTTCAGTTCAGTCTCTTACTTCAGTTCAGTCTCTTACTTCAGTTCAGTCTCTTACTTCAGTTCAGTCTCTTACTTCAGTTCAGTCTCTTACTTCAGTTCAGTCTCTTACTTCAGTTCAGTCTGTTAATTCAGTTCAGTCTCTTGCTTCCGTTCAGTCTGTTAATTCTGTTCAGTCTCTTACTTCAGTTTCATCTCTTAATTTAGTTCAGTCTCTTACTTCCGTTCAGTCTCTTACTTCAGTTCAGTCTCTTACTTCAGTTCAGTCTCTTATTTCAGTTCAGTCTCTTACTTCAGTTCAGTCTGTTAATTCAGTTCAGTCTCTTACTTCCGTTCAGTCTGTTAATTCAGTTCAGTCTCTTACTTCCGTTCAGTCTGTTAATTCTGTTCAGTCTCTTACTTCAGTTCAGTCTCTTACTTCAGTTCAGTCTCTTACTTCAGTTCAGTCTGTTACTTCAGTTCAGTCTCTTACTTCAGTTCAGTCTCTTACTTCAGTTCAGTCTGTTAATTCAGTTCAGTCTCTTACTTCCGTTCAGTCTGTTAATTCTGTTCAGTCTCTTACTTCAGTTCAGTCTCTTACTTCAGTTCAGTCTCTTACTTCAGTTCAGTCTCTTACTTCAGTTCAGTCTCTTACTTCAGTTCAGTCTCTTACTTCAGTTCAGTCTCTTACTTCAGTTCAGTCTCTTACTTCAGTTCAGTCTCTTACTTCAGTTCAGTCTCTTACTTCAGTTCAGTCTCTTACTTCAGTTCAGTCTCTTACTTCAGTTCAGTCTCTTACTTCAGTTCAGTCTCTTACTTCAGTTCAGTCTCTTACTTCAGTTCAGTCTCTTACTTCAGTTCAGTCTCTTACTTCAGTTCAGTCTCTTACTTCAGTTCAGTCTCTTACTTCAGTTCAGTCTCTTACTTCAGTTCAGTCTCTTACTTC